AATACATGTCTTTTTCAATATCTGCACGTTATTAAGTCTCCCAAACGAAGTTTGGGACGACTCTCCCAAACTTCGTTTGGGAAGACTTATTGTTTTTGCTCAGTTCTTATTATTATTATTATAATATTCTTCTTCTTCTTCTTCCTCTTCCGCCGCTTCTAAATTTGAACTTGTCCGCACCCATTCTCCAAAACCGCTTGTCAGATTAACTTAGGGATTTCACAATATGTTAGACTAACATGTCTAGTGGTGCAATCAGGGTTTTGTTTGTGCAATGGGGTTTATAAAGGGGTACTTTGAGGGGCAAAAAGAAAAGAGGGTTTTACTATAGAACCCTATGGGATTTTATTTTTTAAAATTTTCAAATGATTATAAATTGAAAACCATTTGTGATAAACACAATCTTTTTAATTGAAAATGTTCTAAATGATAAAGCCCATTAAATGAAATACAGAGTTAGTCCCCAGGGGGCACCCCACCCCCTGCCATTTAAGAAAGTTCTAATACCTTGTAAGTGGTCAAGATCCCCACCACTAAACCATATATATTCTGGTTTGTCATGCTAAGATGGTTTGAATGAAATACAGGGTTAGTCCCCAGGGGTCATCCCGACCCCCTGCCATTTGAGAAAGTTCTAATATCTTGTAAATGGTTGAGATCCCCACCCCTAAACCATATATATTCTGGTTTGTCATGCCAAAATGGTTTGAATGATATACAGGGTTAGTCCCCAGGGGTCATTCCGACCCCCTGCCATTTGAGAAAGTTCTAATATCTTGTAAATGGTCGAGATCCCCACCCCTAAACCATATATATTCTGGTTTGTCATGATAAAGCACATCAAATGAAATATAGGGTTAGTCCACAGGGGTCACCCCCACCCCCTGCCATTAAAGAAAGTTCTAATATCTTGTAAGTGGTCAAGATCCCCACCCCTAAACCATATATATTCTGGTTTGTCATGCTAAGCTGGTTTGAATGATATACAGGGTTAGTCCCTAGGGGTCATCCCGACCCCCTGCCATTTTAGAAAGTTCTAATATCTTGTAAATGGTTGAGATCCCCACCCCTAAACCATATATATTCCTATTTGTCATGTCTCGAACATTTGAATGGTGTATACGGTCAGTCCCCAGGGGTTCCCCCCACCCCCAATGTTCTAATATCTTGTAAATGGTTGAGATCCCCACCCCTTAACCATATATATTCCTGTTCGTCATGTAACGAACATTTGAATGACGTATAGGGTCAGTCCCCAGGGGTTCCCTCCACCCCCAATGTTCTAGTATCTTGTAAATGGTCGAGATCCCCACCCCTAAACCATATATATTCTGGTTTGTCATGCCAAGATGGTTTGAATGATATACAGGGTTAGTCCCCAGGGGTCATCCCGACCCCCTGCCTTTTGAGAAAGTTCTAATATCTTGTAAATGGTCAAGATCCCCACCACTAAACCATATATATTCTGGTTTGTCATGCTAAGATGGTTTGAATGATATACAGGGTTAGTCCCCAGGGGTCACCCCCACCCCCTGCCATTTAAGAAAGTTCTAATATCTTGTAAGTGGTCAAGATCCCCACCCCTAAACCATATATATTCTGGTTTGTCATGCTAAGATGGTTTGAATGATATACAGGGTTAGTCCCCAGGGGTCATCTCGACCCCCTGCCATTTGAGAAAGTTCTAATATCTTGTAAATGGTTGAGATCCCCACCCCTAAACCATATATATTCCTATTTGTCATGTCTCGAACATTTGAATGACGTATACGGTCAGTCCCCAGGGGTTCCCCCCACCCCCAATGTTCTAATATCTTTTAAATGGTTGAGATCCCCACCCCTAGACCATATATATTCCTGTTCGTCATGTAACGAACATTTGAATGACGTATAGGGTCAGTCCCCAGGGGTTCCCCCCACCCCCAATGTTCTAGTATCTTGTAAATGGTCGAGATCCCCACCCCTAAACCATATATATTCTGGTTTGTCATGCCAAGATGATTTGAATGATATACAGGGTTAGTCCCCAGGCATCACTAATGCATATAACTTTACTGGACCAAACCAATTTTCACTGGACGTTGCCCAATGTCAGGCGACCCTGGGAATTACGAATTATGGGAGCTTCGTTTGGGAGACTTCGTAACAGCATCCTGTTACAATCATTTCTTGTTATCCTGAGAATTTCATATCTGCCTGGAAGATTCTTTGTTATAACTGAAAATATTTCAAGGGTTTTGATACAATCATCAGTTTTAGGAATTCAATTGAAGGTTAAATTATAGCCAAGCATTGAACAGGTCCTATTTATTTTACATGGTTGATGTTGTCACAGTAGCCTGGAGTCTGTAATGTTTTTATATTGATATGTAAAGATACAAAATTAATAAATATTTCCTAAAGGATTTTTTTTCAAAGATCATTAGTTGTAAACTAGTACTACAACATTATCACTGCATGGTGAAATTTGTTTTGAGGTTAAGGTGGTACCTAACACTACAGGGAGATAACTCTGTAAAAATCAGCTAAACGTTTTAATTACGTTGTATTGTTAAGGAAATATTAAGCTTCTCAATGATCAAAATTAGTGTTTGTCAAACTGCTATATAATCAATGAAATTTTTCTGATAAAGTGGTTGGTTCAAATTTTTTGAAATTTTTATATTTTTGTCAAAGGGTCAAAGTAAACATTTTTTCAAAATTTTATGAAAATTAAACGAGCCAAATTAATATTAGTCAAGGTGTTGGGTACCACCTTAAATTATGCATGAATTATTTATATATCAATACATTGCCTGATTCTTTACAAGGACATTATCTGTAATAACTTCAAACTCATTAAGTTCTGATTTGTTATAGGTACATAAAGGTTATGAAGGAAGTCCAGGATGTGTTGTATTGAATGAGAAACCATTGATTTTACTGGCTGGTGATGGGTTTACACACTCAAACTTAGATGGCTGTATATCATCAGCATTGTCGGTGCAAAGAACTGTTAAAGAACTCTGTAAATTATGATGATGTTTTTTTTATAGGAAAACATTTATTTATGCAGTGCTTTATGTATTATTGGGTTTATGATTTTCATAATTAAATATGGAATTTGATACAATAAAAACATTATTTGTAATAGGTTTATTCATACATGATACAACAGTTAAAAAACATAGAGCATGTTGAATAGAAGGATCAAGAATTTAAACAGTGTCACTGCAAAACAAACAAGAAATGCGCTGTCAAATTTACAGCAAACTAGGTCTGTATTGTAGGGCTGGAAGTGTGAAATGAAATTGATGTATGTTAATGACTAAAGAATTACATTTATCAAAAAGTAGTCATTTTATGGAAGCAAAATATACCACTATATGATCATCCACAGGTTCTCAAATTATTGCACGGAAATAACATAAAATGTCATTTACAGTGAATCAAGGACCACAAAATTGTCAATATTGAAACTGAATTCCATTTCATCATCAGAAACAATATATCAAAATTTGGCAAGCTTTGGTTGAACATTTCTCTAGTTATTGCTCAGAAACCACAATATTCAATTTTCCAAACAATCATGAACCATAACTCCATAAGTACATAAGTAAAAATCGTCTTTATAAAACTTTACCTCCGCTCTGTTACAATCAGTAACAATATGTTAAAGTTTAAATAAAATTGGTTGAACTGTTCTCAAGCTATTGCATTGAAATGACATAAAATGTTAGTTTCTGGCCAAGCATGGACCAAAACTCCTGAATGACAAAAGTGGAAATTGTCAATATCCAATTTGACCTCCTTTTTGTGACCAGTGACAACATATTTAAATTTTGAAAAGCATCAGTTGAACTGTTTATAAGTTGAAACACAGAAACAGCTGGAGACTATTTTGAATATCTTTATTAGACCACAAAGAAGAACACAGCATTCTTGACCTTTACACAAAGGAGAATAAAAATATGGTTGTATATACCCAGAAAGGGATTGTTATATACCTCTTCTATATAAACTATTAGTTATATCCATTTGTATTGTCTGGCTAGGACAGAACTGGTAGAATGTGAGACATAGAGCTGCTAATCCTGCAGATGTAGTGTAAGCTATTTGTCTGATGCTTTATATTTCAGTAGTTAGAAGACCTGGTTGCTTCATCTCTTCTTTTAAGAAGTTTCCTTCTGTCATATGTGACCTCATTTTCATGGTGCTGTGACTGCTTTAAAAAAACTTTAAAAATTTCATGTAAATTCCTCACTTATGAGTAAAAGGATAAATATATTTGGTATATGAGATTCTTACAAGGTCTTCCATGTCTGTGTGCCAGGTATATAAATCTCATTTCATAAATCAGTGATCAAAGTTTAGTTTTCCTGATTAGGTCAGTTTCTCAGATACTATTAGCAGTAGGTCAACTACATTTAGTGTAAACAATAATTGTAAGGTCTACGTGTCCATCTGGCAGGTTTCATCTAAATTTGACCTCATTCCTATGGTCCATGGGTCAATGTTAAGTTTTTCTCAGATACAATAAGCAATTGGTCAACTACATATGGTGTATGGAATGATTGCAATGTGTATGTTTGTCTTGCACGGTTTCTTTGGATTTTGATGTCATTTACATGGATCATTGATAATTTTAAGTAAATGTGATATTCTAATTTAATCTAATATTTTAACAAAGTATCATGAGTCTAATAGCGTATAAAGGCACTCTGGTTTCATCCAAAATTGCAATTGACTGTCATATTTGTACTAGTGTATAATATTTTTTATTTCAGCCAATGTTTTAACTGACAATCATGAGTTGACTAGTGTATAAAAGTAATCTGGTTTCATCCAATTTTGTAACTGACTGTTTTGGTCCTACTGGTTTATATAGGTACTCTGGTTTCATCCAATATTGTAACAAACAATAATAGTTCTTTTAATGTATAAAGGTAATCTGGTTTCATCCAATATTGTAACTGACAATCACGATTCTTCTAGAGTACAAGTAGCAGACAAACACAACAAAACTGAATAATTTTATTGTAAACAATACAAAATAGAAACAAGATAAATAACAAGTTACAATATAAAGGTGGGTTATAAAGGCACACAGCAGTTAATGACCAATGCTATAGTATCTCAATGTACAATTTGACTCTTTTGCATACAAAAATACAGTATCTGAATTTTTAAGAAAAAAAATCACCTTTGCCAAGTGATTAAATGTAACTTAGTCTTAAAAATAAAAGTTTTGGTAGTTTTCCTGGAGAACTGACATACATTGCTTAAGTTATCTCCCTTTTTTAGAACATCAACATTTACATTCTATATGAATATATGATTTAAATGGAATAAATTATTATGCATTATTGTAAAATTAGACACTATATATACAATATTATTATGTTCAGTAAAAAGTTTATTGAACTTCTGATTCATTAACAATATTATGGGAATTTAGTACAATTTGAACAGTTTAAATTCAAAATAATATACAACTTGTATCAAATGTTTATAATGTTATCTGAATCTGTATAAATAAATACAGACCTTATTTAAAGTGTTTCCATCCTCATCCATAAGTCTCTGGTTGATGAATGATTGTCTACCACACCTCCTTATTTTAATTTTGTAAAAAAAAATCATGAAATATCTGGTTTTGCTAAGAAAAAAATTACTAGCTTCTTTTATTCTTGAAAAACAGACATGAAGTAATTTAAAATCAATTTTAAAACAACAATGAAAAAATATTAACAATTCATTTAAAAACACTAATTCAAATACAAAACTCTAAAAATCTAACTTTAAGGCAAACAATAATTTGGAAACATTTGTTTAACACTATACTATCATGCTTTCTATACATGTAGCTATCACTCACTATAATGGCAAGAGAAAGCATATCCTTCTATAAATAAACCATTGTTAGGTTTTGTACAAAGTATTGAGCATAATGTTGTTACTGTTTTAGATGATTGATATGCACTTTCTGAATCAGTTTGTCATGCATAACAATGGTTGAAATGTCAGTCTACCTGAAATTAAATTGCATGAGTAAAGGAATAAAACAGTTCAAATTCCTTTGTCAATCATGGCTAAAAAACAATGTATAAGAAAACTATAATGTTCAGATCCTTGCTTGCCTTTTCAACAAATAAAAATAACAAAAATATAAACAATTCAATTTAAAGCTTTTGACAATACACATTCTCTTTTCATAAAATGATTATGACAATAGAAAAACTGAATATTTTTTAATCCAATGATTATTTAAAATGTTGAACAGCTTTCCAGGCTGATATTTTCAATATTTTCTTTGGACCATGTGGAGAGATTTGTATACCATTTGCATCTTCTTTTTTTCCAAACCAACCTCGATTTGAAATAAAACAAAACGTGTAACCTTTTCCTGGATTGTTGTTAAAAGTTCTATTGATTTGTAGTCTCTACAATTCATCCTTCTCTTTTTGATCAGAACACAAACCAAACATTCCTTTATCATAACACAGAGGTTTAACTAATGTTTTGTCTTCTCTGTACGCATCATATACTTCCTCTTCTCCAAGTTCTCCTATATAGTTAGAACACATAGCTTGTAATCTGAAAGTAGAGTCATTGTACACTTAAAAGAAGTTAAAACATTATTTCCTATTGAGTGTTTACACAAGTGCAAAGTCCAGTATGTCAGAAAAAGATCATTAAAACATTTGCTTTATTATTTTTTCTTTTTCATAAATTAACTGACTATTCTAGATGAATTTGCTCAAATTTTCAAAAATCATCTTTTTGTTTTGACTCCCATGAAAGATAATTTATAACTGCTGAATCAAACAGAAAACCAGACAAAACATTATGTCTGTCTAACAAACATACTCAAAATCTGCCTCTCATGACCATATTGGTTTGAAATACATGAGCATATCAAAATGCACATACTACCCTCTTGGATACTTCTTTACTTTAAAGGTCATCTACTAACACCATATTTTATACCATTATACCATGGACTTTAAAGCTAGTATTTCTAGCTCCGAGATATCCCCATAATCTCCAACATAAGACAGTGCTAGGGGCCATCTTAAACTTGCAGTGTTCCTTTGCTTTTTGTATGTTTTTTTGTTGTGCATTTACTGATTTTGTGTCCTGGATGGATACCCCATATCCTTTGTTTTTCTATTATAATATTGCAACAGTTTTTATATTGCAGGCTGTTTTAGCACTTACCAACACCTCCCAACAAAATATCAACCTTCATTTGTCAAGAGTTGGCTACCCACAACCCCCCTGTAAAACTAAACAACCATTTTGCCCCACACTCGATCATCTGACTAAAAACATCCTACTGCATTCGCCTTTCCCCTGAAGACCATCTACATTACATTATATTATACCAGTTTCAGAGCTATGTCATCTGGAGGTTCTTATGTAGAGACATCCATTTGACTGATGCACCAACACAATAATTGTAGTCATCCTGACCTTGCAGGCCATCTACACTACATTATAAAAGCAGTTTCTTACATTGGAACATAAGCATTAGCTGATAAGCAGAGCTGTTGTACCTTCACCTTCTCTAGACAAAAACCATAGATCCCCGGTCTTCAAATACATTTTTTTACCTTGAAAGCTATTTCAAAGCTCACTACATTGTAGCTGTGTTTTTATCAATGTATATTTGTTCTGCCTAACAGGAGTTCCCCAGGTAACTTTTTTATAAACAATGCCATAATACTTGTTCCTCTTGGAACAAACATTCTTTACCCTTTATTCTGTTCGGATTCCAGTGGAAATAATATTTCAGAATATTTGTTCCATTTGGAAACTAAACTTCTATTTCATGTCATTTTCACTACCTTGCTTTTCTTTCAAAAAGTGACCCCCTCCCCTACACACACAAACATCATGCTGTATTTACCTTGTAGGCCATTTACCACCACCCTGCATTATACCAGGGGAGTCATTAGCTGGCATTCCTGGACCAGATAAATGTTTCTTTCCTTTCAATTCTTTAACACCATATCTACATACACAAAACAGTATTGTATAGAATCATCATGATGAGCAAATATTAACATCTTTACATGTATGTAAACCATATAAACTGACTTTACAAAAAAACTTACTGCATGATGAGTTTTATCATTGTTTTAAAGTCTTGTGTAGACTACAGACCATAAGTTATGTTACGTTTGTCTATTCAGACTTCAGCTGGGTATGTTGAACAGCAGATAGCAAGTGTAGATAACAAATAATTCTGATTAACTTTTTTAAATCTTGATCATGATAAACATCTTAATTTTGTTTTTATATTAATACAAAAATTTTAGTCTGAACTTTCACCAGACAGCATAAAACGTGGTGTCATTTCCCATGTTTCATAGAAGATCTTTAAGTGTATAAGTAGCACAAAAGTAGAAAAAGATAAATCGGTGTACCAAGAGGGGATTGGGTCAAAAACATAATTCAAATGATAGACAAAGGACTGACTAGAGATTCCTAACTTAGTTGGCTTGCAACAATTTGTGTCGGATCCTATTTATTGTTTATAAAAGCAAAAAGAACATGTTTAAATATACTTACTGATCAAACCCATTACGACCACACACAGTATCTGTTACATCGAAGATTTCTGATTCTGTAAGTCTTTTAGGTCGTCCACGTTCAGCTTTGCTAAACCCACTTGCAAGCTTTAATGACAAGAAAAGAATAACATTTAAACTATCTTGAAGCAAATTAAAAGATTAACAGAACACACAGGCTTCTTTCCTTCTTTAATGTATCCTACTTCATAGCAATATAATTGTAATTGTTTTTGAAGCAGTAAGCAGAATATGTGCTGCTCATCTGCTTTCATATTTCAGTCCTTCATCCTCGTCAAAGGGACAAGCTCTACCTTCCAAAAGTTCCCCATGGATAAATCATATCATTAATCTTATGTTTCTAAGTAACTAACTAACTAACTAACTAATTTTATTCAGTATAAACCTATGATTGCGTTGGATAAAATATAAAATAGAATAGCATCTTGTAATCATGGTAATTATACTGAACAGATGAGTAGATGATCACTCCTGTATACTCAAATATACTTTGTGTATTGTGTTAGATGTCCTTGTTTAATACCTACAAGAAGGTAACAACTCCCTAAATGAAAGCCGATTTTATCAGCTATAGTTAGAGGAGGGGATAAGGGGTCAGCGCAATGATAGACGGTGTTGTCGTAGAAGTGAGAAGTGAAAAGTACAGGTTCCAGCCCTGCTCAGGGAGGAAGTAAAGAATCAGATCTTCTTTAACATTGTTAGGTCAATTTTCTAGGCACTTTATATATATATATATCAGTCACAGCTCTGTCATAAACAAGCCAGAAGACATGTGCAAGTCAGATTATGTATTTTTACAAAGGAGTTATAATGCATTTTTAGACTTAATAAAAGTCAGAATGTGTCAGACTTCTTCAGGTCATATTCTGTTCTGTGGAATGTGAAGTTTTCAGTAGTTTATTTTAAAGAGTTGTAGCAAATCTCTAATACTCAATAAATAACCAGGAATATTTGTATGATGCTTTACAATATCAAAATCTATCTTTTCATGCTGGTTTTCAAGTAAATCTATTTCAAAAATTATACATAACATTTTTCACAATATTTTATCTATCAGAAAAACATACTTACATAAGATGGTTAATTTCACATGACTTCTTATTTTTTAGGCTCCAATTCATATTTTTTGTTGATAAAAAGTGTTTGTGGAAGGTATTTTTAAACATTGTCATGTAGATGCTCAGTTGATGATGATGGTCTAGAAAGATTGGCATTTTATAAGGTGGTCTTTTTTCTTGTAAAAGTCAAAATTTCAAATTTTTGGTTAAGAGAAAAAATGGCATTTAACTTATAGAAGTCAGTTTATGTTTAATTAAAGAACCTTAGTGAGCCCGCTCACATACCCACGTCCCCACATTGTCATTGGAGAAATAAAATAAGTGTAAGAAAAAAAAATTGTATCAGAAAAAAAAAATGAATCATAATTTCCTGTCAATATGCACATCTACATAGTATGTCCTTATTATCTACACAGTTTCATGAAATTCTGTTGTGTGGTTTGAGAGGAGTTGCGATGACAAAAGGTTGCAGTAGTATATTGGGCAAATAAGTTCAAAGGGGCGTAACTCCTGGAAAAAAAATTGAATCGTAATTTCCTGTCGATATGCAAATCTACGTAGTATGTCCTTATTATCTGAAAAGGTTTCATGAAATTCTGTCGTGTGGTTTGAGAGGAGTTGCGATGACAAAAGGTTGCAGTAGTATATTGGGCAAATAAGTTCAAAGGGGCGTAACTCCTGGAAAAAAAATTGAATCGTAATTTCCTGTTGATATGCACATCTACGTAGTATGTCCTTATTATCTAAAAAGGTTTCTTGAATTTCTGTTGTGTGGTTTGAGAGGAGTTGCGATGACAAAAGGTTGCAGTAGTATATTGGGCAAATAAGTTCAAAGGGGCGGAACTCCTGGAGAAAAAAATTGAATCGTAATTTCCTGTCGAAAAGCACATCTACGTAGTATGTCCTTATTATCTGAAAAGGTTTCATGAAATTCTGTAGTGTGGTTTGAGAGGAGTTGCGATGACAAACTGTTGCAGTAGTACATTAAAGTAAAAAAGTTCAAAGGGGCGCAACTCCTAGAAAAAAAAAATGAATCGTAATTTCCTGTTGATATGCACAACTACATAGTATGTCCTTATTATCTAAAAAGGTTTCGTGAAATTCTGTTGTGTGGTTTGTGAGGAGTTGCGATGACAAGAAATAGGACTGACGGACTGTCGGACGGACGGGTCAAAAACATTATACCCTCCGCAACTCGTTGCGTTGGGTATAAAAATGATGGTAGGTAACTCATGACATCTAATATTCTGACTTCCATAAGTCTTTCAATTCTGACTTGTTTATGTCAGAGCTCTGACTGTATATATACTCAATATGCAGGTGAACTCCCTCAAGCAAAGTTGATAATAGATAAATTTGGCTATACTTTTTGGGTTTCATATACTATTACTAGTATTTAGGTCCTAAGATTTTTTCGTATTTCAACATGTTTAATACACATCATTGGCTTTCAAATGTTTAATTAGGTCTGAGCATTCCTGGTGCAGGTAATTCCAGAAAGGTACTATAGATTCATGAAATTTATAAGTGTTACTTTCATTTGCAGAACCTACATGTACCTTTAATTTTGCCTACTGCATTTATTGTTAATTTTTTCACATCCTAACATGCACGAAACATTTGCCTCTGGACAAAAAGCAACCAACAATCAATCTTCTCTCATTTCAGTTTGTAGACTTTTGGATAATAACACTTGTATACATATATAGTCATATTCTTTATTTCTCATGGGTAAGCTCGGTCAATTTTCAGTACAAACACTTATATTCTCACTTGAGGCCTTTACACTGAATTTACATTTGTATCACATAAAATTTGACGTAACCAAGACAACTGAACATAATAAATAATACTTTGTACACGAGACATTTTTAAAAATATTAAAAACATTCTTTATTCAAGAATTCTTGGATTATCCATGGCCAGTAAATACTTAAAACTTGAATTTAACTTGTAAGCTATTAGGTCAGGGATTTGGTTACCACAAATTACTTAAATTAACAATGATTAAAGTAAAAAACCTTTACTAATTAAATTCTTTCATTGATCTATACAAAGATCTGGTTTGGGAAATTTAGCTGTACCTGTAGAAACCTTATTACAAATGGGATTTCACATAAAAAAAATAATATGGTAATGTTGTTTATTGAGACTGCATATTTAAATATGATCCATGTACAAATGTAAAATTAGTGAACCTTTGAATAAAATTATTCTTAAACATGTTAAAGGTTATAAATTTAACACTATATATACAAGTTTATAAGATCTTTGAATATTGTCTTTATTGTAAAATGTACCAATTAAATATAATTGCTATAGATACAGTCTGTGATTAAAGTTTTTTTTATACATATATTTGTAAATAACTTTGTCCAACATTTGAGGATTTTTTAACTTAGACAGAAGCCTTTTCAATATCTAAAGACAAGTGTCCAGAGTCAAATTTTGAAAATTTTTGATGAACTTTTTAGTGACAATTTATTTTTGGTGGGGACGGCACATAGAATAGGTGTATAAATTGATCGAACATTTGAATATATGTTCATATGGCATGAAATCAAATAATGATCATCATCAGGTACATTCATAAAAGAAATACAACGTCGCCTGTATGAAAAAGAGGACAATCATTTAATATTCTGGGCGGAGGGAACAGAAGCATTTTTTTCTGGATTGATAATTTTTCATCTGATGCTACCTATGCTTATTTTTTGGCAGCTTTGGTGGGTGAAAAATTTGTACACCCCACTTGAAATAAGTTTCAATAACTTTTGTAGGTCATCCTAAGGCTACAGTGAAAATCTAGTCAATTTAAATTTCACCCAATATTTAATCTAGTCTATTCATATTATCAAAATATCATGACAATGTTCATAATTTTATTTTTTAAATTATAATTTTTAGTAAACATGTAAATCATTTTAGTGTCTATAAACTATGTCTAGTGCTATATCTGTGTCATTGTAATTTATTGTATCTGTCAAATTCATGCCTTTTATCTTGAATATGTAAATGCTCATTTGTTCCGATGTTGGAAAGTTCCGGGCGGATTTTAAGAACTTACTAGCCGAAAAGTTCCCGAGGAACTTATTAACTAGTTACATTTGTACTTTGTTCTTCCTCTGGTTTAAAAGTTCCACCGGAACAAAGTGACTAGTTGAAAAGTTCCAACGGAACATATCAACTAGTTAGAAAGTTCCTTTTTGCCAAATTAGTCAAAACCGGAACTAACAAACTAGCCCAAAAGTTCCAACGGAACTTATCAACCAGTCACAAAGTTCCATTCGGAGAATTGAGGCAAAGAACCACGTACTCTTTCCTCTCTTGAGGGTACTATGAATACTAAATTTGCATGATAATGCAACTTATTCCGTTTTATGTGAGCTATGAAATACAACTTAAATTTTGCATATTTGTCCCCAAAGAAACCCCTTTCAGTGCGTTGGGTATTCTTGTAAATTAATGATTTGCTCTTATATATACTGATACTCATTCTTCCCCCTCTTTCTACAAAAAGGACGAAATATGGTATATTCGGAACGATGTAACTAGTTGTTCTGTTCCGCCAGAAATATTCAACTAGCTACATTGTTCCGGGACTTTTCAACTAGCTACTTTTTTCCGGAACTTTTCGACTGCACTCGGAATAAAACAACTAGTTGGAAAGTTCCATCGGAACGAAATAACTAGTTGAAAAGTTCCGCCGGAACAAAGTAACTGACGGAACATAGTGGCTGTTAGTGTTACAAATACACATTGTTTCCTGCACTTTGTGTTGAACAACGAATATTCATTTGCATCCTGTCTTATGCAAAGAAATTTATTTATTCAGTACTTTACCGACCCAAGTTATTTATTTTCAAAATCTCCCCCTCCCCTTTTCCCCCGACAGTTAGTATAAAGTCCCTGCCTTAGTGTAAACAGAAACATCAACTGTATGTCTCTGGTGACTAGAATACCTGATATGCCACGACTAAACATCCGTCACACTTGAGTCCTGCTGGCATGTGTAAACTGTGAGCCTCTTCATCACTCAGACTAGGTGTTCTTAAATTTATAACACCTTCCTTTTCATCCTCGGCCTCATTCACAGAAGCTCCAGCAAAATCGGTACACGTGCAGACGTTCCACAGGGAGAGTGTCAAAATAAAATCCCTCATGATGCACCAATCCATGGTTTTAAAGAGCTAAGCAAGCGTGGTTGGTTATATACAAATTTTATACTTAACACACACTATTGTATGATTTAAAATTATCCAGTCTATTACACGTGTAGTATTGTGATTCGTTGAAACTGATGAGATTATTTGACTGTTGAATGTCCCCCAAGATTAAAATAATTATAAAATCGATTACGGGTAGGACAAGTTATGTATAATCGGATTTACTTCTCCAGTGTATTTATAACCATTGTTAAAAGGCAAATAACATAAATTTATACCACTCGATGTTGGCTTGATACTCTCGGCTTATTAAACACATGCTGAATAGTCTTAGCCTTTATAACCCCGTCCCTACACGTGGGTTTCGTGTGACTCAGTCGACTTTTGTTTCTGGGTTAAAACCACAGGCACTTGTCTCAGCATTTTTCCCCCTATATACCTTAATATGTGTTATATTAAGGTATATAGGGAAAAAAAATTCTGAGACAAGTGCCCGTGTGGTTAGAACAGAATTCGCTTGACACTGCGCTTGTCTATACGGCATGCTTTTAGCACAGTGTGCAGGATGTCCGTAAAACTGTCGAGGGATGACTTTAACTTAAGAATATCGTATCAATTGGGGGATATATACTCCTTGTGCAAGTGCTGTTGGAGTATTACCACATACAAATGGACAGTTCACAATTGGGAAAGCTAAACTCATTTCTTTTGTCGTAAACTTTTGTTCTCAACCGACCCTCATTGCCAATTTCTAGATGTAAGTCAATATATAAGGCAGATTAAGAAAATAGGCAGAAGATATAAAGGAGACGTTAAAAGTTCATAAGTATCTAAGAGATACTGACAGCGCCTTGTCAAACTTTGAATTATATAGTGGGATGACATCATCTATATAGCGGAACATGAATTTAAACTTTAATGCTAGCTTCTGTTCTGTATGAGAAACTCCGGTGTCAGAAGTAAGCCTCATATGAATGAAGAAAAAAGGTCGACAAGAACACGAGCACGGTTGTTCGTTGAAAACGTATCCCCAAATGTACTAAATATTTTGTCAATAAATCTAAATTATGTCGGTTTCAAAGAATTTTTGGTTAAATTATGGTAGATTTTACGATGAATGATTTATGAAGGGGTGGACAGGGGGTACCCTCTCCCACCTCCCTCCCCCAGTCTCCCACCTCCCACCCTATATCATCAATTTTTCGACCATTGTTTAATTGTACCTATTAAATATACTTTCACAGAAATTGATCCAATATCCATCCATTTTGGTGCCAATCATATCTCTGGCCTTACATTGATACTGTGTTCTGTACGCAATGTTTCGGGTTTTTTTTTCGGAATTTAGATAATTCCATGGAAACCTTCATATGAGACCACCCCTTTTGTTTTTTTTCCATTTAATTCTTTTTTATTACTGTTTTAATTTTTTTGAATATTTTTTTTTATCATTTATTATTATTTTTAATTTGTTAATTAAATTTGAATTTCGTTTTTTTTTTTTTTTTTCGAACTATATTTCAATAAAATTTTATGTTGATTAAGTGTTCCATGGTCATGATGGTAAGAAAGTTTGTCATAAGAATATCAGTGTACATGTGTGGTTTACATGATGGTCATTAATTAGTTCTGCACGGTTAAATATTTAGTAGAAACTGTGAGGCCTATACAAATTATTTTATAGTTGGTTTCACTAATTTACCAATGTTCTATTTCTTTTGAATCCTATTGATAAATTTTTATGGAATCTGGCACCTATTGTAGAGTCTGTTTAATAAGATGCCAGTATTTCCTGAATACTTTTTTAAGTTATAAATGCTTGAGTATGATAATTAGGAACTTTGTAAATTTATTTTGATGTAAATGCGTTGACCGAAGTACATTTTGTATGAAGCACGGTCAACGCTTTTACAACCCTATAAAATTACCAAAAGAAGCATTCAATACTTATAATTACATTTTTTTGCTAGGATCATGAAAACACGATTTCTATCGAGTTTTTCTTTTTTTTTTTAACCTGTGCACTTTATTGTGGAAGCTCGTGTCATCATGAATGTTACATTTCATTTTGAAATGAAGGTTAATTTCAGAATGACGCGAGATTGCTGTTAGCCAATCAAAATAACGTATTATAATGAAATATACATGTAATGTAATTATTATATAATGAATGATACATTACATTTATTTTCAACTTTGTTCTTTTTCTTTAATCTATATTGTCTGTCTTGGAATTTGATTTTTGATAGAATTTGTTTTACCAATTTCAGTTTATATCCTCTAATTAATAGTTTTGCAATAAATAGGGTTTTTTCTGTTTTGAAATTCACTTTCAGTGTTGATGTTTCTAAATATACGAGTACCTACGCCTTTAATAAAGCATTTAAAGTTTGAAATGGGGTGGTTTGAGTTTTTATGAAGAAATTGGAATTTTTTGGTATTCTTTGTAAAGCATTTCAGGTCTAAAACACCAGTATTTTCGAAGCGTTCACCTTTGAGGATTTCAAGGTCTAGATTATTGCATTCATAAGTGAAATTTAGCATGTCGTGTTGTTTATTTGGATTTTCAAACAGGAAATCAATTTTAGACACTTTTGCGTTTACAACCAGTAGTCCGTCATCTAGCTCTCATTCTTTTTTTCATAACTTGATTAGAGAGTTTTCAAGGATTGACTTTATGTGGTTGTAAATAGCAATGTCACATATTTCAGAGGAAGCTGTTGCTCCCATTGATGCTCCAATAATTTGTCGATATGAATTTCCGTGAACATGGTGAAAGGTAAATTCATTATTGGAAAGGATGAGTTTTGTTATTTCAAGCATAAATTTATTGTTAGCTTTTGTTATAGGATATTGAATTTCTTCATGTTTATCAAGCGGTTTTTGTAAAGCGTGTGTGATTTCCTCAAATCTGATATTGGTATATAGTGATGTTATATCATATGTAACAAGTAGTACATTATTATCAAATGTAGTTTTCAATATTTCTCACTAAGTCACCTGTGTCAGAAATGTACGTTTTTTTGTGTTTTTTACTAAGGGAAGTAAGAAATATATAATCTAAATATCTTCCCCATTCTTTCAAGCGGTCCATTACACTGTGATATAATTGGTCTACCCGGGACATTTATAGTTGTTATTTGATTGTTTTCGTTTTCAATGTTTTGTAAAATTTCTCTGTCCAGTTTGTGAATTTTAGGGAGGAAGTATGCAAGAGGTGTTTTTACATAGTTTTGTTCATTTTTAGTATATTTGAAAGATATTTTATCAATACAGTTTTCTTCTTTCATTTTGTAAATTACTTCATATATTTTTTTCTGAGTGTTTCTAAGAATTATCTCTTGTATTTGTTCATAACGTATTTAATCATTCAATTGTTTTCACCTTCTTTGAGTTAGTCGGTAAGATTTAAATGACTGTTACATTGTTTTTATCCGCGTTGTGAATGATGATATTTTCATCGTGTTTTAGATTCTTGAGGCAATTTCTTTCTTGTAGTGAAAGGTTAAATTGTTTTTCGGTATATATCTAGATAATTCCATTTTCGTATAGAAAACGTATTTTTCAATGGGGTAATCAGCAAACACCGGCACCGGAAAGTTTGATTTCTCCTTTAAGGGATGAATTTTACTCTGTATATTTGGATTTTCAAGGAAAAAGAATGAAAGTATCAAATTCCTTTCAGTTCTTTTGAAATCTTTCATTATTTGTTTTATGGATATTTTTGTAGTTGGAACAAAGTTTAGTCCTTCAGCAAGAACTAATATTTCCGGTTGTGATAATGTTTTATAGATGAAAGATTCACTACAAATTGTTTTGCTGTTTTGAGCTTGATTTGTTGTTTATGTAATTTTATTTTATTTTTGACTGCTTTGAACTTTTCAATGTTTTAGTCTTTTTCTTGTTTTTATAAATTCTTCTATGTTTAGGCCAGAGATATGATTCGCACCAAAATGGGTGGATATTGGATTAATGTCTACGAAATTAGGCCAGAGATATGATTCACACCAAAATGGGTGGATATTGGATCAATTTCTATGAAATTATGTCCTGATGTTAAATGCTGTATAAAAGTTTAAGAAAATCAAAGACCAATCTTAGATCATTTATGATCCCTTTAAGATAAAATCGGCTCTAGATTAATTTTACATAGAAACTATTTTTTCTCCCATCTCCTACCCCCCTTTCTCCCACCTCCCAACCCTTGCCTCCCACCTCCCACCACCTCTTCTCCTACTTCCCACCCCCCTTTCTCCCACCTCTCTTTTTAGATGTCCACCCCCTCATTTATCACTTGCTAAAACGGGATGTTAGTACAAATTTTTTCAATCTTTCTAAAAGTGTAGAAAGGAAAATACTAGTTTAAAGTCACATGATTCATATTATTGCAACGGGAACGAATCTTAGATTGACGTATGAACTCCAACAGATCTTTGGATTTTTTAAGTATCAACATTTGATTCCTACCACCCCTACATTAGGTACTTTCACAGTAACTCTGAAGCCGGGCTTTGATTGCTGATAAAGTTGATGTTGATAGTTTGGAAAGAGGTTTTGTTGAGCACTTGGCTGACCCAGTAATGTAACGTTGTTTGGTATGTCACTTATTTAATGTTGGTACAATGAAAGAAGATCAAGTTCTCCATCTTTAAGAAGGGCCATTTTGTATCCATTGTTGTTCTGTTGATTTGTTGGTAATGATATTCATTAAATATGATGTTTTTTTTTTCTTCAGTTCCATCGTAATCATTTTTACCAAGCCTTCAGTAGGTGGACATTTCCTGGGATCCCAAAACTTCTCAACATGCATCAATGCTATATGCATGTGATACATATCTGAAGGAGAGGTGAAGTCCAGAGGCAAGTCTTATGTCGACAGGAAGGATATTTAAGGCCTGCATTTCTTAAGGTAATCAGATGTGCCCGTGATATGAAATGGTAGACCTTCAATATGTTGACGAATTGAGAAATCTTTAAAGTTGGATGACCGTTCGCAAAAACAATTGGTCTTCCTGTGTTATCAATAGCCTTGCGGATTTTGGACAAAAGACAAAATCTGCCAGATTGGTATCACATATTCAAGAGTTTCGTCATCGATTACTAGTTAACCATCTTCGTGCATTTCTATTAAACAAGCAGTTATATGTCTGCTAAATTTCGAGGTTGGGTTCGAGTCTCGTTTTCGGTAAATCTGGCATCGTAAAGTTCATTATATGATCATGGATAGCATGTTCATAATGTTGTTTGTGCTCGATGCACTGGGGTTTTTTTGTCTCAAAAGTAGTGATAAGTACTATTATATGGCAGTGAAATATGGGGAATGTTTCGTACTGATTCAGCTGCATGTAAAAAAGATAATGATTATATATTGGAAAAAGTTTTTGGTCAGGATTCCTCTGAAAAAGCTCATAACAAATTTATGAAATATATTCTTGGTGTAAACAGAAAGTCCAGTAACATAGCTGTGATGTCAGAGCTTGGTAGATTTCCTATTTATTTTACTATAATTTTATCAATGTTAAAATATTGTCATAGACTGGAAGGTTTGAAAGAAGGATTATTATTTGATGCATTCATATGTTGTAAACAATTACATATTTCTAATGTAAATACATGGTACTCTAGTATAGATTATATTCAGAGAGAGATTGATTTACCAAATTTTGACCAATCAATTGGTTCTTTATGTCAGTATGTTAAAAATAAACTATGTGAAAGTTATTTAACATTTTGGAATAGACTGAAGTATCAAACAATTAACTCTGAAAAAGGGAAGCTTGGTACTTATTTTTCTATAAAAAATTGTTTTAAAAAAGAAAAATATTTAGAACTACAGGATTTTAAAAAAAGACAGTCAATTTGTAAATTAAGAATAAGTGCTCACTCTTTAAAAATTGAGACAGACAGATATTCAAAAAAATATATAGAAAGATCTGAGCGTCTTTGTTCAAATTGCTCACTTGGTAAAGTTGAAGATGAGCTTCATTTTTTGTTAGAATGTCCTCTTTGATACTCAAAGGGAAGACTTTTTTCAATACATATCTGACAATTGTTATAATTTTAAAAATTTAAATAAATCTTCTAAATTTTTATGGCTCTTGACTCAAGAAAATGTAACTCTTATGGAAATACTGGGCTGTTATATTTGTGACTGTTTTGAATTAAGGAGATCAGGTATGCATATTGACACTAAGTCAAGTAAATGATTTGAGAATGAATGCATATAATGTAATTTTATTCTTTTATTCACAATATATATGTGGTTTTTGGCTCTGATTCTGACCAATGCTAATATACTAAATATATATTTTCAAGTGACTATTATTGTTGTTGTTACCAATTATGTAAATCAATTGTATCTGATTTTATGCCCTTTATGGGCCCTGTAATTTGGGAAATAAAATATTCTATTCTATTCTATTCTATACATTTGATATGAGTTGTAAGTTATGGAAGAAATGTTGAATAAATATTTCGATTAAAAATATGAAAAGACTTATTGATCATATGTAACAAAGGACAACATAATGATGAATCTCAAAGAAAGAAAAAAAATTGAGTAAGTTAATGTTCTAAAGGAAAACGATTTACTAAAAAAAAAAAGAAAAAAACTTGAACTCCGCCAACGCAGCGTCCCAATCCCGGGTGAAAAAGGAGGACGGTTATGCAATTGCATGTCAAAGTGAAAAAAAAAGTAGAAAATAATTATTTTTTTTACCAGTAGGTCGTGTGCCATTTTTAATCCTCTACTTAATCACTTGATACTTTATTACTTATAATCACCTGTCAATAGCTGTCATATTACCATTAAGGTTCAACACCAGGCATAATCACCAATTAGCAAAGAATTAAATAATTTAAAACAGTTTTAAATTATTACAATATTGTTATTATTTGATCAGAAACATATATATATATATATGTCTCTGATTTGATAGTTTTAAAATTATTACAATATTGTTATTATTTGATGCACACTTTGATCATTTTTAAATAAAGAATATATTAGGTATGCAGAACTGTGATAAATAAATTACTTTGAGTTTATTCAAATGATTTCCTGTATTATATGAAAAAAACACAAGAAATTTATTCTGGCTTCAATATATAGACATTTCAAAGAGATATACACTTCCAGAGACGAAACTAGTGAATTAATTTATATATATTGTCTTTAACTGTTTAATTAAGACAAAACTAATAGAGACACACTTTAAAACCATGTATAATTACACCAGGTATGAAACTTACGAATTGACCTAGTTACGAAACGACCAGGTTACGAAACGACTAGCATTCTCTGGAAAATTGATAACTATCAAGCAAGCCAATTAGGATTGTTATTGCATGAATGCAATGTTCATCCCCAATGACAATTTGGTCTCATTACTGAATGGGACTGGTAATGGACAGAAATATTTTCAGAGCAGCCTCTGTCAACCGGTGATTAGATAAATTGATCACTTTTCACTGCAAGAAACCCAGGAGAATCGGGAAAGATTTTTGATAGATCTGAACTGAGTGCTTTATTTGCCTCATTGGCAATCTTATTTTTATATTAATCCAAATGGCACCAACAGAAAGAAAAACAGTTTTAGTTTGTAAATGTCCATCAGTTATTAGATAGACATAAGAAGATGTGATATGGGTGCCAATGAGACAACTCTCCATCCAAGTCAAAATATTTACATGTATTACTACCTTTTGATACCTTAGGATGTCTAAATACACAGTCACGTCAAAATGTTTTTCTCGATGATTTACAAAGTCACCTGTGAAGAGCTCTTTAAAACACCAAAAACTCATGTGATTCTAGACAGCATTTTTCAATTAACAAAAGGGTTGACCCTGACGAAAGCCATTTGTTGTGCCGAAACATTTGTCAATATGATAGCATTTCATCTTATTGGTATATAGTATCATTGCCTAATTATTTAATTTTGGATGTAAAACGTCTTCTGATTGGCTGAATGTTTTTTGTCTATCAGCTCATAGACATAATTTTGTCTTGTGACCGTGACGTCATCAACGTTTTTTCATGATTTACTCCTTAAAACGGAATTTAGAATTAAATTATAAGGAATGACTGTAATATTTTTTCTGTCTATTGGAAATAACCTCAAAAATGTGGTGCACACTTTTAAATACGCGGGTTACTAGTATTCAGTGTGCACCACATTTTTGATGTTATTTCCAATAGACAGAAAAAAAATATTACAGTCATTCCTTAAAGACTTTTATAATGTTCCTGTTTGTACAGTGTCGTCTAGACGATCTGATATCTGTTAAATTTGCTGGTTTTTTTCTATAGACACTTATATATCTTCCAATGGAACTACAAATCCGTATATCATATATACTTGTCCAATATTTTATGATTGTTCAATCATTGGGTCTGCATGGTGTTTTCTGGGATTAACATCAGACTGAGCGTGACCATTTTATTTGTAGTTTGAAACAACATTACATGTTTCTTGTAAGATTTTGACTAATCTACCCTTCAAACTAGTTTTCTTCACTTATTGAGACAAAAGAGATGATCGATTTCGATTAGTTTTCCTATTTACGGGAACAGTGGGTCCCTATCAGTCCCCCATTACCGGCAGTATCGGACGCAAAAGCAATCTAAGATTAAGGTCCAACCAGTCCTCAAAAGAGGCTATCAGACGTCTGAGTAATATCAGACTTGTCATCTTGATGATTGATGTTTCTATTAACAGGTCTTGTAAACTTAACGGATGTGTTTCAGGAGACATACAGTATTCCTATGGGGACAATTAATGCTCTAATTCTTCCCGGTCGCCGCGATATGGCATTTGCGCAGATGAGGCGTAAAGCAATCATCAATCTATCAATCAATCAATCAATCATTCAATCAATATTCTTTCCAACCTGTTCGTTTATTTATTCGTAAACAGATTTCATACAGGGACTTCTCGAAGAGAACAAAAACCAGACATTAATCTTTAACTTCACGTTCCTCTATATAAGATAATGCCCTCCCACCACCAACAAAAGTATTGACTATGTTGTCACATACACTTAAAATAAAGGGTAACATGGACACAGTGAGGTCAGTTTCGTAGCTTGAATTACATCAAGGAATTCACAATTAGGGTCTTTTGAGATGATTGAACTAAATTTTTATGTAACCACATTCCAGCAAACATCTGAATATGGGATCATCTTAGGGTAATTCAATATTCCAGAGCAATTCTATTATGTCATGATTTCTTTGACAGAGGATTGCTCCTTACAAGGAATATTTGGAACCAGGTAAGGTTGAGGCAATCTCTTCCAAAGCTTTACGATTGTCATTATGATTTGGTTGACTGTCATTGTATATCTGTGTCCCATTTTCCATTTGTCTTAGCTATAATCTTGTCCTCCTATTCTCATTGATAACATCCCTGAATGCGACCTATCACCAAATTTTTACTTGCATGAGCAACAATAGTTGAATAGGAACTTCTTACTCCTCCAGAGCACCCAAGAATAAACCAGTTTTGATAAGGTTCAAGGTTCACATTGCTCTAAGTTAAGTTTTCTGTGTAATATTTTGTGGAAGTTTGTTTGTCCCAGGAATGTTGTGTTGTCACAAGAAATAATCACATGTATACAGTCACCATAAATTATTTCTAAAAATCCTTAGTCTGAAAAATGGGGCATCTATAACTTTAGTCATCTGCAAGGGTTTGATTGACTAGTAAAATCTTTTAAATCACTGATTGGATAATTTAAATTAAAAATACCTTCAACTTGAATCAAAGATTTATCTGTATGCAATCTTTAAACTTTAGTTTTGAATTAAGAGTTCTTATTGACTGTAATGTTCCACTGCATGTATTGGAGTTGAATAAGTCTTGATACTAACTGATCATAACACTACTCTAAATGGCATAACGCATAATAATAAAAGCAAAAAAAAACTACACACCTTTAAAAACATTATTTTATTCATTAGAATAAAATTCTTAAGCTGTAACAGACATAACTAGTAATTTTTTTTAAAACAATTATTAATAAGAAGTTAATACTCTATCACTTAAGGAATCATTACCTTAATTAATCATGTGATTGGTAAAAAAAAAAAATACAACATAACTTTGTTATACAGTAGATTCCCTTGGCAAACTTGCAATAACGAATATATTTTTTTGTGTGATTTCAAAAATTTTAGAAATTAAAATCCCACCATGTTTAAATATGGTACAGATACCTTTAAGGATAGAGACGTATAACAGTATAAAGCATTAGTATATATTATTACTATGTATATAAAGTACATAAAACCTTTAAAAAATTAAAAAAATAAATAAGAAATAAAAATATTACAATGACTTTTTTTGGTACATGTACCAGATTGGCAAAATCATGACTATATTCCGATTGAAAAAAGTAATTCATGTATGTAAATTCAAGACTGCTTTTTTTGTTGTTCGAAAAAAATAAATTCAATTTCATGAATTCAAGTTAACATGAAGATAATGCAGTATAAATTAAAATATTTTCTTTAAAAAATGATAAAAGGGTGATTATTTAACTTCATCTTAATCCTTTGCCACCTTTTGTAAGACTAGGTCTTGAAAATTTAGTTACTAGTGAGTGAAAAAAATTAAAGAAGAAATCCTCTTTTATGGTTGGTAAAAAACTAGAGGAGCCTGTGTCGCTCACCTTTGTCTATGTGCATATTCAACAAAGGACACTCTCCAACATTGTAGACGAGAATAGAATTCATGACAATAATCTCTGTTTTGTTGATCTTGTATTGCTGATCATTTAGTCTGTTTAGTTTCTCTCTATCTTCTTTAGTTTTTGCTCAAGACCCAAAAGAGGGTAAACAAAATCCTCATTTAAGGGCAATCACTCCTATTAAGAGTGACAGTCTACTTACTATCTCGGCAAATAGTAGACAAAAATGAAAAAAAAAGGTAAAATTTGTCATTTAAGGGCAATAACACCTATAAGAAGTCGTCTGACAGTTTTGACATATATGGACAATTGGTAGAGCTCAATATTCTAAACATTTTTGCCCCAGTCAGATTTTTTCTATAACAGTTTTCAATGATTGTTTAGCATCCAACGGCAAGTTAAATGCATATTCAGGATGAGAACATATTCATGTATTTTGAATATGAACCCTGCTTTGTTCTAGACAGACATGCTGAGCTGGATGTTTAATGTGGTATTCACAAGATAACAGTAGACATGGCACCCTACTTAGACATATTATTCTGACTGCAGGCTGACCAATCTTTGCTCTTCCTCCTGCTTAGTGAAGAAGCATCAAATACCTATTTTCAAGTCTTTGGTTTGACCCGGCTGGGGATTAAATCCACGACCTTCCTCACTTTAGGCCAGCACGCTACCATTAGACCTCCAAGGTACTTCAAAATTAAAGGAACTTTATGAAATATGTAAACTTTAAAAAAAACAACTTAGTACTTGAATTACAATTTATATATAGATATCTGTATGGAAAGACAAAAGAAGTGATTACTGTATAGGTAGGGACCTTACTATGACTAGCTTTTGTATCTTATAATGGTAATGCTTCATACTTAAAATCATAATTATAATGTAAGTTATAATGTAATGTTTACTCCGTAATAAATAATAACCTAATGTTGCATGATGATAATAAGAGCACTAAATGTCTCCATAACTGTGAATAAAATTGTTTATCTGGGAGTTATATGTAAAAATTTAACACATATAATAAGGAATAGGAGATTCATAATATATAGAGATTGCAAATGTCTTCCTTTCTTCCTATGTAAAGAAACACTAATATCAGATTGAAGTCCCTGTACAAGATAAGAATGAATATATGATGTTTCTTACAGCCCTATTTTCCACAAGAAATGCATCGTTATATATGATGTTTCCTACAGCCCTATTTTCCATGAGAAATGCATCGTTATATATGATGTTTCCTACAGCCCTATTTTCCACCAGAAATGCATCGTTATATATGATGTTTCCTACAGCCCTATTTTCCACGAGAAATGCATCGTTATATATGATGTTTCCTACAGCCCTATTTTCCACGAGAAATGCATCGTTATATATGACGTTTCCTACAGCCCTTTTTTCCACGAGAAATGCATCGTTATATATGATGTTTCCTACAGCCTTATTTTCCACCAGAAATGCATTGTTATATATGATGTTTCCTACAGCCCTATTTTCCACGAGAAATGCATCGTTATATATGACGTTTCCTACAGCCCTTTTTTCCACGAGAAATGCATCATTATATATGATGTTTCCTACAGCCTTATTTTCCATGAGAAATGCATCATTTTTCATATAAAGAAAATAAGATGTAATGATAACAAATGTACATGTATTGGCAAATAATTAAAAGGATAATCTATAAACTAAATGCTAATAATAATATTGTAAGCTAATACCTGAATATAATATTAAGTCATCTATTGAGAAGAGGATGATCAACTTTTATGAGGTATACATTCTATTTGGCAAGATTAATCATCCCTCAAAATGACTCAAATACATTTTTACATCATGTTTTTAACAGCATAGCTATGTATGAGATTACACTAAATCAGCTACAATAATAATAATATACAATGAACAGTATGAAATTTTTTAACCATTTTCAGAACAAGAACATGTTTATGTGATAGAAATATTATCCATGCTAAATAATCACTCTATTAAACATTTTATCAGGTAACATTTAGCAGGAAACATATCATGTCCCTCCCTCTCCCACCCACTCACCACACCTCTAAACACAGAATTCTGCCTTTGAGCTGATTAGTCTTTACTACCATCATAACACGAACTCTAAGCATATTCATCAAAAGGGAGATAATTTGTAATACTTTAAAATTGAATGCACTGTAAAAATCAAATATAATACTCCAATGAGAAATAACAAAGGACAAATAATGTTCTATATAATCATATACATCCATAACCGAGTACAATGGCAAAAAATGGTTGACCATTTCAGATGTAATTCGGAAATTGCACAACTTTAAAATAATGGAACGAAAGATTTCTGGCCTGCAAATATCCAACTCAATAGAATACAAGAGTTTGAAGACTTAAGTTATTCAGCAAATTAACAAAATAAACAAATAAAATAAAAAAAATTAATATGAGTAAAAGATTTTTGAGAAGATATGATAGTATATACCCCAATGTCCTTGGAGAATTCTGTTTGTGCCAAAAATGTTTTCAAAATGCCTAGCATCATTTGCGTCAAAAATAAAGTATACATTTGCGCCAATTTTTGAAAAGGTATAATAACAAAACATAAAACTATTTACAGTCAGGCAACATAATCATATTAAAGCCTGAAACTTGTATTTTAAGACACAAACATAATCCCTGCGACTGACTTCTCCGCTTGTATAATTCAAGTATTTATAAACAGCCAATGTTTCTTATTCTGAGTTATGGTTTCATTTAACTACTGCTGCATTAGCATTTCGCAATTTAATGTAATTAGAGGCTTGAAATTTTATGATATCGTCCAAAAAAAGAAAACATAGATGGATCCTATGGAAAAAAAAAGAAGTTCATTATAGTACTTATGAAATTCCTCTGGCACATTGTTAGTGTGTCTCCATACAGATGGTGCAAACAAATCATTGTCATCAACATATTTGGATAACAGATTCTTTCAGAAAAATTTTTAAAAAAAAGGTCAATGTGATCTATAATTCTCATTTGTAATTTAACAGCTAAACAAAGATTTTACCTTAAGAGTTGAAATAGGCTAAAAATATTTCATCACGGATTGCACTTTTATATAACTAAATTTCTATTTATTATTTCTTGGCAAGTGACAAGGATGAGCGAATGACAAGATGATGGAGGTTTTGTGAACCTCTTCAAGTGCTAGCACCAAAATTTAAAACATTTGAATGAATCAAATCTTGAATTAAATGCAGTTTATAAAAAATCCTTTTATTCTGTACAAAATGCTGTTCGAGGAATACTTCATAAAAAATTTCACACAATATCTATAAAATAACATTTGTTCTTTAATTATCAAATCCTCTAAAATATCAAAATAGAAGATTATGTGGACTTTGTAGTGACATATTTTCTTGTTCTGACCTTGTGCAATTTTTTCTTGAATGCTAAATGCCATCATACATTTCTGTCACATATTCAATGAATGTCAAGGTCAACCTAAATGTACCATTATACATCACAGATTTTAACTGCTTATCAACATATGGCAGTATAATGAAAGATACCTCTATATGGTTTTCATACAATGTCAATGTATCACAGTTAGTTTCAGTCATTCAAAAAATCTAAGATGAATTAAAACTCAGCAATGATCTTCTTCTGCCCATGAATTACAAACATCCCTGTCTAATGCAATACTGTCATGTCTGACTCGAAATGGTTCTTCTTTACCAGTATTAGAACTGGTTTCCTGCCCAGTATTTGACATGGTTTCTTGCCCTGTATTTGACTGCTCATCCTGTGATGAGTTAAACCTCGAGTACGCCATGGAGAAATTACTCTCGGTGAAGAAACATTTGTAGTCCCTAAGAACGTCTGGTTTATACTTCCTCAATCTATTTTCACACAACCACAGAATCTGTTTTTGCATATTGTTTATTTTATTATACACTGTATCTACTAGCGTTGTTTCATCTTTTACCCCATTACATGGAATTTTTACTTCTCCTGAAATCATAAAATATCATTTTCTTTTGACGAGGTTCCTAATGTATAAAACAAAAAGAAAAAGAATAAAATTGAAGATATAACACATCTAAAGGCTGTTCAATTAAAGTATCATAAGGCACTTTGTTGTTAAATTTGATTAATGATAATGTATTCCTGTAAGAAAATTATGCTGAGTGAATATAAACTTCAAAAGCTTTAAGTAAATGTACTTGCTGATCAGTATATTAAGTAACTCAGTGACTCCTTTGTATTTTAGTATTTTTACCAATCTGGCATTACTGAACATATACAGTAATTACTGTAAATTCAGAATTATTGCGAGGTTTTTATTAATGTGAATAATGTGACTAGGTGATTATCACAATAATAAGAACTCACATTCTGATATCTTATGCATATATATCTGTATGCACATTTTCCTGAAAAGGCAATAATTAATCTCGCATTTTTGTTCATTCTTCAAAAATTGCAATAAAAAATGCACACAATAATTTCTGAATTTACAGTATATTTTTTTGATGATGAGTTTCAAACTGATTTGAAGTCTACATAATCAGATTGTGAGAAGAATATCAAATATTCAGAATAAGAATTGCTAAATTAGATATCATAAGTGGTTTCAGAGGTGGTAATTTATACATTTTGTAACAGTAGGCACTGGCTGATCAAGTGTTTTCTTGTAAATTAATACCTATATCTAATCCTTGTTGTCTTAATATTTCTTCATTTATGGTCGTAGCATCAGGAGTCACATTCTTCTTTAAGATTTCACTGAAATGTGAATATAAATCTTATATATAGGACTAAAGGAATGTAAATTTTTTTGTGTCTCACAATTAAAATAAATATCTGTTTGTTTTCTCTACACTATAATTTAACTTATGATTCTGTACATTAAATACTTAAATATTTGAATTTAGAAATTATGTCATTATCACAAGATTAACTTTTTAACAGTTATTTTTATAAGAAAGATACAATACTGGAAAAGTAGATCGTTACACATGAAAATATCAAAAGATTGGTCATAAAAGCAAATAAATCCCTTTATGAATTCTCAATGCATATGATATTTTTGAATACATATGGATTACTTAGAATTATTGTGTGAATAGTTATAAATCTGAATATGGGCAGGGTCAGTGGTCAACAATTTTATGTAATCTGAAGAATGAATGCTTTGAAGGATTAGAACCTACTGGAATTTTCGATCTTAACCATTGTCAATAAAGTTTTTTGGTCCCTTTATTTACTTATTGCTTTTGAATAAATTACTGGCTATTTATTCTTATATGTATTACTGGCTATTTATTCTTATATATATTACTGGCTATTTATTCTTATATATATTACTGGGTGTTTTTTTTAACTAACCTAAGTTTCTGTTTGTCTGTGCTCAGAATGCTAAATAACAGCAGTATTCCTATCCTGTCTGTTGACGACTGGGTATTTATGTGCATTAAAACATGTTTATCCTGAAATAGAAAAATAAATAATGTTGGTATGGCAAGAATCTCCCATCATAAATTAAAAACCAATTGTTCAGAGAACAATTGAAGGTCTTTCCACCCATAAAGATCAATTTTGATATAGAACTATTAAAATATCATATCCAGCGTCAAATGATAGCTTATTGTACACTGATTCCAAAAATATATGGTTTCTATACATTTTTTTTCTAAATAAGGGAGATACATTGTTACTTCCGGTTTGAAAAATGTCACTTCCGTTTTTTTTTTATAGTTTACTTGATACTGATTCAAAAAATGTATGGTTCAATATACTTTTACATTTAATAAGTACAAAAAATAGCTACTTCTGGTTTGCACATGGTCACTTCCGGTTGGCTTTTCCATGGTCAAGTGGCTTGCAACGTACTGCCATGGCTTTATCATTTATACATATGAGGTAAAAGCAAAGGTCAATATCTAGAACGTCAAATTTACCAATGACCTTGAGCTCAATTTCAAGGTCATAAACCAAGGGCTTAAAATCAAAAGACCATAGGTCTTAATTATAAATGGTTAATGAGTTATATCACTATATGCCTAATTTTTAATATAAGAGGGGAGAAAACTCCAATTTAATGTTAGTAAACCTTTTCAACCAAAATTTATGTGTTACGACATGTCGCAACTTACAATTTAGTAAAAATATGTTGTCAATATCTTATACGGTTTTTGAAAACAATTGAAAATAAGCCAAAATCAAAATTTGAAATATGACCTTGACCTTATTTTCTTTTTTTGGACCTCAAATAAAAAGATCCTAGGTCTCTATCACTTATGGTTTACAAGACAGAAATGCATATCACTTATATCAAATGCATAAGGGGAAATAACTCTCATATGGAGTGTTTGTATGGCTTCGGTCAAAATTGAACAAATCATGCGAAGGATATAACGAGCAATTTTATAAAATAAATTTGTCGCTTTCTTATACGGTTACGGAGGAGATGCAGTCACAAGGAAAACAGTGTTCGGGGAGATAACTCCTACAAAGAAAAGTATTCGGTTACGCAGGGTGAATTTCAAAGGCGCATAAACTGTTCGATATCATATACCAAACATCTAAGCGACATCTTGCAAAACAAAATTTATACGCAAGAAATAAAAGTGGCGGAAGAAGAAAAAAAAATAATAATTAAAAACCAATTGTTCAGAGAACAATTGAAGGTCTTTCCACATCAATGTTCTAAATTATTGATGAGAAGCTACATCCAGTTTACTCAAAATTACTATTGGTGTCCAAGCTTTGGTTTCTTCATACTGATTCAATTAATATATGGTTTCTATATACTTTTGCCTAAAATAAGGGAGATTATTGCCAACTTCCGGTTTAGAAAATGTCACTTCCGGTCTCATATGATAGCTTTATTTATACTGATTCCAAAAATATATGGTTTTTATATACTTTTGCATGTAAAAAGGGAGATAATTAGCTACTTCCGGTTTAGAAAATGTCACTTCCGGTCTCATATGATAGCTTTATTCACACTGATTCCAAAAATATATAGTTTGTATATACTTATGCCTGTAATAAGGAAGATAATATGCTACATCCGGTTTATAAAATGCTACTTCCGGCCTCAAAAGATAGGTTAACCTATGGTCATTCAAAAAATATATGGTTTCTAGGTACTTTTCCATGAAATAAGTGCAAAAAATACTACTTCCGGTTCACTCAAGGTCACTTCCGGTTGACATTTTTCAAGGTCATAGGTCAACCAACAGTTTGCAAAAGACCCTATTGCTTTATCATGTAACAAGTTTGAGTAATAATCAATTAACCTTAAATTGAATCATTTCAGGGACAATAACTCCTATAAGATGTCATTTGATTGTTTCAGACCAAATGTATCATATCTTAATCATAATTAGGCAAACATTTTGCACTTGTTCTTTAATTTGTATCTTTAAAAGTGACAGAGGAGATCAAATAACAAGGAAAAGTCAAAATTTAGAATATGACCTTGACCTTTGACCTTGGCCTCAATTTCATTTAAATGGACCAAGGAACTCAAATCAATATACCTTAGGTCTCTATCACTTACCATTCATGCTATACATTTATATATCCCTTATGTCAAATACAGAAGGGGAAATAACTCTCATATGGAGTTTACCTACCGCCTCGGTCAAAATTGGACAAAACATCATGAGTATATAACGAGTAATTTGGTAAAATAAATTTGTCGCTTTCTTTTACGGTTACGGAGGAGATGCAGTAACAAGGAAAACAGTGTTCGGGGAGATAACTCCTACAAAGAAAATTGTTCGGCTTAGAATGGGTGAAAATAAAAAGCGCATAAACTGTATGATATTATATAAGAAATATCTAAGCGACATCTTGCGAAACAAAAATTTTACGTGAGAACAAAATTAGGCGGAAGAAAAAAATAATAATAATAATAATAATAATAATCAGAACAAATACAATAGGTCTTTCCACACAAAAGTGGAAAGACCTAATAATCAGAACAAATACAATAGGTCTTTCCACTTTTCAGTGGAAAGACCTATTGTGGAAAGACCTAATAAAATGTAAAAAAAATCAATCGTAGGTCTCCAACACCAACATGTGGAAAAAACGTGGTTCCCCCCTAACTTTTATAAAATAAAAAATGTATGATGATAAATATGCAAACTACTTAAAAGGGACAGAACTGTTGTAAAACTTGCTGAATTAAAAAAAATGCATTATTCCTCATCTACTACATGTCAAGACCAAAATTGTTTGATGTCTCTGCAGATCTGCTTGAAGGTTATAGTTACTATCTTGATACAATACACAAGACAGAAAATTTGATAATAAAGTTTGTTTCAGCCTTACCTGCATCCTGACTCCAGCCATTACCTGCTGGAAATTACCTGTCAATTAAAAGAAGAATACGTTTAACAAACAAACAAAACCCAAACAATTAAAAGAATCAGCTAACTGACCATTGCTTGTTGAAAGTTACATAATGCAAAATGTCTGTAATAGTGCAATAAAAACAACAGTTTAAAAAATCATAGTAGTAATACACATTTTGTCTATTTGAAGCAACAGATTTAATTGCATGAGAGCATGATTTCAAAAATCAGACATTAAATATTGTCGGCTTGAAGTATCATACATCCTTCAATTTACAGTTTATAAAACTTCATTCATTTTAATGTCCTGCATCCTCTTAGCTTGATCCCTCTTTGAAAATTTCTGACGATGAGCCAATGGAGGCTTTATAAACTGAGGTTTCCAACTTATAGTTCAGCTAACTTATCAAGACCTATATCTATTTCTTTTTTATTCTACTGTGATCAAATGGATCTCAATATGATTTATTCAACTTCTCATCTTATCATGATCTAAAGAGACTGAAGATGAACTATTCAAATTCTCATTCTGTCGTGATATAGAGCAACTTAAGATAACATATTCAACTACTCATTCTATCATGATCTAAGGTGACTGAAGATGACTTATTCAACATCTCATTCTATCATGTTCTAAAGCAACTGAAGATGACCTATTCAACTATTCATTCTATCATAATCTTAAGCAACTGAAGATGACCTATTCAACTATTCATTCTATCATAATCTTAAGCAACTGAAGATGACCCATTCAACTTCTCATGCTATCATGATCTATAGTGACTGATAATGACTTATTATACTTCTCATTCTATCATGATCTATAGTGACTGATAATGACTTATTATACTTCTCATGCTATCATGATCTATAGTGACTGATAATGACTTGTTATACTTCTCATGCTATCATGATCTATAGTGACTGATAATGACTTATTATACTTCTCATGCTATCATGATCTATAGTGACTGATAATGACTTATTATACTTCTCATGCTATCATGATCTATAGTGACTGATAATGACTTATTCAACTTCTCATTCTATCTTGATCTATAGTGAATGAAGATGACTTATTCAACTTCTCATGCTATCATGTCCTAATATGACCCATTCAACTTCTCATTCTGACATGATCTAAAGTGACTGAAGATGACCTAATCAACTTCTTATTCTATCATGATCTACAGTGACTGAAGAATACTTATTCAACTATTAATTCTATCATGATTTTTAGTGATTGAAGATGACCCAAACAACTTTCATTCTATCATGATTTATTGTGATTGAAGATGACACATTTAACCATTAATTCTATCGTGATTTAAAGTGACTGAAGATGATCCATTCAACTTCTCATTCTATTATCATCTAAAATGACTGAAGTTCTCATTCTATCATCATCTAAAATGACTGAAGTTCTCATTCTATCATCATCTAAAGTGACTAAAAATGACTTATTCAACTTCTCATTCTATCATGATCTAAAGCAACTGAATATGACATATTCAACTTTTCAATCTATCATTTATACTTATTGACTTGGTATGAGTGGAATAGTAAGTTTATTATCCCCTTAGGTGCAACTATTGCACTTGCAATTTGAAAAATAGTGAAAATATTGTGTACTTATTTAATATAGAAAATGATATCTGAGGTATAATAATGATCTATAATGACTGAAGATGACCTATTCAACTTCTTATTGTATCATGATCTATAGTGACTGAAGATGGCTTATTCAACTATTAATTCTATCATGATCTATAGTGACTGAAGATGACGAATTCAACTATTAATTCTATCATGATCTACAGTGACTGAAGATGACACATTTAACCATTAATTCTATCGTGATTTAAAGTGACTGAAGATGATCCATTCAACTTCTCATTCTATCATCATCTAAAATGACTGAAGTTCTCATTCTATCATCATCTAAAATGACTGAAGTTCTCATTCTATCATCATCTAAAATGACTGAAGTTCTCATTCTATCATCATCTAAAGTGACTAAAAATGACTTGTTATACTTCTCATTCTATCATGATCTAAAGCAACTGAATATGACATATTCAACTTTTCAATCTATCATTTATACTTATTGACTTGGTATGAGTGGAATAGTAAGTTTATTATCCCCCGAGGTGCAACTATTGCCCTGAGGCGTAGCCGAGGACAATAGTTGTATCGGAGGGGACAATAAACTTACTATTCCACGAATATCCAGTCAGTAAGTGTTTTATTATACCAAAAGAGACAACAGACACTGAATGAAATGTTTTGTAATCCAAAACGTATTGTCAACATTGATTTGTAAGCATAATTGTTTCCGTCTGACTTGCGTATTTCTCCATAGAACCTCCTGAGTAAAGAACAGTTGGTTCCACCTCGTCTAACTCCTCTTAGGTTTTTAGATTGCTGTCTTATTCTTTAAGGTAGTCGGAAATAATCTTTTCAGCAGTTAGGAAGAGTTCAAGACTGATTTTGTGTTTTTGGCTTCTTTGTCCTTAATTAATCCTTCCAGATCTCTATCAGAAAGCGACACAAATCGGCCTGACTGAGCCATGATCCTGTCGTCTGATGTGACTTGGTGTGTGTTCCAACGACTTGCGAATGGGACGTTAATAATTGAGATGAATTCCAATAGTACCGAATGAATTGTTAAAAACCCATTAGCCAATCCTGTAGCTGCAGTTGAAATTCCGGTAAAATATTTCATTGAGGGCAAATAGTTGGACTATTGACTGGTCAAATAGTTCCAACGCTTGCAATTTGAAAAATAGTGAAAATATTGTGTACTTATTTTATATAGAAAATGATAACTGAGGTATAATAATGATTTATAATGACTGAAGATGACCTATTCAACTTCTTATTGTATCATGATCTATAGTGACTGAAGATGGCTTATTCAACTATTAATTCTATCATGATCTATAGTGACTGAAGATGACGAATTCAACTATCAATTCTGTCATGATCTATAGTGACTGAAGATGACCCATTGAACTATTAATTCAATCATGATCTATAGTGACTGAAGATGACCCATTGAACTATTAATTCAATCATGATCTATAGTGACTGAAGATGACCCATTCAATTTCTCATTCTATCATAATCTAAAGTGACTAAAGATGACTTATTCAACTTTGTATTCTATCATGATTTATGGTAACTGAGGATGACTTATTTAACATCTCATTCTATCATGATCTAAAGTGACTAAAGACGACTTATTCAACTTTGTATTTTATCATGATCTATAGCGACTGAAGATGACTTATTTAAGATCTCATTCTATTATGATCTAAAGTGACTAAAGATGACTTATTCAACTTTGTATTTCATCATGATCTATAGTGACTGAAGATGACTTATTTAACATCTCATTTAATCATTATCTATAGTGACTGAAGATGAAACATTAAATGTTTAAATCAAAATTTCAGGAATAACAACTGAACACAATTTATCTAACTTGTTATGGCTACCCTGATACCAAAAGTGACCTTATTCCACCATGACCTCAAATGACTTATTGCATACTTACTTTTCATTCTAACCTGACCTGTAGTGATAGTTATTAATAAGTTATTATGACACAGTGATTAACTGAACCATTCTGATTACTGGTTGATCACAGATTGATATTCTATTCATAAATCATTTTGGATGGACAATTTGATTTTCCTGGTGGGGTAAAGGATTTTTTGGGTGGAACATTCATTTTCACTTGTTGGTAGATGGATTCATTTTCATGCAGCCTATGGGCGAGAAAGTTTTTTTCATTTTTGTTTACCGTCATTTCCTGTATTTTGTGGAGCAGTAAATTCATTTACATCTTGTCTTAAGCAAGATTTTGTTATAGCTCTTACAAGGCCAGGATATTCATTTACAAATCCTTCTGCCACCACCTAAATTGAATTGTCATCTAATTTGTAATTAATGTGGTACTTTTTAACAGAATAAAACAGAAGTTATTTAATTTTGGTAGAATATATAATGTTAAAATTCAACCAAATTATCTATGGTGGATATCTGTCTTGATCATTCAGCAATCATACAACATCTCCTGACAAGGAGTGACAACTGACCTGTTTGTGCTGTTACAAACTCTGCAGGATAATGCAGACACATGAGGTTTTGAATAGCTAACACAACATCCTGAGGTCCAACCATCCATACTGGTAACTTACTGGTAGCTACAATATAAAAAGGGTACTTACACTGACTTAAGTGTCATAATGTTTAACAATGGGTGTGTGATGCATGAAAATAGGCAGAACTCTTGAATACCCTCAATTCCCTGATGACTTTTTCTGTTTTTTTTAAATTTTTCATTATATTTCTCCAATTTCATACATTTGAGTGCATATTAAGACACCTTATTTTATTATTTTAACACAGTCAATAAATCTTCTGGCACTCTATCCTCTATGCCTTTTCCTTTAAAGTTTAATATTCTCTCTAAATTTACTCTTTTCCTTTAAAGTTTAATATTCTCTCTAAATTTACTCTAAGTGGGAGCTCATTGATTTTCAGTTTTTCATTTGAACTCACTTTTTCTGTGGAATTTTATCAACGTATTAATTTATCATTGAGAACTCACTGGTCTACAATTTAATTATCAACTGACCTTTCATTGTGAACACATTTTAGTCAAATTCATTTTGATAATCATATCTTAACTGAAACACATTTGTATACAATTTTCTCTTTAAACTTACCTTTCATTGGGAACACATTGGTGTATAAACTTCTCTCTGTAAAAAAGAAAGTTATTAATACTGGACAACAAAATCAAGTAAAAAATGTAACAAATGAGAAATGTAACAAATGAAATGTGACAAATGAAATGTAACAAATGAAATGTTACAAATGAAATGTTACAAGTGAAATGATAGAAGAATTGAAATGTTACAAATGAAATGTTACAAGTGAATTGTTACAAATGAAATGTAACAAATGAAATGTTATGAAATGTTACAAGTGAAATGTTCCAAATGAAATGTTATGAAATGTTACAAGTGAAATGTAATAAATGAAATGTTACAAATGAAATGTTACAAATGCATCGCAACCAAACATTGTTTAACCAGAGTCTTCCAGGAAACTCAATTGCTCATGTGACATCTATGAGAAATAAAAACTTGTCAAAAGGATCTGTTATATAAAACTATGTTCTCCTATGTTCTCCACTTTTGGAAAGCTGTATCATCCATCACATTTAATTTTGAAACTTCAATTTTTATTTTTTATTTAAGACAAGTTTTATCTAAACTGGCTGCACTGTTTCAAAGTATGAGTGTGCTCATCCACTAAAACATATTACTGTTCTTTCAAAACAGAATCAGGATACTAATAGAGAAAAAAAAAGTAAAATAACAAAAATACCGAACGCCAAGGAAACTTCAAAACGGAAAGTTCCTTATCAAATGGCAAAATAAAAAGCTCAAACACATACCATATACCATACAAATAAAGCTAAAAACACATTTTCTGTCAGGGTGGCCATATTAGATGTTTCGCTCTGTCATGATGGTTTTAATTCAATCAAAGTGCGAAAGCGCTGTAAAGGCAGTTAATTACAGGTTGTGTGTATTTTTAGTCCAGTTATATCATTATCTTGCATAGTACAGTGTACTTATTAGAGGTGGCTTTCAGTATTTAAGATTTAGAGTTCTCTAATGATATTGAACAAGTTTTATGAATGTCATATTATGAACACTATATGAAGGCGATTGTTCTCACTTGTTTATGAACTAGTGCATTATGTCCAGTTTGTACCTTGTTTATCTATGTTTATAGTCAAATACTGTTTAATATAGTTGGGCATTTTCTTTTTAGTAATAAATACATGTTATCAACTGTACTTCATTCAACTTTGCAAATGTGGTTTGTAACTAGTAAGTATGGATGATAGTTGTTTCATTGGCAATCATACCACATCTCCTTATTTATCTTGTTTATATAATGATCTATATTCAACGACCTCAGGTACAAAAAAAATGTATGTAACTAAACTATGATGGGAAACCTTTGACTTCTTTCTTTTATATAAACTTTTGATTTGGTACCATAGAACTATGTAGAATAATCCTGTTGAACTTATCGTGCACAGATGACTTTGTCTATCTATCATTTTATATATGTATGATGGTATTTACCTGCTATCCTTGGATTCCACAGCTTTAAAAATAAGGTGAACACATGTTTATATGCCATGTATATGCAACACAGCTCATGGTAAAGTATGCCAACAAGAATGTTGGTATTAAATCTCAGTCCACTTTGATGTTTATGAGCAATTTGTATGACTGTGATATAATTAACTCGCACATAGTATATGTGTGTATCTGTGGAGTTACATATTGGATATACCAAGCATATATTTTGGCATGGATGATGATAATAGATATTGTGGCATTATTATAAAATACACTTTATATGGATATGTTATATCAATTTTATTTGTAAACTATGGTAACATACAGTCAATCTCTATTTTAATCTTAAAAGCAATGTAAATTTAACAATGGGGTACACATTGTCTTCCTATACTTCAGAAAATAAATTTGAACCTTGGTGATAATCACCATATACATGCATATATGATTTTCTGTACCTCACCATGGTACACACTTTGAAGACATAAAAGAACTTTTACTAATTAATATAAATGGACTATTCTTTATTATTGTTTATATTAGCATATCTAATGACTTCCATCCTATGAAAAGTAGGTCATAATGATTGCTTAGTCACTGTATTGCAGGGCTCGACAATAACGCTTGTCCGATACCAGAGGAAAAAAAGGTCGTACAAGTAAAAGCCATATCAAGCTTGTCCGACAGGAAAAGTAAAATCATTCTGTAGAAAATAAATTAAATCCAACTTTGATGATCAAACTAATAAACAAAAAACAAGAAAAGAAGATAAAAACAAATATTAATTTGACATGTTTACTTGCAATCGATAATTACTGGTTCTTTGTCAGATACTTTATAACGGATAAAACGCATACTATTCTCGGAAACCAGTCTTACTGATCGGAATCAGCGATGCGTTTTGTAGATAAGGTGACATCGCAGTTCGGCACTGGCACGGAAACAAATCAGCTCCATATTTAATAGACAGTTATGCCCTGTGGAGACATTTGGGGACCAAGACAAACCAGTACCTCGTTTCCCTACCTTATTCTGTTGCTTTATAATGAATAATATAAATTTTATTTAACAAAAATATTTTAAAAATAAAGATGAAGAATTATTGACCATAAAATTCATAAAATCATATTTGATCATATGTAGACAAAACAATACTTTGAAGACCCATTGGTGGCCTTTGGCTGTTGTGTGCTCTTTGGTTGGGTTGTTGTCTCTTTGACATATTCCCCATTTCCATTCTCAATTTTAATTTTATTTGATTGTGTTTGAATAAACATTTTAATATATTAAAAACAAAGCTGATTGTAGTAAGCAAGGCATTAATCATAATAATCATTATTTAACCAACATAAAAGACCAGGATACATACCAAATGAGTGTAGACTGACAGGCCTACCAAACTGTGCCTCATGTGCAGTGTCTGATGAGCCTTTGGCATTGACGAAAACTAGAAATGAAGTCCTGTGACATGACTAGATTTAGTTATTTTCGACTCATATTTTTGAAAAGGATATCAAGAGTTATAAATTAAATCCTGTTCTGTTGTTTTAATTCATTTTGTTCATTGAATTAACTTAAAATGCAAAAAAGGTTAATATAAAGATTTTTTTTTGGACAAGTTACAATTCCATTCGGACAAGGAAGTTTTGGTATGTACTTGTCCTATTGGGCAAGTTGAAAAAAAAATTATTGTAGAGGCCTGTATTGTGTATATTGCAAGAACATCAACTAGACAAGTAACATAATGTTAAATGTACATTGCAAGATGTCAACTCTTTCGATGACAATACTTTTTCTAGAAACTATAACTCCAAGTAAAAATTAAATTATTTCCAAGTATAAAGTAATTTATGAATGAAAAAAGAAGTTCTTAATCAAGAAAAAATGACATCTCGAAGACTCGTTGTTTGGTAACTGTCATAATATATGTAGTTGTCTCATTGCGTCACTTTCATTTATGCATCCTTTGGCACAACAAGTTCTAAAATTACACAACATAAAACAACTAATGTTATTTCAGATGAAAGTTTTGTTTCAGTTCCATTCATAGGATTTGTTAGAATTTTGTATGTTTTGCCAAGTCCAATATATCTATGTGCACGTGTTAATAGGAGACTTTTCTATCCCGTATAAGAGTTTTCGAACTAATTCCGTTTCTTTTTTTGAAAAAAGTTAGCAAAAAAATCTTGCACATTAAAACCTTTGTCTGCCATCACACTGTCACCTGGATCACATAATTGAACTATTCTACATCTTTCAACTATTTGACGGTCACTGGTACAACCAACATATGCATTAGAGACATAGTTGACTAAACCACCAGGTGTCGAACATACAAGTATTTTCAGTGTTTCTGTTTTTATATGATGAAAAGGTTGCCTGTTGAGCTCTAGGAGCTTTAGGTTATATCACAGGATATTCTGTGCTGTCAATAATAATCCAAGTAAAAAGTTGTAGGAAACTTTAATTTGAAGTCGGATGGCAAAAAATACCAGACTAAACCACTAGATGGCCAAGCGTTAGCCTCTCGCCACTGTTTAGACATAAAAACAATCCATGTATACACAATATTCTTAACACTAGATTCAATCTACAATCTAGACAGTTCAAAGTTGGTTGTATAATGCTATCAATCTTTAAATATATGTATCTCAAACAATGTTCTGCTGGACCAAGTGTGGTCAAAACAAATAAAAATTTAGTATACGACTCTAAACCGGTATAACAATGCATGGCTGTGTCATGTGTCATCATTTGCGAAATTCTCTGCTGAAAACATAGGCATTGATGGTATTTGCGTAATTCCATCTGTGAAGCTCAACATTAGCTTGGCAGTTGGTGGTGGACATGTACAGTCATAAATCCTTTCTGCAGTATGAATGGCTTCTTCAGGAAAACTAACTTCACAATCAAAACTTTCCTCTAGATTTCTCCTACAATATTCATCAAGTTTAGTTCTTTAGTTTTCACAGGAAACTGCCCCAATTTTTTTTTTGCTGACGATTCAGTCTCTTGCTTGGTCCAGGAAAATAGGTTTGGAATGGTAGTAGACTTAAGTCTCTGTATGGTGGGTTTGCACCCTGAAAAAGGTTATAAAACATTAGTTTTTTGAAAATTAAATGAACTTCTATTTAATCTATTAGCAATGTATACTTTGTACTACCTGGCAAAATGATAACTAGATTTATTCATTACAATCTGGATAAAACTATGTTTGCCTGATTCAATGTATGTTATATAAATCCAAAGGACAAACAATGAGAGACTTAAGCAACAAACGTACATTGTCTGTACATAAATAACTATAATGTAGATGAGAGCATGTCATTGTTTTGTTCCTGTTAACATTGTCATTGATATTTTTCAAGAAAGTCTATGAGGCATAGCTTATGCATTCCTGTCATTATTACATTAGCATAATTACTGCTAAAATAATTCTCAGTATGATATACCTCTTGTAAGAAATCATTATAATTGTAGCATTCACCAAAAAATCTCAAACAGATCACATTGAATCGTACCCCGGTAATCCAAAAAATTATGACTCTTGAATTAACCACCCCCTTTTATTCTAAAACGATAATTGCGGTTGTAAACAGACTTTGGTTTATGCGCATGGCAATTATATATATATAACTATATATTTCAAAAAGAAAATAGAGTTTTACCATGAATAGTTTCCTGCACGTAGTCTTTTTCAGTAAAATGTGCCTCGCAAACAACAGCTGATTGAGATGGACTCCACGAGAAATCGTGTTCTCGTCCAATCTGCGTATGGGCCATGGCGTTGATCCAACTTTTCCTTCTTTTTGAGTCATTTGGAAATGCATGTCCTCCTCTTAAATGACATCCAGGTACACAACAACAAGTACTTGGCATCCTTAATTAATCTAATCTGCTAATAGTTGCACAGTGCAGAAACCGGAAGTTAAGGAACAGGACCGGCTACCACGCGCCACCTATTCAGGAACGATAATTTGCTACTTTTTATAACTGATACCGAAATAACAATAACATCATACGGCTTCACATGCATAAACAGAAATGCGCTTTAAATTGTATAATATAATTCATGTTCAGTCGACCTTTAATTATTATATCAACGACTGAAATGATTTAAAAACATCTAGATTGCAGATAACACTCGAAATTAACCCGACCTCTTTCCACACGGAATTCAAATAATTCTAGTTTGTCAATCGGTTGACTGCTTATAATGCAAAATACAAATATATCAGAAGTTTTTAAAACTAACAAAACACAATGATCGTTTCTTTATTTCCCAATGTAAATGAAATGAAACAAAAAACATTTTATATCACAAAAAGAAGAGGAGAGAATTTAACATTTCCGGATCTATTTGTAGACTAATGACCCCCCACGTAGATAAGTTGGATATCGCGGAAGGAAAGATTAACCCGGCAACCAGAAAGGCATTAAAGCACTGCCTTTAAAAACCAAACATCTAAGAGTAACAGTAAATTCTTTGGTTTATTCCTTGAATGCCAACATCCTTTGATCTACCGACAATTTACCTGTAAAATTATGTTGGCGTTCGAGGAATAGGTGTAAGTAGTTATCACAACAAAAGTTCATGCTTATCAAAACAATCATACTAATAATTAAACAGATATGTAAATTGCAGGTAGTTAAATATAATTCATGTTTGTCAAGTTATTGAAAATCATTTTTTGCTGTTACTGCTTGAACAAATATGAATTCTCTTAAAATGAAACTTTGAAAAGTGTTGCATCACAAAGTCAACATGTGCATATTGTCAGGGATTCCAGTTTTCACAAATTCTACAAAAGCCTCTTTGGACTTTGAAGCTTTTTTTCGATATTTCTATAGTTGTGTGTGCTGCATGTAATATCCTCCCATATTACATGAGGGAATTTCTTGAAACTTTGTATCTCATGTTAGATTACTATGTTTTATTTTATACAGTTTGTTCAGGATATTTTTCTTGGTTATGATATCACATCTATTTTTATTGTAAGTGATTCATAAAATAATATTGTTTAGGTGTTTATTATGTTCGCAACTCATCGGAAAACTTGTTACCCTATTTTATGGATTTTCTTGAAACTTTGTAGGGTTTCCAGATTGGAAGTTATCAAATTTACTTAATTATTTCTGATGCATGGTTTTTTAATGTTTAATTAATTGTTCAATTGAAATCTTCATATAGTTCATATTAACTATATAATATTTAAAATGATATGGAATTTAATAAATCTCTAATATCTTTTTTTCAATTTGAAATAATTGTATTTAATTAAAATGTCTTTAATATTTCTAATATGTCTGATGTTTATAAACATTTCATTTCCAAATATACCTTTTTATTTAATTAAAAGTAATAAAAATGTTTTAATTTTCTTTATTTCTTTAAAATTCATAATGATTTTAACCCTAAAGTCTTCTATTTTTTCTTAGCAAAAAGTGATAAAATGTTGCATTTCTATCAAGTTCACTAATCATTTTTAACAGTTAAATACTTATAAAAACACCTATTGTTATTATATAAACATCTATTGAATTATTTTTGTTGGCATTCAAGGAATAGGTAACATATAAAATGTTGGCATTCGAGGAAGACACCAATTCTTTCCATCACAGATATTTTGTATGGCAGGTAACAATTACTTAGATATCATTCCCATACAAATTCATATTAGGACAAAGATTATATAAAGTATGCTAAGATGTTTCTTTCACTAACCAAAAGTGTTCTAGCTAGGATTTATTGCACAGATTTAAAATGTGGGCCATGTTAGTGTGGTTTATCGTGTGAAGAAGGACAACTTGGTTATATTAATAGGAAAGAACTGAAACAACTGTATTTTTCTGGTTTTTATTATTTTTGGGGTTTAAAAAAGTCTTTTTCTAGTACTTGAAATGATTTTTTCTGCATTGAAAGTAACCAAAAACAAAACTGACATAGGTCAGGAGTATTTGGGCAGAGGGGAGTTGCACTCCTTTATTCTAGGGTAGCCACAACACTGAATTTATGAATAAGGTTGAAAAGTTTACACCAGAAAGAAATTTAGGGTTACAAAATGAACATTCCTAGGTGAAAAAGTAACAAACAATACATGCATTTAATCATTTTTTGTTAATTTTTAGTTATAGTGATCCTACTGGTTTGACCATCAAATGACTAATTTCTCCATATTTGACTAATCTATTTATGCTTTATGTTGTGAAGGTTGAACTCTGAATGTGTGTCTTAGGGTTGCTGTCTCCTTGACATAAACCCTCCATCTACATTTACCTATATATGGATGATTCAAGCCTAGTTCAGTTTAATATGACCAATTTGTTCCAGAGAATATTGTTTTCCCATAAGAAAAGACTTTGTTCCAAAAAGACTCATACAATTGGTGATGATACAGGTTTTGGGCACATAATAAACCACTTGCATCTATGCAATTACTTGGTAAAAACTAGAAAATTTGAAAAAGGAAATAATGGGAAGATGTCCATATGGCAGCAACCTAACTGCATAAATTTACAAAAAATAGACATCTGTGTATATGATATTAATTTTTTGAGAAATATGTAAGAAGAACAACATGTTGCAGTCAGAGATATTATTTATGTTAAATGTTTATGTTCCCATTGCTTATGATCCAGATTTTCTGATTAAATGTGTTTTATAGTTGGTGTATACCCTATACCTCATATCATTGATATCTATGCAAGTACTACTAACTTTTAAATGCTCTATGTCTCCCTTGTTTTGGATCAGATGATTGTTGTCTATTCATCAAAAGCTGTCTCCTCGAACTGAAAAATATCACTGCTGATAAATCTGTTACAACATAATACTTTTGCTTGAAGTATATAGCAAAAAGTTATCAGAATATGTTTTCATTTTTATTCAATATTTGTATTTTTCATATAATAGACTAAACACTCTCTTCACATTCATAAAATTTCACAACAGTCAGTGAAACAAAATTTAAAAACCAACAGTGGATCACTTAACTGGTATAGACTAACTACTTGCTGATTACCATATAGTATAGACTGACTACTTGCTGATTACCATATAGTATAGACTGACTACTTGCTGATTACCATATAGTATAGACTGACTACTTTTTAATAATATTCGGGTATAGATTGACTACTTACTGATCACTTTCTGGTATAATTAAATTACTTTCTTACTGAATACGTTTTGACCACTATCTGGTATAGACTGACTACTTATTGGTCACAATCTGGTATAGATTGACTACCTAATGACAACTATCCAGTACAGATAAATCACTTACTGATTACTATCTGGTAAAGATTGACTACCTAATGACAACTATCCAGTACAGATAAATCACTTACTGATTACTTTCTGGTATAGATTGACTACCTAATGACAACTATCCAGTACAGATAAATCACTTACTGATTACTTTCTGGTATAGATTGACTACCTAATGACAACTATCCAGTACAGATAAATCACTTACTGATTACTTTCTGGTATAGATTGACTACCTAATGATAACTATCCAGTACAGATAAATCACTTACTGATTACTTTCTGGTATAGATTGACTACCTAATGACAAATATCCAGTACAGATAAATCACTTACTGATTACTATCTGGTATAGACTGATTACTTACTGATCTCTCTACTACAGACTGACTACTTTCTAGTACAGATTAAAATCACTTACTGATTACTATCCGGTATAGACTGACAAAGTGGTCCCCAGTCACCACGTTTCTTGTCAAACTTCAGTGCCTGCCATTCACCAGCAGTAACAGGACAAGTGTCTTGTACAAGAAATATGTCACCAGTCTGTATTTTATGTTTGGGTAAGCCTGGCGATCCATCTGGATTGTATGGACTGTTAGCTCTGAAAAGATAAAATTAGTATCATCATAATTTCAAACAAGTTTAACAAACCAAAGCATTTGCCAATAAAGAAAAAATGCAACCAAGAAGAATTCTAGCATTTCAGAAAAAGTTCAAAAATTCAATTTAAATATTATCATGTGAAGGCATCTGTAGAATGTTACGATCTATTTCTCAGGTACTGCAAGTGATAGGACCACTATATTTGGTGTATGGAATGATTGTAAGGTCTACATGTCTGTCTGGCATGGTTCATCTGACCCTGACCTCATTTTCATAGAACATTGATTATGTAAGTTTATGTGATACTTGTAGTAAAACCTTCATATTACAAACTTTCAACATAAATTTATTCATAAGTAAAGCAAGCCAGACATTTCAGCTTGTGCACTCTTATTAATATATATGATCCTTGCAAGGATCTTTATTGGAGTAATTAACTTAGTTTGGTCAAACAATTTCATCATAAAAGGTGGATGCTTATGGGCAAATATTTTATGTGAAGTTTGAAGGCATTTTGTGTCTCAGCTTAAAATATCATAAAACACAATTAAGGTAAATACTTTTCCCCATCTCCCTGACATTCACCATTCTATAATTAATATTTGCTGTCTACACTTTTCCCCATCTCCCTGACATTCACCATTCTATGATTAATATTTGCTGTCTATACTTTTCCCTATCTCCCTGACATTCACCATTCTATAATTAATATTTGCTGTCTACACTTTTCCCCATCTCCTTGACATTCACCATTCTATGATTAATATTTGCTGTCTACACTTTTCCCCATCTCCCTGACATTCACAATTCTATGATTAATATTTGCTGTCTACACTTTTCCCCATCTCCCTGACATTCACCATTCTATAATTAATATTTGCTGTCTACACTTTTCCCCATCTCCCTGACATTCACCATTCTATGATTAATATTTGCTGTCTACACTTTTCCCCATCTCCCTGACATTCACCATTCTATGATTAATATTTGCTGTCTACACTTTTCCCCATCTCCCTGACATTCACCATTCTATGATTAACATTTGCTGTCTATGAACTATTAACATCAATTTTAAATATTGTTTAACTTTGACATAATGTCATCTTTCTTAAATATTTTTACCTGACATAGAAATAGTCTCCTCTTTTTGAATTCTTTGCATCTGCCATCCAAAGCTTTGCACAATCAAATTCTGGAAAATTTACAAAATAAAAAATTTCATTGAAATCTATCAGGACAAACTTGGGGAAGATCTACTCATGAGCTACACACCTCCTCTTAAGTCAAAAGTCAATATAACTTTCATTAAAAAGTTAATTATCTCCCTTCCTTTCTGGCTTCCAATAGCTGGGATAGAAATACAGCTGAATCAACTAGATTTAAAAGAGAATTTCCATTCAACCTAGTTTATTCAAGTTCAAGAACCTCTTTTTAACATGTCTAGATTTTTTAGTTATATTTTAAGATGTACTAACCAGAACCCCTTTATTACATGTCTACATTTTCAAATTATATTTTTAGATGTACTAATCAGAACCCCTTTTTTACATGTCTTTATTTTCAAGTTATGTTTTTAGATGTACTAACCAGAACCCCTTTTTTACTTGTCTAGATTTTCAAGTTATAATTTTAGATGTACTAACCAGAACCCCTTCTTTACATGTCTAGATTTTCAAGTTACATTTTTCGATGTACTAACCAGAACCCCTTTTTTATATGTCTAGATTTTCAAGTTATATTTTTAGATGTACTAACCAGAACACCTTTTTTACATATCTAGATTTACTAACCTGGAGTGTTATTGATTTTTCTTCTTCTAAATGTGACCTCCATTTCATCTGAATGATGTTTGAAGGAAAGTTTCTCTTTAGCCTGACTTTGAGTAAAACCATCAAAAGAGGTGCGATCTTGTTGCTCATACTCTTCTGTAATTTTACACATCTGCAAATATCATTTCAAGTTCTTAGATGAAATTAAAATATCAATGTACACAATATCAAACATTTTGAAATTATAAATATTTGTATCAATTAGTAACCAAAACTGTTCAATATGGTGTGGATATAAAAATTCAGGGAATAATAGTTACATTACATTACCTTTATTTATAGGTGAAATCATATCATCATATCCATTTAAAAAGGGTGACATTAAATATGATACCACTAACTCATGCTGAGTAAGGAACCTGAGACAAATCTTTGCTTTTATGAAAACTGGGATTGTGACCCATGACCTTCTGAACCAGAGGCTGGCACATATCCAACTGTGAGCATGAATTTACACATTAAATTGACATAATCCAAAAAATATTCATATTGGATTCTTCATCCCCATAAAGGTAATATTGTTACACATAATGCAAAGACTTGGATTTCAGAAGCCTTTTTTGGTGTCAGAATTCTGTTGAAAACATTTGCACATACATTATGCAGAGGGATTTATTGAAAATTCTGTTTGGAAGTGATGTCATCTTGCATATGACAATAAATTGCTTCGCCGAGCGCAGCTGGATACGACTGCAGAGGTCCAACCCTGAACAGTTGGGGCAAAAATGGACACAATATTTGCGCTTGATACAGGTCTGAATTTGGATTATAATTAAATATTTGACACATAATAGGTTTCTGACACAGAATAACTGTAGTCAAAGAACTTAGAATTGGTTATATGATTTGAATTTATATTCAATTTTTTGCTTTTGTGCAATACACTATGGCCTATGCTGTTGCAAATTGACCTCCCCCCCCCCCCCCCCAAAAAAAAAAAAAAAATTACCCCCCCCCCCCCCCCTCCTTTTTTTTTGCAAAAAAAAAATTTTTGAAGAAATTTTCTTTTTAATTTCTGAAATCTGAAATGAGAAAAAATCTCAATTCAAATTTCCAATGGAGTTTGCAACCATAATTACCCATTTAAATACATCATAAAAGTCTTAAAATAGAAAATGACATACATAATCATGGCAAAAATTAATATTCCTTAATCAGCATTTTTAAATAGTAACTTTCTTTATACATAATTTAAAAGCAGTGTAAGGGAGGTAATCCAAACATAACATTGTACTTTTTATTAATTGTCCATTAACCAGGACACCCTTGTTTTTTCTCACTTTTTTGCCCCTAATTTCTAAACAGTTTGAGCCATAACCCCCCAAAGCCAAAGCACCTTCGTGGTATGGAAACTTGTGGTATAATTTCAGAGAGATCCATACACCGTTCCACAAGTTATTGTCTGGAAACTAGAAAAATGCTTATTTGGGCCCCATTTTGGCCCCTAATCCCTAAACTGTTAGGACTATAACCCCCAAAATCAATCCCAACCTTCCTTTTGTGGTTATAAACCTTGTGTTTAAATTTCATAGATTTCTATTTACATTTACTAAAGTTATTGTCCGTAAACCAAATGTCTTCGGATGACGCTGACGACAACGACAACGTGATACCAATATACAACTGCAAAATTTTTTGCGGTCGTCTAAAAACGAATTACATTACAATCATCTGCAAATATGTTTCTTTGGTGATTGAGAATAATAAAGGAAGAAGATGGCAAGTAAAATTCAGAATCTGAGGTCTAAAAAAACAAACCAACAGTATCTTATATATATACTATATGAGATATCTTATATATCATATAATCAAATACTGTGGAACCATTTATTTTCGTCCGTAACAATTTTCATGGATTTAGGAAAGAGTATATTTTCATGGATATTTGATTTGGTGGTTTTTACCAAAGTCTGCATACAAGCCTATAGAAAATTTGTACTTCATTGAACATTTAAATTTGTGATTCACTTTTACCCATGAAATCCACTAAAATTAGTATCCCACAAATAATAATGAGGGGCCTGATGGGTTATTTTAGTTCTTCGTGATCGGCGCATTTTCGCTATCGTGATGTGTTTTTCTACAGATTTTTTTTTTTTTTTATATTTTCGTGATCCGTGATCATGGAAATTTATTTTCTGTGAATCGTGATTGACAAAAAAAATCAACTCGTGAATCGTGATGAGACCCCCCCCATCAGGCCCCTCAATAATGAATCTACTGTAAAATACTTTTCAGATCTGCCAGATACCAAATTTCTGTTTGTGGTTAGTTGAATTTTTTAAAATGTTATTGTTAAATGAACATAATATTTTCGTCATAAATTTCTGATCATTTCTCCAGTACTTATAAAAAGAATGATATCTTGAGCGCTGAAATATAAGTGTAGTGTACCATGTTTCCTACTTATTTATAATAAATGGGAACTAATATACTTACAGATTCAATTTTATCTCCTGGTTTCAGAACATTTTCCTTCTTTTTTGTCTTTTCTACAAATATTCCAGTAAAGTTTCCCCCACATATTGTCATTTTATCTAACAGCGGCATTTTCATTTTCACTGTCCATTTCTCTCTTGTATCTTCATAACTACCAGATCTGTTGAAAATATAATGCATGTTATTAACTTAAAAGACAAATACAAAAAAATTGCTAAAACTAAAATGTTTGAAATTCAATCTCAAGAAAATTTTAGAAGCTAGCTAAAAATATTTTTTTCTCTTATAAAATCAAAGCTTTTTTCAAAGTAAATCTTTACATGGAAACCATAAACATTGCTGGGCATAACTTCTGGATGGATGTAGCCATAAGGGTAAAAATAAAGAATGGACTAGATATTTACAATTTATCAAATAACAGCGAAAACGAAACCTACAAACAAATTTTTTATGGTGACTTTTCATGTATTTCCAAGCCAGACAGAAGAGTGCTACAGATATAACTAGAAGCTAAGTTATATATCATAGTATTGCTTAATAGTGATGAAGTATACTGATGTTCAATGAGAGATAATAGATATAAAATCATGGCAGATCTTTCTGCTAATGCTAAATCGGCTACAGATGACATGAATCTCCCTCAATTTCTGTACATACTGATTCAGCATTGTCAGTATTGATGATCTAATGCATAAAAAAAAATCTTTATATTTTTCTGGTTTGACACAAAATATTTCTTTTTGGTGGACAGCATTTCAACAGACCATGTGATACTAAAATGGTCATATACTTGTTACCTACAGGTGTAAGTCTTATAATAGATTTGTGAAACAGTACTGTGATCTTTAATATGACCAAATTAAGAACCTGTAATTCTTTCAATTATATACACTGTATTCAATACACATTAAGTCAAATATTTTATATAAAAATAAATTAGAATCACTGCTTTTGTTTTGTTAGATTTTAAAGTTGCACATAGATAGCTAGATGACTGTAAGGCTATGTTATATAATACATTTAAGCAATATCAGAAATACAATGTACCATTAAAATACAAGCACAAACTTGAAGAGTACAGATTAAGTTATAAATCATGCTTGATAAATTAACAAGAGTAGAATTGTTAGCTAAAGAATTCTTATTAATTATTTTCTAAGTTCAACTGTTAATCCAATATACCATAATTATACCCCCGTCTTAAAAAAGTGGGGGTATACTGTTTTACCTCTGTCTGTCCGTCCATCTGTCAGTCCGTCCATCTGTCAGTCCATCCATCAGTCAGTCCATCCATCTGTCAGTCCATCCGTCAGTCCCATGAATATTTTTCGTCGCATCTTTCTCAGGAACTACATTACAAGGATTTTTTAAATTTGGTTTCAGGGTTTATATGAGTCAGCTATACCGTGTGATGCGTTTTCAGATTCATCACTCAACAACTTCCTGTTTATCTTATACTTTTAGCGGGGCGAGGGTATCATTAGTGAGCACTAGCTCACAGATTTACTTGTTAGTCCTGCATCATAAAAATTTAATTTGGTAAAAGATCAATTATCAAATAATACTATATCGAACTCTAATTGATATCTGGAGACTTGACACCTATGATTATAATGTCAATGGGTAAACTAAAGGTAAAAGACAGTCTAAGTTCTTCGTTTTAACTAATACTAAGGATACCCATGTAATCTAGCAGAAAATGCAATTATTAGAACCCTAAAATTAAACAAGCAAATCACACCTATGAATAATACATATACTTTTTACACAGTTGAATCCATTAATAATGAAAATATTTTACAAATGTTCATACTGGTATCATCAATTTTCAAATAAAGAAAATTTTCTATTTGCTTACTATAAAGTAATGAAACTGTCTGATGACATGAAACTCCCTTAAGTTAATTTGCAAAATTTAGATATTTTTCAACTTAAATCTAGAATGGCTACTATAAAAGATTTAATTAAAACTAACTTTCAAATAATTATTCAAATATTCAGCGGTAGTCATTGGAAGGGGCAGAGGGGGACCAATTATTTTACGACTCTTTTTATTACTTGTTCAGTAAACTTTTCTGATTTTTTTTACTGTAGGGCCTTTTTTATTTTCTCCACCCTTACCCTTGTAAAATAAATAGGGAATGTGTATATGGGACACAGATGGTGCCCCTGCTTGCATATAACGTTAAAAAGGGACATAACTCAAGAACAGTAAAAGTGATGCTACCCAAATTTGTTCTTGATCTGAGTTTTGTGGTAATAAGCATTGTGTATAAGTTTCATAACATTTGGTTGAGGCAAACTTAAGTTAGAGAACGGAAACTAAATATTCAGCAATATTTCCATTTGTAAAGGGGCAAAACTATAGAACGGTCAAAGTGACGACATCAAAGTTCAAACTTGATCTGTGTTATAAGGTAATAAGCATTGTGTATAAGTTTCATAACATTTGGTTGAGGCAAACTTAAGTTAGAGAATGGAACCAAAAAATTCAGCAATTTTTCCATTTGTAAAGGGGCATAACTCTAGAAGGATAAAAGCGACATTATAATACAAAATAATGACTATATAGATTCATTATTATTCGTGGGATACCAATTTTCGTTGATTTCGTGGGAATAAGCGAACCACGAATTCCAAAGTTCGACGAAGTACACATTTTCTATACGTTTCTATGCAGACTTTGGCAAAACAACGAAATCAAATATCCACGAAAACACATTTTTTCCTCAATCCACGAAAATTGGTACCCACGAAAATAAATGAATCCACAGTATATGGATGGATAGAAGAACTGTCAATAATCCTCTGTTTCAGAATCTAGACAGTTTGAAAATAGGGTTAATGGTAGACAAACTTTAAGTCACCAAATTAAGAATTTGTTGGAAATTTTCCCAAAACAATGGACAAACAATTTACAACTAATTAAAACCAAATGCTATATGGTTATCATTATACAATATTAGCTATATTATTTCATTATCAATGGATTTGACTGTGTGGTTATGTAACATGTACTTACAATATATATTTCCTAAATAAAGAATATACAGTAATAAGATAAGCAATTCCCTTAGGAATTATTTGATGCTGCTAGGCAACAAGCATTGCTTGAATTTGCTTCGTCAATGTTTTTGTTAGCAAAGACATGGCATATGAATAATATCAAGCAAACGTAAAACAAGGGAGGGATGGTTAAATATATGATGCTGAATGATGTGGTTCAGGCTTACACAATTCAATGGAAGACCAGTTTTAACCATTTGTGATACATAAACTTGTTTTCTAGCCAATTAAACACTACAATATTAATTTAATGAAATCATTATCCAAGATATTGACAATTTGACAATAAATTTAAGATTGAATAATTATATCTTTCAAAAAAGCCGCTGATAAAATTTGGAAACATTCTTAAGACCAATTTCAAGTTCCTTTTCAAATTGAGTTATAATGGTTGACCCAAGGTCAATCGGTCTAAATCATGTTATTAAACAATTGAACCTTACTGTGACATAATAACATAAGCATTATGACATTGGAAATGTACAAGAAAATGCATGAAGGTGAACATTATTTAGAGTTACACAGTACATACAAAACTTTTCAGCAACACAGTAGCATGCTGTTAATGTTAAGTAGGCATTTATTTTCTAAATTTTACATAGCATTGTCAAAACAAATAGGAGATCAGAGGAAAAATATTAGTTAGAGCTGGTAAGACATAATATTCCTGCTTAATAAATGTTTATAATTCCTTAAATAGAATTAAGATTAATTAATATCGTTTTTGCTAATAATTCTATATTAATTCAATATTAGGAGCAAGTATCACTCATTCATCATTCATAAGGCTGTATATTCCTGTAATCTATAAACATTTAACCTATAAACCTTTAACCTTTTGACCTTAAAGCTATAAATCTATAATCTTTTAACCTATAACCTTTAACCTATAAACTTATAATAATAAACCTTTACCCTATAACCTTTAACCTATAAACTTTTGACCTATAAACCTTGAATCAAAATAAAATTCAATCTATATATAGGTTTCACTGTAAAGTTCACAGGGAAGAGGTAAATGCATCATATCCCAAGAATTATAAGAAAACAAAATAATAAATATCAATTGTCTTTTGTCAGGACTACTTTGTTACACGGCAATCCAAAATACCAACATATCAACAAATTGAAAACAACGTCAAGTACTGAAGTATGATCACCTAAAGTATATTCCGACTGACGTTGGAATACATGGATGTTAAAAGAGTACCAAAGATAAATACATGAGAAAAGTTTTCAGAATTGAAAGGGGCTTTTAAAAACAAACAATTGAGAAGAAACATACAACACTATTGTTAAAAGATAAAAAGGTGAAATTTGAGTCCATAAAACAATGATTAAACTGATAAACAAGAAAGGACAACCACTAAATTACAGGCTCCCGACTAAGGACAGGCATATACAGAATGTGGTGGGTCAAATAAATTGTGAGTGCCCTTACCTAAAACAGTGGTGTGTGTAACAGCAAAACATATGAACAAACTGTAAAAATCAGTTGAAAATGGCTTTACTCATTAGATCAGCATGAAGCGCCAAAAAAAATTCCCTTTCAGATTTGGAGCACCAGAGTATTTATTTTATCTGCCACATATAAATAAACAAGAAAATGAGAAACTTTTCAACTATAATAAATGTATACTGTGGATTCACTTAATACTCATTTTCGTGGATTTTGTGGGAACAGGGGAACCATGAATTTAAATGTTCAATGAATTAGAAATTTTCTATAAGAATATATGCAGACTTTGGCAAAACCACAGAATAAAATATCAACAAAGCAAATTTTCCTCAATCCACTAAAATTAGTACCTACGAAAATATATGAATCCATAGTAATTAAAATTAAAGAACCTTTGTGAGCACCCTCACATACCCCATGCCCCCACATTGTCACTGGTCAAACAAAATATCACTAAATTCCTAAGTTCAAAGACTCATAACTCCTACAAAAGTGAACTGATCAAAAAATTTCTTGTGGATATGCACATTTACATATTATGTCCTTATTATCTACAAAGTTTCATTAACTTCCATCATGTGGATTCAGAGAAGTTGTAATGACAAACTGTTGCAGTAGTATATAATAGTCCAAAATTGTAAGTTTTAAGTTCAAAGGGGCATAACTCCTAGAAAAATATTGAATCATAATTTCCTGTCGATATGTACATCTACAGTTTCTCCTTGTTATCTACAGAGTTTCATGAAATTCTGTTGTGTGGTTTCAGAGGAGTTGCGGTGACAAGAACAGGACTGATGGACTGACAGACAGATGGACAAATGGACGGGTATAATAAGGATGACAATATTCTCACGTTTAATATGTAATGCCTATATGTCACCTTCCAGAACATTATAACAAGAGGCTCCCAAACCTGAACGCTCACATGGTAAAAATTATGCCATTTTGCTATTTGTTTTTTCTTTTATTGCAATCAGTTAATTTGCTTATTTTTAGATCTTATTAAGTGGCATTTTTGTAGGATTTATATGGATGACAGTTTTTACTGTTTTTTTTCTTCATAAAACATAACCTGTTTACGTTATAACAGGTTAGAAAATGATATTCTACTAAACTTTCTTGAGACATTTAAATAACAGTGTAGGAAATCCAAAATAGGGTTGATGATAAAAGAACTTAAAGTCACTAAATCAAGAATGCATTAGAAATTTCCCAAAGCAATGAAGAAAATAATTTACAACTAATTAAAACCAAATGCTATATGCTTTCAGCTATATTATTTCCATTATCAGTGGGTTTGACTGTGTGTTTATATAACATGTACTTACAATATATATTTCCTAAATAAAGAATATACAGTAATGAAATAGCAATTCCTAGGTATTGTGTGATACTGCTAGGCAACAAGCATTGCTTGACCGATGTTTGTTAGCTAGACATAACATATATTTAATCCTAAACAAAGGTAAAACTAAGGAGGAATGTTTAAATATGTGATGCTTAATGATGTGATTCAGAATTACATAATTTAATAGAAAATCAGTTATAAGGGGTCAATTGACTATTTCAGCCAAATTGACTTATTTGTTGATTTTACTGGTCATTTTTACTGTTTAAAATTTCTCTCTATCTGTTCTAGTTTTCAAAATATTAACCAAAAACTGTGAAATTTGCAAAAAATGACATTTCAGGGGTAATAATTCCAAAACAGGTTGTCCAATTTTATTGAAAATTCCATGGGAGATAGACCTTGACCTGTTGATCAATTCTACCTATGATAGATTGCATTAACTTTAGTTTTTTTTTAAATATAAGCCAAAAACTTTAAAATTTACTAAAAATGACATTTCAGGGGCTTCAACTCCAAACTGTGTGGTCTGATTTTTCAGAAAATTTGACAGAAGATAGACATAATGACCTGCTGATCATTTATCTCCTTATTTTTTTGCTATAACTGCTTTAGTTTTTGAGATATAAGCAAAAAACTGCATTTTACCCCTATATACTATTTTTAGCAGAATTGGCCATGTTTGATAATGGATCAAAACCCCAGATACACTTTTTAAACTAAATACCAAAAGGAACATTCAGGTAAAGTTTTGTAACATTTGGTCCAGTACATTCAGAGGAGAAGATTATTTACAAGGATTACAACAGACTGTCAACGATTGGCAGAGGACAGACAATGGACGACGATAACATACTCCAAGTGATGACAAAGCTCACATGTCCTTTTAAGCCAGGTGAGCTAAAACGGTAGACAAAAACTTGGTGCCAGGACAAAATTGATACCAAGTGATGACAAATGTTTACTTAACCCTAACAAACATTCAATGGTCTCATACAACATAATACAAACAATTCAACCCTAAAAAACACATCAATAAAAAAAATTCTGATAGAGAATGATAAAATTTGGAGTATCACATTGATTTCACCTTATAAACGGGCCAGATACAGGCCGACCAGCACACTGATCTATTGTCCATGGTAAAGTATCAAGGGCAACCTCAAGCTGTATACACTCAGTTAAATCTTCTGATGATTCACTTGATTTATTTGATGCACCTTCACCTACAACAAAAATATCTAATTTTAGCATTTAAAGTAATTCTTAAACTGAATCAAATGAAATTTGACCATTTTATTTTTCTTTTGTCAAAATGTTTTACTCCTATGCTTTTTAGTACATCTACAAATGTAGATTATAACATATGAGTCCTGATATCACCAAAAGACTTCCAATATCATCCCTGAAGTTTTAGTCCAAAGTCTGATACGGGGAAGATGGATGGTATCAGGGTTAACATGTAGACTGATCTGTAGTGCAAAACATAATCATACTTATTAATCTGCATGGAACTGGTGGACAGCATAATCCAGGTTGTTCTGTTACAACTTCTGAAATGAAAATAACTGTGACAATTTAAAATTTTTAAAGTTTGCTTTCAGATCCCCATCCTTTCTTCTGAAACCTTGACAAGTTGTTGTTACAATAGGGATTTTAAGGCTTGTTGTATGCAGTAGGCTTATTCCTAAAGACTAAATGGTTTTATTACACCTTACATATATTTCAAACAATTCTATTGGGTAAAACGTTATCACGTGACATGGAATAATTCAGTTAATTTTCATTCAATTGCAAGGAAGAACGAATAACCCTAAAAATTTACAACAGCGTTGAATAACCCTATTATTCACCGGCGAATAACCTTTTTAGTTTGTTGATTTGTACTCATGAAAATGACGTCACAGACGTAAATAAACAAAATGGCAACGTTCAAGTTACAAGAAGCCCATTGATGAGCTCATTGATGGAGAGAAGAGGAAATAAGGCTTTTAACGTGCATCTTGTGCCGATGATATCTCTAATAACGGTCCTTTTCAGGGCCATCAATATTTTACAAAAAGAATCTACCTTTGTTGTACCAACATACGAGAATTCTAAGACACAAATTACATGTATTTTTGAACGTCAACTTGTGTTTGTTACTGACTCAAGGGTAAGTGCTTTTACAATGATTCAAAATGCCCTTTCACTGTTAGTTCGGTATAATAAAACAATTGTGGCCCCTTAGAAGTGATGAATATCCAAAATTGTCAACCCTTAAAAGTTATTTCACTTCGGGCTGCGCCCTCAGTGAAATAACCTTCTCGTGTTGACAATTTTGGATATTCACCATTTCAACGGGCCATAATTGTATAATGTTTATTTTAGTTGCCTTATGTTGTTTTTTGCAATTTTATTCATATTGCATGTTTACATGTATGAAACAATTAAAAAAATCGTTATTTTTTTTTCTAAATGATTGAAATCATGCAACCTAACAAATCATTGCCTCTTGGCCAAACAAAGACATTTAACAAATCAGATATAGAATGTAGTATTATCAAAACTTTAAACAGAAGGTTCACAACTTTACTATCTGTCGCATACTCTAAGCAAGGTCAGAAATTCTTGGTAGATTGAACAATTTTACTTTATTAGTGGAGTCTATAAAAAGTCAGTTAGTATCTGTCAGAAATTCTTGGAAGATTGCACAATTTAGCTTCATGTAGTGAAGTCTGTGCAATTTTGGTTGTCTTTTGTCAAATGTGTTGTTTGTTGTTGTTCCTTGTTTGTTCATCTATTTTTCGTAGAAGTTGGGTGTTGGTGGTTGGCGTTGTTTGTTGTATGGACTGATATATTTAGTACTGTTGTCTGGACTGATATATTTAGTACTGTTGTATGGACTGATATATTTAGTACTGTTGTATGGACTGATATATTTAGTACTGTTGTGTGGACTGATATATTTAGTACTGTTGTATGGACTGATATATTTAGTACTGTTGTATGGACTGATATATTTAGTACTGTTGTATGGACTGATATATTTAGTACTGTTGTATGGACTGATATATTTAGTACTGTTGTATGGACTGATATATTTAGTACTGTTGTGTAGACTGATATATTTAGTACTGTTGTATGGACTGATATATTTAGTACTGTTGTATGGACTGATATATTTAGTACTGTTGTATGGACTGATATATTTAGTACTGTTGTGTAGACTGATATATTTAGTACTGTTGTATGGACTGATATCTTTAGTAATTCCTGTTATCCTTTTTATTTTTAAGTTGAAGAATAGTTACAAATTTGTTTTAAAATGTTTCTATGACAATAATCAAAGACAATGATAATTGAGGCCAACCTGTGACTCCAACACAAGTAAAGGCTTCAAAGGGCCAAATTTAAACATCTTGCAATCACTAAGTGCAATGAACAACCTGGGTATCACCATGTCAAGCTTGGTTAAAATGGTTTAAAAAGATATTAAGCCACCAAGGATTTTTACATTCATTTTAATGTATTCTATGTTAGTCTTAAAATAAACTGTTAAGCAACAAACAAGTAACAAAACCAGTTGTATTTCCAAAATGCAATAAACCTTATTTTGAAATTCTATTATGATTAAGGGATTGAAAGTACATGACTTCTTCAAGCTTGCCTAGGCAGCATCACACGGGGGAATAAAGTGGATATTCTGATGCAAAATGATAATAATATTTAGTGAGTTCAGTCTTAATATAGTAATACATATACTTATTGAAGGCCATACAACTGCCTATAATTGCTTTTATTCACATCATTTGAACTTTGATGGATAGTTAGTTTTCTCATTGGCAATCATACCACATCTCCTTATTTTTATACTATTTCTACTTACCACCAGATACAGGACCTCCTGGTGGAGTGGGTACTTCCTAAAATAAATAAAAAATAACTACAAGAGTTTAAATAAAAGAACAGGTTACCAATGTCCCCCTTCAATGCACATATTTATCTGTCCAAGGGCAATACCTCTTTAAAACTTTTTCATAAAAAGCCTACAAGACATTTTGGCAATAGATTACTAATAACAATGCAATTTTTCATATACTATTTATTTCCAAGGGGCATAACTTCTGAAAAAATTAATTGATCAGTACTGATTATCAAACTAATCCAAGACCTGATTGATATAAACCTTTGATATAACTTCATAGAAACCCAACTAGAACTGTTTAGGTAAGGCTGCTTACAAAGCAATTTTCAATATAAATTATATCACAAGGGGACATAATTTCTGCAAAATTAGTTGATCAGCACTGATTATCAGACTTGTTTTAGACATTACTGATGAACAGCTGTTTACATTAAATCCCACAAATAAGCATGAGGCTATCTAAATGAAATATTAAAACAATACTCACAATATATTTTAATTTTACAATGATTTCAACTGTTATAATTTTTTTGTTTTAAAAACAAAAATCATAATAGAACATCAAGAATTAACAGCAGTTAATAAAATCAATACTGGGTCTTGACCTGCATTGCTGTATGCATTCGATTGAGGTAACATGTACACGGGAGCATAACTAATCATTCCCAGACCAAATATTAAAATAATTCACTTCAATAGGAGCCAAGAAAAGTATGACGAAAATACTCCTTGTAGAATGAGTGTTATAAAATTTCAAACTATTGGCAAACAGGAAGTGGCTACATGTCAGATGTCAAAATTGCTTACTCGGTACAACTCAACATTATCATGCAGACCAAATATAAAATCATTCCCTTTCATAGAAGCCAAGAAAACTTTGAAGAAAATATTTATTTGCATGGACGACCAGACAGAAGGACAGAGTAGAGTGGTTACTACCGGTAGACCTGCTTCAGCCTTTGGCGACAAAGGTTAAAATACATAACATCGAGGTAAATGGTTAAAATCACATACATACACATATGGCCTTTCTGAAGCTGCTAAAGACAAAACATGTACATGTTGCTATCTAAATAGAAGCGATTAATTCTAAATGTGTTTCAGCTGAGTAAGTGTAATCTTTGTATTCACTAAGGAGATTGAGTTTCCAAAATTATAGTCAAAAGTAGACACAAAACATACTATCAATGTATGATCATTTTAACATGGGTGCATATAATTTAGGATTTTATTGATTGGTGATTGATTTACACCACATCAGAGCAAAAGACTATATCAGTGTGTCAATATAGTCTAGGTAATCTAGATATCTGTTGTAATATTACAGGCAATTAATTTCATTGTTGATTTTAGTAAAAACTAGCTGATCTAAATAGATGTTGTATTAAATTATACATTGATTTTCTTAATCATTGTCCAAAACTATACCTCGAAGAAAAAGAGGAATGTATAGAATCAAAGTCATAAAACCAGTCAAGAGTTTTTCCTGCAAATTAAATACGCTATGTTTTGAAAGTATTCATCTTATATTTGCTATGTCATGGTAGGCATTTTACTAAAAAATTTATCATAAGGAAACATTTCACTGTCTATTTAAATGCACTTTCAATGATCATGGCAATTATTTAACTATCCCTCCTAAGACAAAAAACATGAACAAAACCTGGCACAAAAAATAACCTGTTATATGGTATTACATTTTTACTGTAAATTTATACAATGCTTGTCAGTGGACCAGTTAGTCCATCATCATGAAAGTGGTAGCATTTTATACAAGTCAAGACAAGTTAAAGTCAGAGGAATTAGTAATAGTTAAAAAGTAGTACTTGTTAAACCACTGTCAGAGGTAAAGTAGAAGGTATTTTTCCACCATTTCTTTCATACATTCTAAATCCAATATTTACCTGTCACAGTGCTTTAACTGTTTAAAACGAACATACAGCAATATTTATTATTAAAACTTAGCTGCTTACCTCATTCCTAATATGTTGATGTGTACAGACACATGGAGTTTGACCCAAATTACCAAACTTTTAATAAATATAGATTGTTTTCATTGTGTTATTACCTCTTTCTCTAACAATTGACTTATTAATATTCAGTGTTATATATTTTAATTCCTATTTAGTTTGATGTCTTATTTCAGAACATGCATGCCATGTTGCTAAGCATTCATGAAATATAATAAAAGAACAAGATAAAGAATAAAGGTTATTGCAAAGGGGTTTAAAAAACTTTCAATTCAAAAGCAAGGAAAACTAACAGCCTGATTTAAAATATAATATAAAACAAATAGCAATTATGACAATCACCAACTTTCAATGGACTACTGGCTCCTGGCTTTGACAGGCACATGAAGAATGTGGCAAAGTTAAACAGGTATCAGCTGACAATACGGTATTGGTTTTTCTTATTGTTGAAGGCTGTACTGTGACCTTTTAGCTACTTAAATCCACTTTATTTGACCTCTGTTAGATAGTTGTCTCATTGGCAATCATACTTCATCTCCTTATTTCATATTGTGAGCACTCAACCCTCCCACTAACCTGGGGAATTTGTATAACAGCAAAACATTATAAACTTTAAAAAAAAATCAGTTGAAAAGTTGAAAGAATGTGATGAAAAGAAGATGATAAATTGGCATGAACCTAATTGTTTTAATGTTAAATGAGATCAATCGTGAAAAATTCAATAATAAACAAATAACTCACCATAGATTTTCTTTTTTTAAGCTCTGATATTTCTTGTCTGTATGTTTCTACTGATTGCTGCCATTGGTGTTTTTCACTGAACAACTTAGAAATCTTTAGATCTAACTCTCGGTTTTTCTGTTGTTCTCGATTTCTTTCCCCTTCCAACTACAACAATAAAAAATTTGTAAGGGGTTCTGTGAAGCCCTGTGTCTTGCCTGTGATTGCTGCTGTGAGTGTAAAAGTGTAATGTTGACTTAAAAATCAAACTTTTTCTTTAGATGTCAACTGTCAACTTTGCCATCTAACATCTGGCCAAAAATAAAATTAAAACTGTTTGATGTTGCCTACCTACCCACCTAAAAAGCAGCCTACCTGAAAAGTTTTATGACACAAATCGTTTCAATTTTTTTTAAAGATTTTTTGTGCTCTAACATAGTTTTCTTGTCTAAAACGTGTAACTAATGTTGTTGGTAAAAAAAAATAAAATCCCTACCTACCTTACAACCCTACAAGGCATGGGTAGGCAACATCAAACAAAGAATTTGTTAAGGGTGGCCTCTATAAATGTCACTACCAACTATTGACCTGTAGAGCTATTTTCAAGGAGCTTAATAAAATGATGTTAACAGAACCATGCATCATTTGGTATGGAAAAAAAACTCTTAAATTATTTTTTAAATTAAGACGCACAAAATTTCATGTTCTGTAGAAGCTTCTGTGTTAGTTAATCTCAGGTAAATGTTGTCAAACTATTTTCAGGGAGCTGCAGATTAAGTATGACTCTTACTACCCGTACACTTACTTCATTTTTTGGATATTGACCCAAGACCACAGAGGTGATCCCTTTGTGTAGCTACATCTTTGATGTGAGGTAACAATATTTAGGTTTCATTACATGTCAAAATGCAAGTTATTGCTCCAGAAACCAAAATGATTAGAATGTCTCAGGAAAGCCATTATTCCTTTTCTATATTTTTTTATTTTATAAATTCATTATAATATAATAACATTTCATATATTATCGTTTAAACAATTCAAAAGCTGAATATTAGTGATAACATACAATATACAAAACTGACAAATCTTTCCCAATTCTTTAATAACACATCCTTACATTTTGTTTATCTAATTCCAGTTCTCCTATTCTTTCGAAATAGTTTTCTATTGTTTTGTCTTTTTCCTGACGCCATTGTTCAAGCTGAGTTCTCTCTTTTTTCTCTCTTTCAATCTTCTCTCTCAGCTATAAAATATATATAAATTCATTTTTAAACAACATTGATATATGCTACCAAGTTATCACTTAAGAAGATACTGCTTCCTTTTTTTATCCTGTTCAGATGATGATCATTAATACAAAAATAAAGATATTGTTGAATTTAGCTCGTTCCTAATAAACCATCATGACTGTGGATATTTAGCCAATAACATTTAGTTCTACTATCAATGTTTCATATGTTTTTTTTCAGTACTCAAGATCATAAATACTTAGTTTTGTATAATTTCTATTAAAGTAGCCAAAATAGCCAAAAGGTACTTGTAGTAAGACCCAGACCATACCAAATTCAAGATTGCTCTAACATCTGTCTGACTTAGGAACTTGTCCCACATTCCCAGTAAAACAGAAAGCCCATCAGAAGTCCCAATAACCTGGATCTAGCTGTACTGTTTGCTACACCAGTGTATTTGGTGATCACAAGTTCTTCAAATGATAATTGGTGGCAGCATAAACATGTCAAAATTAATAACATTTGGAGTCTTGTCACTTATTTTCTCATCTTACACCTAACTGTCAAACATATTGTGAATATTGAGTGCATGATATTTCTCCACCAAATGCCTTGCCTCAAACTTTAAAAAGAATAAAATTGCTTAAAGAACAGTCAGTTTCCTGGAGAGATTTTTCTAAGACTTTCTGAGCTTGCTTTAGCAAAGTACTGAATGACGTTTTAAAACCGTTAGTTACACCAAGGACATATATTCTAGAGTAATTTATATCTTTGGTTAACGGTTGAAAATTTTATCAATTCCAACAATCTTTCATTTATATAGAAAATTTCATTTTAATGATTAATGGCAGATACCTTAAATGATAATCAATAATTAGTTATTCACAAAATATTATCTGTTATTCACTATGACTTACAGTGAAAATCTTCAATAAACATTTTAATTTATGGAACTAATTCAGTCTAAGGCTTCAACAATTTTATCCATGAAAATTTTATCTGGAGTAGGCCTATTTACCATGCCCAATTATTACAATTTAAAGCTACCTGTTTTAAATTTCTATTATCTCAACTTTAAAATAAAGATCAAATTGCATGGTCTCTCCTTTGTTGTGAAAGTTAGGTTATATTTACCTTACTACAATCAGCCTGAGACTTGTCTAATTCTACACGCAAATTATCCATTTCTTCAACCAGTTCCTCTACTTTAACTTGAGTTTCTGCTAGTTCATCTCTTAAAATCTGTTTCTCCATTTCTGTTCTTGATAACGTATCTTGTTCCTTAGTAAAAAGCAAAACTACCCATTTGGATGTGATAATAGTGAGTGGTCAATTTCACAAGAATATAAAATTGAAAATCCCAGAAACATCAAGTTTTTTTGTAAGCTGTCAAAGACTTAAATTTACAAATCAGCCTTACCCTTTCACTGTAATGTATTTTTTTTTAACATCTATAATTACACTAGTAGAGTCTATTTTCCAAATACAGAAACTCCTAGGTAGAACAAACTGTATCCCTGCCTATACAAAGCAGGTAGAAAGAGTTTGATGTATTCAGTGGTGCAATACACATTTCTGGCAAAAATAGCTAGTTTTGCAACAATAATTCATAACAACCTATGTACATCAAAACATGCTCTTTCCATAAGGTTTATATAGTTAAAGATACAGTTTGTCCTATCTGAAATTCTTTTTATAAAATTAGAGAAAAAAAGTTGATAGGGATCATATTAGGAAAAGTATTTAGAAGGTTAAGTAGAAACCACATGATATTTTTTTCTGTGGGTAAAAGGGATTGAAGCAAATACTATTCTGTTACAAATAAAAAAGTAAAAATTATGAGTGATGAAGTATAAAAAAATTGTTGTAAAAATTAAGTAATACACTATTGACACAAAGATATGCCTTGGCTGTATATAATTTTGATAGCATAATACAAAAATTAAAATTAAAATGGCAATACTTTAAAAGCATCTTAACTACACAATACATTCAAAGTCAATGAACCATGACTAAAGCTGCAGAGCAAAATGATCTCCATGAATATGAGATACATGTTTGTCAATGCTAAAACAACTTCATACCAAATATTATTGACTTACTTTGTGTTGTTCCCTTTAAACTGACATTATCTCCATCTTAAACAAATTGCTGACACCACCAACACCGCTGGAAAAACTTTATTAGAGGGAACAAAAATTTACTAGGTAATGAATACTCATTATAAGAATACTAACCGTTTTGATCTCCTGCAGTCTGTTCTGTATTTTTTCAAACTTTTGTGTTCTAACATCTGTTCTGTTAAGTTTTAATTCAACTGTCATAAAGAAAGTTACGTATTTCTTTACACAAGAGATTTATTTTTGCTAATTTGGCAATTTAGACAAAATCAGCAAATGATACCCCTTACTTAATTCTAATCTCAAGAGGATCAAAATCAGGGACAAGATAAATATGAAAGTAAAACATAGTCTGATACCTGAATCAAGAAATCTAAATTCTGTGAAAATAAGTCTCATTTTTCTGGCAAAAAAAATATCAATAAGAAAAAAATGAAAGTGGATAAAGCTAGGCCTGCAGGTGTAGAAAACATCCTTGCATTTTCATATCAAGAATTAAGATATGCATACTTTGAATAGTAATTAATGTTGTCGTGCAGCTTCTGTACTTTTATTTCAACTACTTTAGGTATCGAACTCTTTGCCTGATTACCATCGCCAGTAAACTGGCATTTGGTTCTGCAATTATTTATTTCCTGCAAATAAGTCTCTTGAACAAGTGTGACTGTCAGAGATTTTGGTTTCCCATATGCTGATCGGGACCTGTATCCAAATATTCATACAATTTTGAAGCTGCTATTGACATTGCTGGTTGGTTCTTGCTCATGTGAGAGATCTTTTTCTGCCCTTCAACATTTAAAGACATGGTGCAGGTCAACAATGACCGAAGACAGATTATGTGGTTTAGCCATGCTTCACGTCTATGCTAAGGGCAAGTGAACGCAGAAGCTGTTCTCAAACGATTGGATCTTAGTGGCACAAGAAAGGTCGAATTAGCATTCACAGACAGTGACTAGGTTCCACTCTCTGGGCTTTATTAAAGTGTTTTTTTTATGAAGCGTTGACCACATACACTTTTCCCGCTTTTTCTACTATCAAATACAGGGGCGGTTCCATCCATTTATAAAAGGGGGGTTCCTAACCCAGGATAAAGGGGGGGGGGGGGTTCCAACTATATGTCCCCATTCAAATGCATTGATCCTCCGAACCCCCCCTGGATCTGCCACTGAAATATGTATCCTACTGTAAATGGATACATGTTTGATGCTACAAAATTCGAGGCAAGTATCTGTCAGCCGGCTCTAATAGCCTAATGCAGTTCTTCATACGATAAATATGAAACAAAAAATGAATGTAACAAGTTGTATTTCGAACCCTAATATTATAATTTTCGGTGCTCCAGATCATACCACATCTCCTTATTTTATATAAGTCATACAATATTACTTTTATCTGAGCTAAGTCCAGTGATCTTACTTATATCTGAGGTAAGTCATATAATCTTACTTATACCTGAGCTAAGTCATACAATCAAACTTACTTTTAAGCTGTTTTATATGTTCCTTCAAATTATTAATCTCTTGTTCTATGTAGTCTTTTTCCTGTTGTATATGTCTGATTCTATCTTTATACAAGTCTCTCTCTTTAAAATATTCTATACATTCTTTCTGTATCTTTACTGAAAAGAAACACGACAAAAACAAATACATGCAGTTTGATCTTTCTTAATGTAAAGGATCATGGGTAATTAACAAGTGGAACTTCAAGCTATTGCTCAATATTGAATAATGATATCCATTTCGGTGACAGAGTTGAACAGCAACCAATATAAAAATACATAACACTGTAAAGAATATTCACTTGAAGCCTTATAACAAATTTCAGGAAGCTCTTATTTGTAGCTCCCTAAAAATATGTGGCGAAAATTTCATACATGGCAATTATGTGTTTGAATATAAAAATATTTGGTAAACAGAAAGTTGAAGAGGTATAAATCTTAAAACACATCACAGGGAAAAGCTTGTTCATATCAATATAAAAATAAGGAGATGTGGTATGATTGCCAATGAGACAACTATCCACCCAAGTTCATATGAAGAGGATGTAAGCAATTATAGGCAACCGTACGACCTTCAACAATGAGAAAAACAGCCTGCTTACAAATTTCAAGAAGCTTTTATTTGTAGTTCCCTAAAAAATGTGATAAAAATTTCATACATGGCCATTATGTGTTAGAATATATATGGAATATTTATGGAAAAAACTAGAAAAGCATATTTTAAGGTTAAGAAAACAATTGGATTGGATAATCCTTGTAAAAGTTTAAAAAAAGCTTTTTGATTCATTAGTAAGTCTTATCTTGCTTTATAGTAGTGGGGTTTGGGGCATTTTCAATAATTCAGGAGACAGTACTATTTTGGAAAATTTCCATATGAAGTTCATAAAAAAAAATTTATGTGTTAATAACAAAGCACTTAATGCTGCTTGTAGAGCTGAACTTGGCAGGTTACCATTGTGGTAAAAATCTCATTTTCTTGTATTTATTTTTTTTTAACATATTTTGAAGTCTGAAAACACCCTTCTAAAATCTAAAAATTAAAAAAAATAACCCCTGACCAAAGAAACTATATTCCATTTTAGACAATCTATGATTTTCAAGTCTCGCTTGGAGAAAATATTCTATTAAACACTTTCTGCCAAGTATTAAACAACAAATGGATCATTCTTCAAAAATTTATAATTCATCTTCAGGATTTTGAATAAACTGCAATAGGCGGAGAGCAACACTTACAGTCAAGTAAAAATAATAAGTTGATAACAGTTTGTGACAATTTACATGGATATAAGTCTTACACATGTTTTAAATAACAGCTAGTACTTAAAAGATACCCAGAGACTATAAAACTTACAATTGTCATCTTTTAATCTATCTCTCTCTCTTAACAAAGAACTATTCTGTTCTTTCAATTCATCATTTTCTCCAGATATTATCCGCATCTTATCTCGTAGTTCATTGCTTTCATTCTAAAGAAATTAACAAAAAATAACACTATGAGCTATACAGAAATTAAAACTGATACACCACTTTAATACACATGGTGTGTTTACACATATACTGATCTAACATTAACGAACCCACCTTTAAATCTCCTATAAATCGCTATGAATTAAACATTCAATTTGATAGTTTTAGCAGTTGTATATTTTTTGTTTTACTGCCTACATATATGTTATACATTTTGTATTCAAAACTTTTGATAACCAACATACCAATTTAAGGTTGTTCCTGCTTTATTTCAAGCATTTAAGAATTGAATGCTTCATTTTGTAATTTTAAGGGGATGTAAAAGTGTGACTAAAGCAAATCTTTGATAAATTGTGGAAGTGCTAAATACTATAAATGTGTACATGTTCAACGCTTTTACAACTGGATAATCTTCTATGCTTTAACATTAAAATATGAGTGAAATCAAGCCTTTCAATTATTTTCTATGCTTTGTTTTAATTCTGTCAATTAGAGCACTAGATCATGGATGTTGTATTTTATATGGAAATAAAAATAAAAATATACCTCAGCCAATAAAAATTACATTATCTTATGAAATTTCTATGTATTGTAATTGTACCAAATTAAAGTCGGTGTAATAGGTTCATTTACTATCTATGGGTGGGTACTGGTGCTTGTAGAAGGCAGCACGAGTAAAAAATCTGCTAAGCTAGCAAGTGTCCCAGGACGGTGCATCATCTTGTACAAAAAAGGTAATTGTAAATTAAAAGTTAATAAATTATGTAAACTTACTAAATCAAGTTGCAACTCCCATAGGCAAAGTTGACCTGACATTATATGCACCTCTGTTTTGAAATTTCACATGCTTTTTTTTTTGTATTTCATTTATTCCTATGTGATGCCTGAAGCATTAGAAAATTGAAGCATTTCATTTATAAGTTGTTTTTGATAGACTTATCTTTTGAATTGTTTTGCATTTGTCATTATGGGGCCTTTTATAGCTTACTATGTGGTATGGTTTTTGCTTATTGTTGAAGGCTGTATGGTGACCTATAGTTGTTAACTTCTACGTCATTTGGTCTCTTGTGGAGAGTTGTCTCATTGGCAAGCATCCCACATCTTCTTATTTTCATATATACCTCTGAAGCCTGGATATTTTCTTGATTTAATGTGACTACAGCCTTGAGATCTTCTAAGTTTTCCCTGAGATTAACATTTTCCATAAACTGATTCTTGATCATATCTACTAATTCTCCTGTTTTGTCTATCCATTTGGATCTTATGGATTCTCTGTGTTGTTTAAAAGCTGCAATTATCAAAAATTATAATTATAGAATAGCTTATCCAAGTATTCAAATATAAAAAAGAATTCAATGAGTTCAACAAGTGACTGCACAACACGTTAATTCAAGAATATGTGTAGCTCATGAGTTAATAATCGGTGTTGTTTGGGCATGAATTGAATATTTTTGGATATTTTAATTCTTTGATTAGTTAACCTTTTTATTTCATTGGCCATGGACTGTTGAAAAAAAATAAAATATAAAATGAAAGGAACTATATCTTTTTCTATGCATTCTCAATTGTTTTTGATGCAATGTCAACAACGTCTTGACAACACCAATTATTATATGACGTCAGAGGAGTGAAATTATCAGATTTATTTCACATGTGAAATTATTTGGTTTTTTTTTCCACTGTGAAATATTGGTAATTCATTGCAACCATTGAAATAAATATTTATTATTTTGAGTATTTATGCTTAAGGTGGTACCAAACACCTTGACTAAAATTAATTTGGCTCGTTTAATTTTCAAAAAATGTTGACAAAATAATTACTTTGACCCTTTGACAAATATATAAAAATTTCAAAAAACTTGAACCACACACTTTATCGGAAAAATTTCATTGGATATATAGCAGTTTGACAAACACTAATTTTGATCATTGAGAAGCTTAATATTTCCTTAGCAATAGAACGTGATTAAAACGTTCAGCGGTTTTTTACAGAGTTATCTCCCTGTAGTATTATGAACCACCTTAATATGATTACATGATTGTCAAACAACACCTGTTGCCCTAAATGTAAAGACATACATTTAAAATATTTGAAATCATATTTCATTTTGAACTTTGATTTCTACATTTTTCATGACATGGCAGAATAGGTGTGACATCTTCAGAAGAAATATGTTGAGAGAGAGATAACACGTTTCTGTTACTTATAGAAACTACACATTAAATTTATCAAAGAAGCACTTGGTGTTCATTGCAAAGCTTCAAATGATGCTTGTTGTGCTGAGCTTGGTCGAATTCCACTCAAAAATAAAATTGTATTTTCAAGCATAAATATTTTAGAGCATATACTTTCATCAGAAAATACACTTGTAAATCAAATTTTCTGTGCAACAAGGTTTTCAAACCCCTGGATCAAAAAAACTAAATGCATTTTACAACTAGAGGCTCCAAGGAGCCTGTGTCGCTCACCTGATATTTTTATTTACAATTGATGCATGAAATAATGCAACCGTTATACGTTTGCTTTAGTTTCAGAGATATAAGTCAAAAACTGCATTTTCCCCCCAAGTTCTATTTTTAGCCTTGTCTGACATGTTGGTTGGCAGGCAGGGTCATCGGACACATTTTTTTAAACTAGATACCCTAATGATGATTGTGGCCAAGTTTGGTTAAATTTGGCCCAGTAGTTTCAGAGAAGAAGATTTTTGTAAAAGTTAACAACGACGGACGACAAGTGATGAGAAAAGCTCACTTGGCCCTTTGGGCCAGGTGAGCTAAAAATTAGGATATTTAAATCTTGTAGAAAAAAGTTGTTTAACAAAGCAGCACTTGGGACAAGTAAAACAAAGAATTTATGATCAGTGCTTGAAAAATCAAAATGCAAACATACAGGAATCTTCTAAACTCAGTTTCTTTCGTCAAGTCTACAAAATGGGTCAAAGACCATCATATGTTGATTCACTAAACAATTTAAAAGATAGAGCAGCAATATGCTAAATACCCATAAGTGCACATTCTTTAATGATTGAAAGGGGAAGACATCTTAACATTCCTAGAGAGGAAAGATACTGTCCTGTCTGTAAAAATGGGGAAATTGAGGATGAACAACATTTCTTATTACAATGTAATAGATTTACCTCAAAACGAGAAATATTAGAAAATAAAATAAATGTTATATTTGAAATACAGCGTAACATTACCACTGATGAAAAAATATCTCTATTGGTTAACAATAGCTCAGCATTATTACTTAGACTGTCTTCCTCTTTCATATCACTATCAGAGTGTCTAAATATAAGAAATAGTGAACTAATATGAAACATCAATATATAACTTTTCATTCTATCATGATATGTTATCATGTAACTTTTCATTCTACCATGTCAATTAATATAATTATATGTATACAATAGGTCTTAACCATTTATTGTTAATGAGTTTGTGCCAATAAAAATATTTGTATTTGTATTTGTACGTGTATATGTATTAGATACACCCTGAGGGCATTAGCACGAATGGGTGTATCTAATTTACACCAAGATATTATTGTCAATGCAGAATGATAGTTTTCAATAATTTCGGAGCTATTTGACCATATCTTATTAAAAAGCATGATAAATGCAGGATATCTAATTTCATTTAACGACATCTTGGTTTAATATATAAAAATCCTACAAAAGTGAAATGATTGTTTCTGTTTTGACTCTAGCTAGAGATAAACATGTTCATACATTATTTTCTCTATCTTTTGGTTATTAAAGTACATCTGTATGTAATAACACCTACAGTTAAAAATGTGTGTGGGAAAGTTGTCCATAAACAGACAGTTAAAAATCTTGTCTAGGAAAGATGTCCGTAGACAGATTAAAAAGTTTATTTTAGTATTCAATTAATTACTTATATTTGTGGTTTTCCTTTACCCTTGAAATCAACTTAAATGTATTTCTAGTACAAATAAGGCAAAGTACTAAAACATTATATAATGTTGTATGCATTTAAAATTTGTTGAACTGCATCTGACAAGCAAAAGTATATATATGTGATTAATTGAAATTTTGTCCACAAATATTGTTTAAAAATGATATTTTATTGCCATGAACATCTCCGTTTTAATGAGATAAATATTTCGGGTCAGTGGTTCATTTCTTAAGGAGAAATCATTGAGTCTTGGTATGAAGAGTGAAACAAGAGGCACACCTGTGCCTGTATTGCTCACCTGGTGAAAAAATAGCAGGTTTGCTAATTAGGACTTTTCTAAGCACATACTATAGACACTCTTTGTGTTGCTGATCATTTTTGCAATTTACATGTTTAAACTAGCTCCTATAGGTTTTTAGATAAAAGTCAAAACTGTAAAAAAAGGGTAAAAATCAACATTTCAGGGGAAATAACTCCAAAACAGATCAACATATTTTCCATAAATTTTCAGGATAGATAGAACTTGTTGTGATGACCATTTTTCCACGTCAGTTTTTTTCTAATTGCCTCAATATAAGAGATGCTAGCCAAAACTGTAGTTTGACCCCTATGTTTTATTTTTAGCCACAACGGCCATGTTGGTTGATCAACTAGGATGAAAATTACAAACTGTATAGTTGACATCCTATAGATGAAGCAGACAAACTTTGGTTTCAATCCATTGAGCAGTTTCAGAGTAGAAGATTTTTAAAGAAAAGATTACAGACAACAGATAGACAGATGATTGACGCAAAGTGATGGCAAAAGCTCACATGGCCCTATGGACAATCACATGGCCCTATGGACCATGTCAGCTAAGAAAAAAGGCAAAAAAAAAGGACAACATAAGCATATCATAGTGATGATGTTACTTTGCAAAGTCATATAATAGTTTTTAATGTTTTTGCATACACTGCTCAAACTAAGTACTACAAAATAACAAAGATCTTTTTATAGAGTACATATAATCTAAGACTCTTTCATCTTGCAATAGTATTAAAACATTTGACTTTTCTACACTTTACACAAGTATTCTCCATTCCAAACTAAAAGACAAATTGAAAGAGTTGGTCCTGCTTTGTTTCATTAAAAAAAGCAGCCACCGTAGATACAGGTAGCAATAACCAGTTAGGAAAAAACTTTAAAATGACACTCATAATTTTTAACCACCCTCTTTCTCTTGCTTTCTAACAAATAAGGCTAATATATGGAAACAGCATCTTCCATAGATTTGATTTCCAATAGTTAAAATGGTGAAATATAATCTCTTTTTGGTGTAACCATGGCAACAATCTGCATTTATTTGATTCAAAATACTGCAAAAAGGGGGGTGAAAATGTCACAAAAGTCCCCAAAATTTGGTCCAAAGGAGAATTTCAATCCATTAGAGTGATACCTTTTCTGAAACCATAAACATTTATCTATCAAGAGGTCCAAACAAAATCATATGCATTTCAGCTCCTTTTTCCATAAAATTGAATTGAAAAGTTCGAGGGTCAAATCTTTGATGAAAAACACTTAAATAATTTCTGGACCTATGGGCGGTACGGATGTGAAAATACGGACTGTCAAACAGAACTAGAGGCTCCATGGAGCCTGTGTTGCTAGCCTGATGTTTTTGTTTACAATTGATGCATGAAATAATGCAACCATTATACTTTTGCTTTAGTTTCAGAGATATAAGCCAAAAACTGCATTTTACCCCTATGTTCTATTTTTAGCCATGGTGGCCATGTTGGTTGGCAGGCGGGGTCATTGGACACATTTTTTAAACTATATACCCTAATGATGATTGTGGCCAAGTTTGGTTAAATTTGTCTATGTAGTTTCAGAGGAGAAGATTTTAGTAAAAGGTTACAAAAATTTACGAAAAATTGTTAAAAATTGACTTTAAAGAGCAATAACTCAAGAAGGGGTCAATTGACAATTTTGGTCATGTTGACTTATTTGTAAATCTTACTTTGCTGAACATTATTGCTGTTACAGTTTATCTCTATCAATAATAATATTCAAGATGATTACCAAAACCGGAAACATTTCCTTAAAATTACCAATTCAGGGGCATCAACCCAACAACAAGTTGTCTGAATCGTCTGAGAATTTCAGGGCAGATAGATCTAGACCTGATGAACATTTTTACCCATTGTCAGATTTACCCGAAATGCTTTAGTTTCAGAGATATAAGCCAAAAACTGCATTTTACCCCTATGTTCTATTTTTAGCCATGTCAGCCATGTTGGTTGGCAGGCGGGGTCATTGGACACATTATTTAAACTAGATACCCTCATAATGATTATGGCCAAGTTTCGGAGGAGAACATTTTTGTGAAAGATTACAAAAATTTACGAAAAATTGTTAAAAATTGACTATAAAGGGCAATAACTCCATAGGGGGTCAATTGACAATTTTGGTCATGTTGACTTATTTGTAGATCTTACTTTGCTGAACATTATTGCTGCTTACAGTTTATCTCTATCGATAATAATATTCAAGATAATAACAAAACACTGCAAAATTTCCTTAAAATTACTATTTATGGGGCAGCAACCCAACAACAGGTTGTCTGATTCGTCTGGGCAGAAAGATCTTAACCTGATGAACATATCTCAGTCAGATTTACTCTAAATGCTTTAGTTTCAGAGATATAAGCCAAAAACTGCATTTTATCCCTATTTTTAGCCATGGCGGGCATGTTGGTTGGCAGGCAGGGTCGTTGGACACATTTTTTAAACTAGATACCCCAATGATGATTGTGGCCAAGTTTGGTTAAATTTGGCCCAGAAGTTTCAGAGGAGAAGATTTTTGTAAAAGTTAACGAACGACGGATGACGACAACGGACGAGGGACACCAAGTGATGAGAAAAGTTCACTTGGCCCATTGGGCCAGGTGAGCTAAAAATGGCCTATAAAACATGCAAAAAACAATCTTGATGTTCATTTAAACCCACTTGGAAAGCTATATTATTCTTCAGCTATTCAAAAATCAACTTTTATTGTACAAAAACTTTAATATTTAAAATTTCACCATGGCCAAATTGTGAAACTGAACTTCTAACTGTGTATTGCTACCACAAGTATCTTGTCTTAGGGTGGGATAAATCCTACTTTGTAAAAAATCACTCTGATTCAAAACAAATTCTCTAAAACTGACATTATCAAGATGCTTGATTTCGTGATTGACAATATATTTGTTACATTTGGAGGACGTGTTTTTCAACAAACAATCGGAATTCCCATGGGAACAAACTGTGCCCCTCTTCTTGCCGACTTGTTCCTTTATTTCATATGAGGCTGACTTCATACAGAAACTTCTTAGGAAGAAAGAAAAGAAGTTAGCTGTATCCTTTATTTTTACTTTCCGCTATATAGATGATGTTCTCTCACTAAATAATTCAAAATTTGGTGACTATGTTGAACGCATCTATCCCATCGAACTTAATTAAAGGATACAACAGATACAGTTAAGTCTGCCTCATATCTTGACTTACATCAAGAAATTGACAATGAGGGTCTGTTGAAAACAAAACTTTACAACAAAAGTGATGATTTTAGCTTCCCAATTGTGAACTTTCCATTTCTATGTAGCAACATTCCAGCAGAGCCTGCATACGGAGTATATATATCTCCCAGTTGATACAATATTCCAGGGCTTGTATTTCCTATCATGATTTCCTTGATAGAGGGTTGCTGCTCACAAGGAAGCTATCAAACCAAGACTTCCAAGTGGTGAAGTTGAAATCATCCCTTCGTAAGTTTTACAGACGCCATCACGAGTTGGTTGATCGTTATGGAATATCCGTTTCACAGTTGATAGCGGATATGTTCCTAATGTCGTAACTACAATCTCATCCCCTTTTCCTGAATGTGAGGTACTGAATTAGACTTATTACCGGGTTTGTACTAACATGAGCAATGTGGAGCAGGATCTGCTTACCCTTCTGGAGCACCTGAGATCACCCCAGTTTTTGGTGGGGTTCGTGTTGCTCAGTCTTTAGTTTTCTATGTTGTGTTTTGTGTACTATTGTTTGTCTGTTGGTTTTTTTCTTTTTTAGCCATGGCATTGTCAGACTTATGAGTTTGAATGTCCCTCTGGTATCTTTCGCCCCTCTTTTAAGGTCAGCAATCTTGGATCATAAAAACACAAAAAACAATAAGTCTCAATCTTTTATGATATAAGTAAATTTTGAGAACGGAATGAAATTCATCTATATAACTTTTCATTTACATGAAGAAAATGATTTGGTTTATCTTATCATTAAAACAGTTTTTAGAAATATAGAATAATTTGTGTGTGATTCTATTTTTTTCAATTTAGCCATAAAAGGGGAAATAACTTACTAGATAACTAAATTTTTTAATGGATTTTATAATAAATTTAGATATTTTGTTATTTAGTATGACAAGTCCTGTGACCCCACTTTTTTTTCTTTCTTAAAGCACATTATAAGAGCTATCTTCTCAGATTCTATTTTAAAATTCTATCGTTCAGTTTCTTTCTTTTCACACAAAAGTGGTTTTTACTCCTGGAATAACCTTTAGCACCATTTTTTATACTTACTCCTGGGACGACCTACATCACCTCTGTTTGATCTTACTCCTGGGATGACCTTTAGCACCTTTGTTGGATCTTACTCCTGGGATGACCTTAAGTACCCTAATTAGCACTAATTTTCAGGTTGAACTTAAGTACTTTTGTTGAAACTTACTCCTGGGATGATCTTATGCACCTCTGTTTGAACTGACTATCGGAACTACCTTATAAAGCATCTTTGTTAGAACTTACTCCTAGGACAACCTTTAGCAACTTAATTGACACTTTTTCCTAAGACAACTTTTATCACCTATAAGAGATCCGACTCCTTGAAGAATCCTTAGGAATTTTTTTCAGTACTTACTCATGGGAGGGTCTTGGGGGTATTTACTGCTACATGTACTTACTTCTAGGAGGTTCTTTAGCATCCTTATTGGTAATCAGTTTGTATACATGTGGGTAGTCATACTCTAAAACTTCTATAAATATCTTGACACCATTATCCCCCTTGGTTTGTAAAATATCCAGAAACTGTCCTATTTGTAAAAAAAAACATTTTTCATGATTAAACATGTATTTCAAACATTTCTTATTCTAATCTAAATGGCATATTGATTTCTTCATACAAATAATAGTATAGGTATTTCAATATTCTCTTCTAATTATGAGCAAGATCCACTTGCTAGTAAAAATTGCAATGCTATTAACTTGGAACAACATGAAATGGAAATACCGTAAATTCAGAAATTATTGCCTGCATTTAATATTGCGATTTCAACATGACAGACAAAATTTGAGAAATTTTTTGTGATTACAGGAAAAGCTCAATACAGAATATATGTGTCAGATTTCAGAATGTGAGGTCTTATTAATGTGATATTTATCAAGTCGCATTATTTACAATACTGTGAATTCTTTTATTTTTGTGGGCACCAATTTTCATGGTTTGATGAAAACTTTCATTTATTGTGGATATTTTTTTTCTAGGTTTTGCCGGATTTTGCGTACATTCATATAGAAAATTTGTAATTTGTTAAAAATTTAAATTTGAAATCCACAAAAATTGGTATTCAACGAATGATAATGAATTCCTCAGTAAAAAAAACCTTGCAATATTTTCTGAATTTACAGTACATGATAATCATAAGCTTTCAGAAAAGACTTCATGAACTTTGAATCTAAAGGCTTATGAAATATAAGGATTAGAACAATTGTTTATGAGGTGTCAGTGGTTAGTTGAAAGTCTAGGTTTTAAAAATCTTTATTTGTCACATTTATGTTATATACAAACAAGATGTACTGTGTTTGGAATATACATTATATATCTTTACAGTAAAGTCCTTTAAGTTTGTGCACCTTTCAGAAAAGGAGATGCACAAAGGGTCCCTATTTGGCCTTCAAATTCAATGATAAATCATCTGCTTTTTGTGTAAAAATCATAAATCAGTATAGTGCAAAGTTAAATTGTATCTAAAGGTCTTTAAAAACATTATGAATATTCACCAAAATGTTTAATATTAGTATATTTTTTTTTGAATGACAAACAAGCCTTGTTTTTTTTTTACAATTCCTGAGTGAAAATTATTTATTGCATGCATGAATAAAGTAAATATTTATAATAGTGGTATAGCTCATAGTAACTTCATACAAACACAATGGTAAATCATTTAAGTGGTTCTTGCATGCATTCTATATTAGTGCGTCTAATAAACACATGAAATTCTGTATGCTTTTCCTAAAATTTTTAGACAAGGATTTTCTTTAGGCCGAAAGTAAAATTAAAACTGTTTGATGTTGCCTACCTACCCACCTAAAAAGCAGCCTACCTGAAAAATTTAATGACACAAATTGTTTCAAATCTTTTTATTAAAGATTTTTTTCTACCTTAATGTTGTTTTCTGAACTAAAACATGTAACTAATGTTGATTGCCAAAAAAAAAAATTCCTACCTACCTTAGTCTCCAACCCTACAAGGCATGGGTAGGCAACATCAAACAAAGAATTTGTTAACAGTGGCCTCACTGTGATGACATAGAGCATAAACTAGCTGTTTTTAGTTTTTTCATTATTTATAAGGTTTAAAATAGATATACCAATAAATTGATATGATAAAATTACATTTCAAATTTCAAAGAAAACTTAGGCCAAATAACTGTATTTAGCAAGGCAGTTATTCAAAAGTATTCGTCGTCAAATATTTTCATTAATTTTTTTGGCATGAATTTTTTCAATATATCTTTAAAAATAGTATAAACCAATGACCATAATAAATGTAAAATGTGTACTAATGATTAATTGTTCATATTTTATTCCTTAGTTTCATAGTTCAAGATATAAGGAACTAATCCTTTGTAACCTGATATGGTCATGTTTTTTTTAATTGTGTCAGAAATAAATTTTCAAAATAAAACTTTCGAATAATTTCCATTTAAGGCATATTTTACATAAATTTTATTAATATTACAAAATATTTTCATAGATAGAAAACCCAAAGGAATTAAGTATGCTGATATCAAATTCTTTTCTAAACAAGTAATTTTATAGTTACTTGATATGCAACTTCCTTCTTAGAGACAACAAGGTCAACTTTATACATGCAAAAAAATAACATCCAAATTCAGGATATTCTATAACAGGAAAATTTCTATGTCCTTAATTACTATATTTTTTTGGTATCTCTTTACACTAAAATATTTCAATCTGAAAAACTAACTAACTAACTAACTAATTTTATTCAGTATAAAATCCAGTACAAAAAGATCATCGCTGAAATACATGAAAACATAGAAAAACTAAAACAAAAAAGAGACAGCAATTTTGTAACGTATTACAAACAATAGACAAAACACCCACATCAATATTATGCAATTATTCCCACTGATGAATTTCTAATCATGATACATTTGTCTATATATAAAAGAAATCTGTTGAGAACATCAGTCTCCGAACAGTTCATTAAATATCTAAATTTATCAAAATTATCTAAATTACAAAAACGTGGTATAATATTAACAATGTCATCATAAAACTTTTTCCTCTTGTCTTGATAGAGGTTGCATTCACATATGAAATGAAACTCATCTTCAATTTTGTTATCAATACAATGTTTGCATATTCTTTGATCCAAAGGCGTATTATTATATCTGCCTTTTTGATGTGTAAATTATGGTTAGAAATTCTTAATTTACAGAACTGTCTAATATATTGTTTCAAGATATTCAACTTTGTATAAGTCTCAGGTTTATATTCCCTTTTTAGCTTGTAATATGTACATAATTTGTTTTGGTCTTCACCTGATAAACATGAGAAAAAATATTTTTCATATCTTTCTTGTAATCTTTTTTTCACTGCAGATATGAGTTTTCCTTCTGACAGTGTTCCTTTATTATTCCAGACATGGTCAAAACCAATGAATTTTAGAAACTGAAAAATGTGTTTGTTAAAGGTACATGGAAAGGTACAATCAACATCTTTGATTGACTTATATGCTAGTTTTGAAAAATTCAAAAGAGGGTCTTTATACAAATGTACTATATAGCCAGTATTTAAGATACTGCAAAATAACAAATATAGAAATTGGGTAACGACCAAGTTCTGCCATACTGGCAATATTAGAAGCATATTTAGTGGCACCAAGTACAAATTTACAATATCGAATGTGAACCTTTTCAGGTGCAAAATTTAAAAAAGTCTTTTCTAAATCATCATTTAAACCTGGTGTTAATCTTTTGTCCAGGTTAAGAATGTAAGACCCCATATTCACTTCCATATAGAAGAACAGGTTTAACACAGGAGTCAAAAAGTTTTAAGAGCAAAGGTGTATTATTATGTGTACAATGAAATTTACGTTAAATCATGAAAATTACTTTAAGAGCTTTCTTACTAAGATCTTCAACTGCAGTACTGAAAGAACCTGATATATCTTTTTACATATGTTTTTAGTTAACAATTGACAAGAAAGTCTGAACATCCCAATTATTTTGTAATTTATGACAAAGCTTTGTAATTTGTAAAATATCTTTCAATTTCTTGTATACCTTACATTGTGATTAGACAATGAGTTTATCATCTGAAAATTGTTTATTTCAATCCAGGTCTTCCATTTTTCACAGCTGAAATGCAACATCTGCCGAATCGACTGCTAATAGTGACAATAGGTAAGACAATGGTCAACCAACAAATTGGGACATTCACTGTGGTCATACCTGCCAACTTTTTAAAATCTCCATGGGGGATTTTATGGCAACAGGAACTTATGCTACTCTTTTATTGTCATAAGTGTTTTTAATCTACTACTATATTGTTTAAATGAGTATGTATGTGCTTAAATGTCCTTTTTTTACTCATTTGAATACCTGTTTTGAGGTGTTCAGTTTATAAAGTAAAGAATTTCAAAATTTAGCTCAACACCTCTCATGGGGGATATCCCCCATAAATCGGGATAGTTGGCAGGTCAGTGGTGAAGCAAATAAATTACAATACTGGTATAATATGACTGGTTAGGTCATTTGTCTCTTGGTATACAACTTCATAAGATGCTATTCTATCCTATAATGTGATGTTAACATATAGCATTAAAACAGCTGGTAAAATTCCAAAACCTGATTTTGATGGTTACAATCTTTTATTAGTCACATAATAATCATATTTACCTCTGGCCTCAGCCTCAATAAATACAATTCTCTGCAGAGAACATACCATAATATCCATCTTATTATTCAATCATAATTTGAAATCTATCATGGCAACATCTTAGATTAATATGTGAACTTTACTTCAGATTTTATAATAAGCAATAAGAAGGGAGGTACTCTGTATTTTAATTTATATATAGAATAACTAATCAAAGAATTCAAATATAGAAAAATATTCAACGAGTGACCGAACAACACATTAATTCACGAATACGCATAGCGCATGAGTTATTTTCAGTGTTGTTCGGTCACGAGTTGAATTTTTTTTGGATATTTGAATTCTTTGATTAGTTATTCTTTTTATTACATTGACAATGGGCTATTCAATGGAAAATAAAGTAGAAAATGAAAGGAACTTTATCTTTTTCTACGCATTCACAATTTGCTTTCATGCAACTTCAACGACAACGTCTTGCCAACACCTACTGTTGTATGACGTCAGAGTAGCGAAATTATCGAGTTTACTTCACATGTGAAATTATCCCTTGTTATTTCACTGGGAAATCACGGTAATTCATTGCAACCACTGTAATAAATGTAATTATTGGATACAGCATGCATTCAGATTCCTGAATAATTTAATTCCATTTCTCCTTTAATTATAAGTCTTTTTGTTAATAATTACCTGCCCTTGCCCTTCTTGTTGGCGGGTACATGTTCATTACTCTTTCTTGGTCATCCATCGTAAAAACACCCTTTGACCTCATTATATCAAATACAACAAAAGGATCAAAATATTTGACTATCCTGTAACGATTCGGCTCAATCAACTTGTCATAAATACTATCATCCTCTTCTGATGCTGACATTTTTTATGAACTGAAATAAAATAGATAAAGCAAAATAAAATTTAAAAAATAATTTGTCATTGGTTTGTTATATAGATGAATAAATTTTATTTAATATGTAGTTATACTACTGTCTCAAGTTAAGGTAAAGGTTGGCGCCTGTTAAAACGTTTAAACCCACTGCATTTTTATGCACCAGAGTCCTAAGTCAGGAGCCTGTTGTTCAGTGGTTGTCGTTTGTTGGTTTGGTTCATAGGTGTTTCTTGTTTTTTATATAGATTAGACAGTTGGTTTTCCTGTTTAAATTGTTTCACACTAGCCCTTTATATCTTGCTGTTCGGTGTGAGCCAAGGCTCTGTGTTGAAGGCCGTAATTTGACCTATAATTGTTAACTTTTTATACATTGTGACTTGGATGGAGAGTTGTCTCATTGGCACTCATACCACATCTTCTTATTTATATAGAAACTTTTTCAAAATTTGTTAGCTGTCAAAATCAAAATTTTCTTTTGAATTTACTTGAGAAAACTTGCAAGACTTCTTTGCTTAACTCCCCTTGATGTATAGCTATGCATACCCATATTCCTTTCACACAAGATGGTTCAGAAGAAATTTTTCTAGCATTTTAATCTGATCAGTTTTTAATATATACTGTATCAATATTGAACAGAATTGATCATTTGCCATGGTTTACAAAAATAATGGTTGATTCTCCTTCGGGAATATGTTTTGGGAACTTAGATGCTTACTGTAACCATCATTTGTTTGTAGCACTTATAAATATCTATTACTACATGTTCAGAAAGTATGAACAAAGAATCGATTTCTGTTAAAGTTTTCTGAATTAACATTTATGTATCCAACTGCTATCCTCTCATCAAATATACATATGCCTATCACAAAGTTAATCTGAAGTCTACACAATACATCACCACAGAAGTAATCATCATGCCTATCACAAAGTTAATCTGAAGTCTACACAATACATCACCACAGAAGTAATCATCATGCCTATCACAAAGTTAATCTGAAGTCTACACAATACATCACCACAGAAGTAATCATCATGCCTATCACAAAGTTAATCTGAAGTCTACACAATACATCACCACAGAAGTAATCATCATGCTTATCACAAAGTTAATCTGAAGTCTACACAATACATCACCACAGAAGTAATCATCATGCTTATCACAAAGTTAATCTGAAGTCTACACAATACATCACCACAGAAGTAATCATCATGCCTATCACAAAGTTAATCTGAAGTCTACACAATACATCACCACAGAAGTAATCATCATGCCTATCACAAAGTTAATCTGAAGTCTACACAATACATCACCACAGAAGTAATCATCATGCCTATCACAAAGTTAATCTGAAGTCTACACAATACATCACCACAGAAGTAATCATCATGCCTATCACAAAGTTAATCTGAAGTCTACACAATACATCACCACAGAAGTAATCATCATGCTTATCACAAAGTTAATCTGAAGTCTACACAATACATCACCACAGAAGTAATCATCATGCTTATCACAAAGTTAATCTGAAGTCTACACAATACATCACCACAGAAGTAATCATCATGCCTATCACAAAGTTAATCTGAAGTCTACACAATACATCACCACAAAAGTAATCATCATGCTTATCACAAAGTTAATCTGAAGTCTACACAATACATCACCACAGAAGTAATCATCATGCCTATCACAAAGTTAATCTGAAGTCTACACAATACATCACCACAGAAGTAATCATCATGCCTATCACAAAGTTCATCTGAAGTCTACACAATACATCACCACAGAAGTAATCATCATGCCTATCACAAAGTTAATTTGAAGTCTACACAATACATCACCACAGAAGTAATCATCATGCCTATCACAAAGTTCATCTGAAGTCTACACAATACATCACCACAGAAGTAATCATCATGCCTATCACAAAGTTAATCTGAAGTCTACACAATACATCACCACAGAAGTAATCATCATGCCTATCACAAAATTAATCTGAAGTCTACACAATACATCACCACAGAAGTAATCATCATGCCTATCACAAAGTTCATCTGAAGTCTACACAATACATCACCACAGAAGTAATCATCATGCCTATCACAAAGTTAATTTGAAGTCTACACAATACACCACCACAGAAGTAATTATTCAGGAATAAGAATATTCTTTTATCAAAAAAGCTTTATACTTAACAAGGGCTAAAAAACGTCCTTCTCAAATCCTGACCTATATAGGTTATCTAGGTTACCATACATAGCCTAATTCCCTTAACAATGCCACTAGAATAATTTATTTACATCTATAATTCACATGTAAATAAACAAACAGAAAATAATCTTAAAGTTCACAAACATATAACATTGTTTATATGTTATTTTGTTTAAATGTGTATACATGTTTTTGTTTAAATGTACTTTAATGCTCTAATCTTTATAATCATTTACTGTGCTTTATTTTCTAATTCATTTGATTGTATAGCTCAAATTTTTGGGCACCATGACTGGTTAATAAAATATTTTATCTTATCTTATCTTATAATATAAAGACCGTTATAATTCTGACCCCCATTATTCTTAAATGGATCCTGTATAGTAGATAAATCATTAGGGTAAACCCCTATAAAAAGTATAAAGTTTTTGTTATCAAACCATTGTAAACAATTGAAGTTGTCCTTACAAATAAAGATACTATTTATTACTCAGGTAAGTCAATAACATTGACGAGCAGTATTTGATGTCAAAAAATCTGATTTAAAATATAGCTGTTTTATAGTAAAAGTGTATGTCAACTTGGATTCATTCATTACTTTACAGGAATAAGATAAATATATTGTAAAGATATTCCTATATAATTGCAGTCTGCTCCGACTACTAGTCTGAAGAACAATAATCCAACATTTTTCTTATGTGTCTAAACAAAGCTTTGCAAAAACTTACTAGTCCGAATAAAATTTTACTAGTCTGGGGCATCGGACTAATGGCTAACGGTGCAGACTGTAATTGAAGATTGTATGTTTACCTGTAGTATGTTTGGTATTTTGTGTTGATGGGTTGCTGTCTAATGGTTAAGATAACAAATTCCTTAAATTTGAAAAGGGAGAGAAGTTTAATTGTCCTCATTATCTGGTTAAGATTGTGTCAACAAAATATTATCATCATTTTAAATTAAAATTTTTGTTTCTGAATTTCTCTAGTTAAAAAATGTGTGTACCCATAAGTGCACTAAAACTGAAGTTGCATTACTCCCTCAGGCAAAATTGACCTTAGACGATTTTTGTTGTACTTTCCACTCAGAGATTATAAATATAAAGTATTCCCACTACCCTAAATATAATGTGTTAAGTGGTCTTATATAGAGAGCCACTCAGAACTTACAAATCTGTCACCTCTTGTGTACTGTCCAAACTAGGATTGTACATTTAAAGTCTTGACAATACTGTATTGTATTCTGTGAAGTGCTCCTGTATGCAAGTTTAGATAATGATAGTTCTACATTATATAGTACCAAAGATTTGAAACTTGATATAAAAATGACCTAAACTCTCTGAAGTATGAATAGTAGGTTGCTGTGACTTATTCCTGACCGTCTCAGTAAACTGCAACTAAATGCTGTCCATTATGACTTATTAATGATTTTATGACATAATAAATGATATTATAGTCCAAAATTGTCCCCAGATTTTTTTCTTAATATTCATGTAGCATTAATAGTTTTAATAAAATATTGCATGCACTGCAATCTCTGGAGTCAAATAAGAAAAATTCTTCTATCCTCTCCCAGGGGTGGATCCAGTATATTTGAAAGGTGGGGAGTAATTCCAGAATAAAATGCTTCGCTGAGCACAGCCTGATACGACCGCAGAGGTCAAACCCCAAACAGTTGGGGCAAATTTGGACACAATATTCAAGCTTGATACTGTCTGAATTTGGATTGTGATCAAATTTTTGACACAATATAGGTTTCTGACACAAAATAAATGTGGTCAAAGATCTTACAAATCTATTGCGCAATACTGTGCAATTTAAGGTTTCATCTTTCTTCTTGAAACTTTTCAAAAATTTGAAATTTGTAAAAATTTTGAAAACAAAATATGAAGCCCTTAAAAAAAATGGAACCCCCCACCATTTTTTAATCCCTCCTTAGAGCAATTACCTCCAAACTCAATCCCAGCCTTTCCTTTGTAGTATGGAACCTTGTAGTACAATTTCAGAGAGATCCATTCACTTAAACACAAGTTATTGTCTGGAAACTAGAAAAATGCTTGTTTTTTGCCCATTTTTGGCCCCTCATTCCTGCATGTATGGGACAATTACCCCCAAACTCAATCCCAGACTTCTCTTTGTGATATGAAACCTTGTGGTACAATGTCAGAGAGATGCATACACTCACACACAAGTTATTTTCTTGAAACTACAAAAATGCTTCTTTTTGGCCCCTTTTTGGTCCTTAATTCCTAAACTGTTGGCACCATAACCCCCAAAATGAATTCCAATCTTCTACTTGTGGTATTAAACATTATGGTACAATTTCAGAGCAATAAAAATACTTATACACAAGTTATTATCCTGAAACTAGAAAAATGCTTGTTTTGGGCCCCTTTTGGGCCCCTAATTCCTAAACCATTTAGGACCATCATCCCCAAAATCAATCCCAACCTCCCTGTTATGGTATTGAACCTTCTTAAAAAATTTCATAAGAGATCCATTCACTTAAACTAAAATTATTGTCCGGAAACCAAATGTGTCTTCTGAAGACGACGCAGACAACATCATACCATTATACGATCCCAAAAAGTTTTTTGTGGTCGTATAAAAAGGAATATTTTTGGACGATTTTATGCTAAAAAATCATATGAATCGTGAAAAACAAGTTTAAAATTTTTTGGCAATCAAAATCTAAAGGGGATGGATTGTAACGCCCTCGCTACTCCACTTTTAGATTTGCATTCATTGCGCATTTCTTTCTGCCGATTTGACAAATTTGACAAATTAAACTGTATACATTACTTAACTGGAAAAAAAACAGGATACATTACTTTTATTGTATGTTATATTCTCTTGTAATCTTTTACCCTCATTTATTTTCATTTTATTCTAAAACTTACTTAATAACTTGGCATATTTTCTACTTTGTATCTTAAAAATAATTGAAAAATCAAGAGCTGAGAAGTTTTCCTTTTAAACAAACTATCTCCTTAACATGGTATTCATATCTATTTCAACACCTATCATCTAAAGAAAGTTTGTTGATACCTGGGTAGCTATGTAACAATCATACTGCATCCTTTGTGCATCTAAAATGGCATTGATTTCTGTTCGAATAACAAATACACTGTTTTACCTTTCTGAGAATACCTTTATAGACTTCAATGACTGTGACTTTTTGTTAGAACAACTAGGTTAAATTAATGACTTTTCAGAAAGAAAAAAAAGTATAAATTTCATCAAAAATGGGAATGAAAGAATATTTATGTCATGGTAAGGGTTGAATATGAGACAAAATTCCACTAAGATACAAGGAAATAAGTAGTATTTTCATCCTTTAATGGTCTTGTGCCAAACATTACTTTTTTTTAATATTACTTTTCCCAGATTCCAATGTTAATAGATGTCTTTTTTTACCACACACAGTGTCTATAATCTTTGCTTTTAGTTAGCCATGATTTGCTCTAAATTCACAGAAGTTCACATTTTTCTTTTTAAAATACTGCCTATAGCATGATAGTTAGTTACATAAAACAACTTACATGCTATAAAGGGTTACATATGTTTTAACAGTTGAATAAATTTATAATGTAGTAATTATCAGCATATGTATTTAGCTGAGTTTTTAATTATTTCAATGATCAATTTCAAATAATCAGTAATTTTGACACAAAATATCAAAACTGGAATATTTAGTGTTGTAGCAACATCTATTCTTAAGACCCAGAATGAACTTATCTTTTTTTACCTTTTAAGATAGTTGACCTTTTTGACCTTTTCACTGGATTTGATATGAATTAAAATACCTCTCTTATAATGACAGTTTTGATACTAGACTAAGCCCTTAAGCCACAGTGTTTATATGTTTACGACGTTTGATGTTAACTATCAAGTATATAAATCATCTTAAGAATCAGCATGGCATATCATCTCCCACTTTTATAAGGTGTAAAATAACTTCACATACATTTAAATACATAACAGGATACAGAAGAATTTAACATCAGTTATTCATACTTACTTATATATATGCGTCTCTTAAATCCTGGATTTTTTTATGCTTTTGCCATGTAACACTTTTCATACATCTTCCCTTACACAATTCACAAACTGTAACACATGTAATACATTGCAAATCTTGACCCACTTACTTCCTAACCTACCAGTAGAATTATACTTCCTGGTATGACGGGCTATTTGAACAAACATCAATGAGCCGGGAAGTTAAACCCTCTTCAACAATGCACCAATAAAAATTGTAAACATCATATTTAAATACCACACAGGTTAATGTAATTATTTCAATGGATATTCTTTCATAAGCAAATGGACTTTACCCCCAGAGTCTTTTCTCTCCAGCTGGGTATTACTCTAGCTCCATAACTTAAAAGACTTGTAGAACTTCTGTCAGTAAAAGTTTGCATACTCCAACAGACAAAATACTAATTAAGCTTCATAAAAAGTGTAGGCATTCTCAAGGAACAAAATTTTCCTGTAAATTTCCCTTTTGATTAAATAACTTTAAAAAAGCAAAGGTTATTCATGAACGGGACAATGATTTGAACTAGAAACTCCAAGGAGCCAAAATCACTCACCTGAATACAAGCATAGTTACTGAAAAAGTGCAAGTATAAAGATGGTTCTCAAGTATTTCTCATATAGTTCAATATGATAAATTGTAGAAAATCTGGAATTCAAGAATGACATAAAAAATATTTTCTGTTGTCATAATTATGATAAATGGATCATATTGACCGAATTTAAAAATAGGAATCTGTCAACGTGTATTTTAAATCTGGTCCAATGTTAATGTTTAGGCCATTCTGGTGTGCATCTGTGATTTCAGTACAGCATAAAATCTTAAATTTTGTAAAAGTTTATAATAGAAGACAACTTGCACAGCATGACGGATGTCAAATGATGACAAAAGCTCACATGATTTTTCATTCAGCACGATAACGTCAAGTCTGTTCAATTCATAGGTTTGTTACGTTTCTGTAACCATAGATTTTGTTGTTGTATTACTTATAATAAATACAAATAGCAGCAGTGTTGTCCACTTTATGTATACTTTATGTATATTTTATTTCATTTTATTACCATATCTTATACATAGATTAGACTATTCTATTGCTTGGCATCCACTTTTCACTTGTATCTAAAAGACTGATGTTTGTATGGTATCTTTTTTTTACCTACTGGAAGATGAAGTATTTTCGAAAGAAATGCTCTCTGCAAAGTTTGTAGAATGGCAGAGAATAAAAGATTTCCCTTCATAGGTTTAAATCATTCAGGAATTGAAAACTATTCTGACCTCTTTTTGTAACTTCAGATTCATGTACTAAAATGGATTGGAAATATTCCTGTATTCTTTAGTTAAAACTGAAGAAAAGAAGATGTGGGGTATAGACCAATGAGACAGCAAATCAACAAAGCAAAAAAACCAAGACATCTGAAGGTCAAAATAAGGTCTTCAATAATAGACAAGCTTCTATACAATATGTCAAGCTATGAAGAATTCAAGGTCAAATAGCAAATCTGGTGACACAATATTGATTTATAAAGAATAGTTATCTTGCTTTCAAAGAATATTGACAAAAATAGATAACCAAAGTTATTTAAGAATTGAAAGATAAAATAAATATTTCCACCTAACTGTTATCTTTGATGATAGCATTTCAAATTTTTTTATGATAAGAGTTATTTATAGGAATGTTCTTAGAAGACCCACCCTTTTGTAAATAGGGAAGGAGTATGAAAAAACTAAACAGGAAAAAAGTCGCAATGTAGTTAATACTATTATTGTTTAAACTAACCCTTAAAACTAAGAAGTGACGGTTGGTGTAGGATTAGTCACTAAATTGCATATAAAAAATATCAAGTTTTCCTACACGTTCTATCACTCATAGACTGTCATAAACTTCTTTGATATAAAAATACAAAGATGTGGTAATTAATTGCCAATGAGACAATTATCCACAAGAAACCAAGTGACGTAGATGTATGCAACTATAGGTCTTTGTACAGCCTTGAACAATGAGTTCTATTTCTAGATATATATTCAATGCCAATGGAGAAACTTTTCAAATCAGTCATGTGTTTTAAATGCTTTCTCTATGAGATTCATAACATTCGGTTGAGGCAAACTTAAGTTAGAGAACGGAAACAAAAAATTCAGCAATTTTTCCATTTGTAAAGGGGCATAACTCTAGAACAGTGAAAGTGACGCCTCCGAAATTTAAAATTGATCTATGTTTTGTGGTAATAAGCATTGTGTATAAGATTCATAACATTTGGTTGAGGCAAACTTAAGTTAGAAAATGGAAACAAAAAATTCTGCAATTTTTCCATTTGTAAAGGGGCATAACTCTAGAAAGGTAAAAGTGACGCCTCCCAAATTCAAACTTGATCTGTGTTTTGTGGTAATAAGCATTGAGTTTAAGTTTTATAACATTTGGTTGAGGCAAACTTAAGTTAGAAAATGGAAACAAAAAATTCTGCAATTTTTCCATTTGTAAAGGGGCATAACTCTAGAAAGGTAAAAGTGTCACCTCCCAAATTCAAACTTGATCTGTGTTTTGTGGTAATAAGCATTAAGTTTAAGTTTCATAACATTTGGTTGAGGAAAACTAAAGTTCGAGAAGGGTAACCAATTTCGGGACGTACGGATGTACAAGGGTAAAACTTAATGCCCCTTCCACTACGACAGGGGAATAAAAAATTGGCATGTGTTCCCTAGATCCTGGCTAACTTGTCACACCCAATATAAAAATTCATGAAATATAAAAAGCCAAAGATTCATTCCAGAAACCAAGATTTTTAAGAATTTCAAACCATGTATAGCTGTCTTTTTTAGAAACTGTGACCTTGATCTTTGACCTGATAGCCTCAAAATCAATAGGTGTTGTCCCTTTTCTACTATCTACCACCTTATAAGGTGTTTTAATCCAACTTAAAGTAATCACCCAGAAACAATGAATTGCATTTAAAATTTTCAATTGTATTTTAACAGCTGTGACCTTGACCTTTGACCTAAAAATTGATAGGGCTCTTCCCCCTCTCTATATCTTTTATCTATACAAATTTCATTTTTAAAATAGAAAACTCAAATTTTTATCAGGAAACATTTTTTTAGTAACAACAACCTTCAACTTCAACCTATTGATCCCAAAATCTAAGTTTGAATAAATTCAATAGTTCTGCTTCAATTTTTGAATAATCACATTTCATAACCATCTTCTACTAATAAGACTAAGATAACTTAGATTGGTGGATGAAAAATGAAAGTCATTGAATGAAGACTATCAAGTTTGTATATTTATTCTGTAGATAACTGTTGGACAATCTGTCTAGCTCTGTCAACTTTAACACCACTATCTGAAATACAAATATATATTGTTAGTTTACTGTAGATATACAGACTAAGGGAGCTACCATTTGAATTTTATTGGGGGGCTAGGATGAAATTTGAAAAAAATAGGCAGGACAGGAGTTTTGAGTAAAAAAAAAAGGCAGGACGAGATTATTTGCAAAAAAAAAAGGCAGGATGACAATTTATGTAAAAAAAAAAAGTCAGGATAAACTAAAAAAAAAAGGCAGGACCGAATAGAGTGAAAAATAAAAAGGCAGGACCGAATAGAGGGAAAAATAAAAAGGCAGGACAAATTTTTTCATCCTAGCCCCCCCATAAAAATCAAATGGTAGCTCCCTAAATACACCCTGTTTACAGAAAAAAATTCAGAGGATAAGAATACATGTAAACAGTCATTTATTCCATCAAAACTTTATTAAATAAAACCTTTGAAAAAGTATTTGTTTGCATTTTTTCATTTTATCTTCACGTAACAATTAAAACCATGCACATTAGCTCCCATTGAGATACTTTTTAGAATATGTTATAACATAAACTTTATAAATTTGAATTGTTCAAGTTTATTTAAGGTTGAAGAAATGAAAAAAGATGAAAATTTGATAAATAAAGAAAAGATAATTCACATTTAAAATAATATGAAAATAATAATTTAACAATCCTATGGAGGTCAAATTACTCCATAATTACTAATTACATAATCCTGCACTTCATATGACATTAAAATTTGGTATGAATAAAAGTAGTTATCGAGTTAACATTCATATTTGTCATGAGAAAGATTAATCAAACAGACATCTAGAGGCTGCCCATAATAATAAGTATAACAAGTAAGCTTAGTAATGAAACCCAATCTGAATTAATCAATTTCAAAATCACACAAATAATGGATATTCAACCTACATGACCTACATTTGTATCAGATTAAGTGCTTTACAAAATGTACTCTTTCACTTCTTACTGAGTAGCTGTCTGAAAATACAAATTACTTCATACATTTGTATCTAAAGAAGGAGAAAGTGAAATACTCAGATGCAGATACAGGATTCTGAAAAAGGGGTGGGGCCTGCAGGCCCTCAAACTAGACAAAATTTGGAGTGGTATAGGTAAATAGTCAGGATTTACCATAAATATAGCTGCATATGGGGAAGGTTTCAGCAAACAGGAAATAGATATCGGACAAATATGAAAAGAGCTCAAATGATACAGATCATCACTGTCAAGCTGCTGTCCAAATATCGTTATTCTGTCCAGTAGAAATATTTGTTGGACAAATGGACAGACAGACAGACAAGGTAAATGCAAAATATCCCCCACTCCTAAATTGTGAGTATAAGTGGAGGTATAATAAGAATATATTACTTCTATACTTGTGTATATTTAATAGTCATACCTGAATCTGATTCTATAATTTTTTGTGCTGCTAAAGATGTTGTTTCCCGAGCTTTTCCTTTTAAACCATCCAGATACAGTAGTAAAGTTTTAAAATGTTTATCTTTTATCTACAGTGAAAACAAAGTCTAATTTTATGTTTCGACATAATGAGATGCCTGCTTAATTTGTGGTTAAAATGTCAATTATATCTTATTAAATCATATAATAAAATCTACCCCAATTCAGTTAAATTGACATGTGCCATGCTAATACATCTTTACAGTCCATTGGCATAAAATTGTAGACTTTCCCATGGTCATGATGATACATAAATAAGAATTCAGGCTAAAGAAAAGTTATACATGTATCTTTAATTATAGATAAAACTAATTTTACTTAGACTTGTATTATGACTTTACCTTTTTCAGTGGGCATCTGAATAGAGCTAAAATTGGAATATTCAGACACCTAATGCAACAACATTAACAGTACCAATTTTTCTGCACCAGATGAGCATTTTTTGTCTCTTTAATGAAGCTTGAGGGCAAAATATTTTAAAAGCCAAACCTTATCAAACAATAAACTGTTGACACAGAGCACAGAGATGTGTCTCGCCTATCGGCATAAAATTTAGAAAAATGCGCTCAGCCTGGAGCAATTGGATATGACCGCAGAGGTAGAACTCTGACCAGTTGGGGCAAGTATGGCCACAATATTCAAGCTTGATACAGCTCTGAATTTGGATAGTGATTAAATATTTGACACATTATAGATTTCTGACACAGAATAAATGTGGTCAGATAACTAAAAAATTTGAAATGGGACATTTAATCTACTTAATGGTCCAATATCCAAAATCTAATTCCATGGTTAGATTCAGCATATAAAAAAAGGGCCCAAAATTAAAAAGGTGAATGCACAGTAAGATTTAGCATATCATAGAACCACAAGAATTCAGTTTTTGATGAAATCAAACAAAGTCTAATTTTGGACCCTTTGGACCTCAATGTAGACCTATTTAAAAATGTCCAAATATCCAATATAGTAATACATGGTAAAAATCTCAAACAATTCAAGACTTTATATTAATCCTCATTGAAATTGGTTAAAAGATTTGTATTTATTTTCAATTGAAGATTTCTTGCTGTTGTGCAATACTTTGCTGTTGCGCAATACTTAGTAAATCTGTTTACAAACTAAATATAATAATTTACACACCTTGTTTGGTGTGTATCTCCTGCCATATCAGTATTTGTTGTTTCTTTATATAGATCAGAAATAATTTATGTTAGAACCAGCTTAGCCAGTATTAGAAAAGTCTTGTTTTTGGCCCCTATTTGGCCTCTAGTTTCATAACGATTAAAGTCACAACCCACAAAATCAACCCCAACCTTCTGTGTGTGGTATGGAACCTTGTGGTACAATTTCATAGAGATCCATTGACTAATACTAAGAATTTGTCCGGAAACCAGAAAAACCTTGTCCCCCCTCCCTTGTTGCCCCTTATTCCTGAATGGTTAGAGCCATAACCCCCACAGTCAAACCCAACCTTTCCTTTGTGGTATGGAACCTTGTGCTTCAATTTCATAGAGATCCATAGACTAATACTTAAGTAATTGTCCATTATCCAGAAAAACCTTTTTTTGCCCCTAATTCTTGAACGGTTTGGGCCATAACCCCATCACCCCCAAAAACAATCCCAACTTTCCTTTTGTGGTATTGAACCTTTTGGTTAAATTTCATAGAGATCCATACACTTTAACTAAAGTTATTGTCCGGAAACCAAATGTCTTCGGACGATGCCGACGACGTGATACCAATATAAGACTGCAAAACAATTTTTGCGGTCCTATAAAAAAGTAGTTCCTACCAATATAACTTAAGCATAAAAACTTAACATTAAAAATAGCTAATTAATTCAGTCACTGGACCATGTCCTAGGGGTAGGGCCTCAAAATAGTCGTCAAACTGATATGTACTGATAGTAATGCAACTTTATACAAAATATCATTGATCTATCACAAGTAGTTATTATCAAACTGACTTAAGCAGAAAAACCTAACATTGAAAATTGGTAATTAAATCAAAGTCACTGGACCTACATGAAAGGGTAGGGCCTCAAAATAGCCATCAAACTGATATGAACTGATAGTAATGCCACTTCATACAAAATATCATTGATCTATCACAAGTAGATCCTATCAAACTGACCAGGTAACATCTAAAGCATCCAATGACAATAATGAGTAAGTTCCACATGCACACATTGGAAATCTGAGAAAAAAAATTAAATCTCAGTGTACAAATTTGCCGGAGCACATTTTCAATTTCATTGCCTGTGTTGGATCACTGTGGATTTGAATATTAATGTTAAAGGAAAACCATTGCCAAAAAAAGCAACCTTATAGCATTCAATGATAAAAATGATCGAGTTCAACATATGAGTAAAATATTTTTCAATCTGTTAAAAATAGAATCTGTATACGTACTGTGCAAATATTGTATTCTGTGGCACTTGACAAAAGTCAATGAAATATAGATTCCATCACTGCATCAAGTGTGTTACGATATTTCTCTACTCGAGACAGTTAAATTTTAATATTTCAAGTGTGAGGCTTGCCGAGCTTTTTAAATAATTAAAATTTAACTGTTGAGAGTGGAGAAATATCGTATTACATTGAGTTTTAGTGGTGGGATCTGTTTCTCTAATGATTTTTAGACGATATCTAAACAAAGTTTATCCTTCCTTTTCAAAGATTTGCAGAAAGTTGTGTTCTTGATATGTGACGTTATGTGACATCATGATGCATGGTTGCCTTTTTTTATAACGTCACAATAGGAAATTCAGAAGAAACAAAGAAAATTTGACGTCATAATTAAATTTTGATCAATCATTTGCCAAGAAAGAAGTTTTCTCTAGAGATGAAAATTTTTTTCTCACACTGATCGAAAAATGTGAAAAAAGCATGACAATACTTTTCTGTAAAAAAGCATATTGCTAAATATTAAACCAGACTTACCATTTCTGAATCAAGCATATTACTAAGCAACCAGACTTGTCTGACTTTCTGAAATTTCCATTCATCTCTATTCTTCTTCCAGAGTTTCAGATATGCGATAGCAAGTTCTTTTGGTGATTTTTTATTTTCTTCTGTTTCAGTTTTTATACTATCAGTAATACACAGCTCTGTTTTCTTATTTTTTTCTTTTTTCTTCTTTTTCTTATTTACTGAGACCTCTTTCATAATGTCTTCCACATCTTTATTTGTAATATCAAGTGTATTTTCATTTTTGTCATTTTCTCTATTTTTCTCAACTTTGATTTTTGATTCTGTTGTTACTGTCTGAGTTTCTTCATTTAAAACATTATCTTTTGCATCCATAAGAGGAATATCATTATTAATATCTTTATCAATTACTACTGTTTCTTTCAGATGTTTCTTTTTAGATTTAACACTGGAATTTTCATCACTGTCGTTTCTACAATTATTCACAATTATATCTTCAGTTGTTTTCTTGCAATTTCCTTTCTCAAGACTGCATTCATCTTTTCTACTGTCATCTATATTTATCTTTTCCTTTTTAATTTTTATATCACCTTCATCTTCTGTTTGTTTTCTTTTTTCAAGTTTTCTTCCCATCTAAATAAAGGATACATGTACATTTTATTAAAATATACATTTTATCTTCTTGCAAAGAAATTGTATAATTGTATACTGTGAAAGTACTTTTATTCGTGGGGTACCAATTTTCGTGGTTTTCGTGGATGGCTTTATCCACGAATTTAAGTGTCCAACGAAATATAACAACTGTTGTCCAAGTCAAGACATAGAAAGATTCCCATGGAGGTTTGACTACATGGATAATGGCATATATCTAGACAATACATCGAATATCAGTAAACACACTGTAAACTATATAATATATACAACTTCAGACAGGATTTTACCCATTTAATCTTTAAAAAACATAAACTGAACCACTTTTCACCTTTTTACTCTCATGAAAAAATACTTGGGGTTGCTAAACGACCAATTTAATGTCATAACAATGTCAGATGTAAGAAGCGCAGTCAAGATGTCTACAAAATTGAAATGGCAAAGTAGATGGACAATTAGTGACAACTTTTCGATTTAGTACCTATTGTTGGGAGGGATGTACATGTACAACTTGACAAACCAAACCCCAAATAGGAAGAATATTGTAAGAACTGAGAATAGGTTACAGCAGATTAAATAAATACAGAAACCAAATAGGTCAATCCCACAAGCCATATTGTGAATGCCGTGAAGAAGAAACAACAGAACATTTCTTACCATACTGCCCAAGCAGTGATATTGTTTGCCTCAAATTACAGCCGAAATTCGGCTTTTTCCCCTAGAGAAAATTCCCAATTACTAAAAAAAAATGGCTTAAAATTCCTCCCAAAAAGTTTTACATTTTCCCCAAACATTGATGGCATTGGACCATTGGTAGTATTGATTGTAAATATCGTATTCATGTTATTATTTTGATATTAGAAAGCACTTTTGAGATCCGGTTTTCTGATCAGAATTATCATGGTGTTTGTAACACATGTGGTTTTCAATGCATTAAGTACCATCATTGCTTCTGTTTCTTTCCCCTCTTAGAAAAGTATCTTTCAGGTTGAAAATGTCTGACAACCAAAATATACATGAAAAAACAGTGCAAAAAAGACTGCAAAGGTTGGCAAAAAATCGGAAATGTGTTTAGAATAAAATATACAAATTTCCCAATTTCAATAAAAAACATGCATTTTTCCCAATAAAAAACGGAAGAGGTAGTTTTGAAAAAAGACAACAATATCACTGCCAAGACACCAACAGGATGGAGAAGACATGCTAAGACAGATGGAAATACTGAACATCCCAACAGATATATGATCAATATTGTCAACCCCAAAGAGAGAAACTACAAAGCATCAGCTCAAATTGTAGGGGAATATATAGTAAGATCAGGGCGATTTCAAGAACTGGCAAGCCTTGAAACCTGATCCTGCGCCTAAATTAATATTCTAAAAGTACTGCGAGAAATTACCATGAGCAACGGTGTACCATAAGAGGATAATATAGTAGCTTTCATGTCGATCCGGTCCCAAGTCGATCCGGCCCAAGTCGATCGAGCCCCAATATAAAAAATATTTATAAGGAATAAAAATAAAGATATATAAGAATTCAGTGTAATTCATAAATGTTTATGAATTTTATAATAATATAAAAGTTGGACGGTAAAAAAGTTGGCCTTTGACAAATATTTGAATATTGAATTTTCATAAGTTGAGACATTTATTTGAATATTTTTTTAAAATTTATATATTAAGATTTCCTATAGAAATATGATATTATTTTTATATGAAATATTTGAATTCAAATCAATTTATCCCCTTAAATGAATACGGATGATTATGCAGTTTATAAAACTATGTTGATTATGTTTTTATTACAAGTTTTCAAGGCTATTGGGTATGCATAATTATAATAAAAACATATAACAGAATTTAGTACCATCAACATAAACAGCAGTAATTAGAATTTTTTCAATTGACTGTGATCTTAACAAGTCTTTCAATTGGTGTAATAACAAATTGAAATAGTTACATACACAAATGTACAAGCCGATCCCCAAGCTGATGTATACAAACTTTGTTTCTGTTTAAAGTTATAAAAACTTCTCAAATTGAGAAATGTTGTTTGATTTGCCAAATTCTTTCTATAAAAAAGGAGACAGAATGGGTTTTTCTTTTAATATCACAATTCGATGGTACAAAAAAATGGAACACAGAGAAGACAGTGGTGAAAAGAAATAAAAGTACATTTATTCTTCATGTTACCTGAAAAAAATATAACAATTAATTATAAGATCTTCAAATAAAAGACCTTGTTGCTTAAGTAAATTTTATCAATCATGATTTTGATTGAATTAAGTGATTTATACGACTGGTGTTATTTTGGTTCACGATCATCAAGGATTGTTGAACAAACAAACAAATTATAGACTAATGATTTGATTTAAACAAGTCATTATAATGATTACATAGTTATATGTTCTATTGGATTGTAAATATCTATTTATCTCATCTATATGTGAATCAAATAAAACCTTTTCCCCCCCATGATATTCCAAGTTAACTTATTATGAAAAATAACTTCATATTTATAAGCTGAAGCTGCTTTACAAACATTCCAATCATACTCATTTTCATATTGATTCAAAATATTATTCATTATTTTATCATGGGGCCGGATGATGGCGCCGGATCGACTTTGGGCCGGATCGACTTGGGGCCAGAAGGACCTGATACCATATAGTACAGAGAGATAAGTTGTGTCGATCTTTTACCTTAGGCTTAGGATCAGGACAGCTGAGGCTTTCCATAAAATTATAGAATAATATTGTATGTGGATAGCATCCCTTCCAATGGATAGAAACAAGTGTCTATGCAAATGTACCAATAATTTACAATGCAAATGTACCAATAATTTACAATTATTGTAAATTATTGGTACATTTGCATAGACTGAATTGGCGTGACGAACTTGTATTGGTATGTTATTTACGTTATTGAATTTTGTTTTGGGGTTAATAATAATATAAATCTATGGACCCCCATAAATGCCCTATGGTGACATCCTTAACATTTTATCTTTGATAAAAAGTTGTATACCATATATCCTTATTTTTACATAAAATACTTATCGTCGCTTGTACCTTTAAATTTGCACTGGGTAATATTACTATTAGTATTCTGTATTCTATTAGTAAGCTTTGCACGTGTAATGTTTTCGTTTTTGGTTTGTAGAAACCAGTTAGGGTACCAGATTGAAAGTATACTAATTTAGAACCGAAAACGGTGTTCCACTACGGATACGATACGATACAATAATTTTATGACACCCGTGGGTTCGTGGTATAGTGGTTAAGTGGTTAAGACCGATGGCAACAGTGCTGAAGGTTCCGAGTTCGAATCTCGCTTGGGGAGCTGGAAATTTCAGTACATCAGAAGGGTGATTTTCACCCTCCCACCGTGACACTTCTCTGGTACCTAGACCGGAGTTTAAACTAGCATGGGTACTATGGGGGCCTCGGTAGGTCAAAGTGGTACCAGGTCCGTTCGCGCCCAATACACTTTCGCACCCTTCACGTTCCCCCCTAGTTCCGTTCGCACCCTACACGTTCGCACCCAATTTTTATTCAAATTCAAGTTTAATTATTAGATATTTTTTTTATATGTATTTACCAAAAAAAAATTCCTGAATAAAAATTGGGGAATTATTATATGAATGTTTTTTTTTTTGTTTTTTTTTATCAATTTGATGATTAATTATTAAATATTATTTATGTACAAATGTATGATTACTGCTAATGGTATTTATACGCAGCTAAAATTGGTATTGTGTGTTTGAAAATCATGATTGTTAATTTAACTTGCTTTGATGTAAAAACTGCATGTATTTAGCTTGGTATGTGAAAACATTGACGATTTTAAAAGAAAAACACGAAAGATAATTGATTTTAACAGCTTGGCCCCTTTGATCTCACTTTATTTTGAAACAATGAAAAAAAAAATATATCACAACACTAACCAAAACACAAAACATAATTTAAAGATTTATTCAGCACACAAAAAAAAAAACGTGAGAATCTCACTTTATTTTGAAACAATGGAAACATAAATTTATAGCAATACACTAACCAAAAGATGATTAAGATTTGTTCAACACAAAAAACAAACGTTGTCAGAATCTCACTTTATTTAGAAACAATGAAACTTTGACTTAGAGATCAATCTTCTGATGTCTCTTCGGTTTGTCTGTTTCCGCCGAGCAGCCCGGTGGTTCTCTCCGAGTACTTCGGCTTCCTCCACCATAATAACAGACTGCCCGGTGTCCTAGCACTCCTTTTGTGTTGGGGTGGAGATTGTCCATGTAAATATTGTTGTAAATACGTTAGTGACACATCTCCATTAATCCCGATTGGGAGTGTACACGGATTCCACTGTAACCTCGCAGCTCTCGGGGGGTGCTCCGAATAACGGAGGGATCTACGTTCATACATACACCCGAGAGGAGCAAGTATAATAATTACCAGTGGGATTGCCGCGTATTCGTTCTGTACCTCCTTACACAGATGGATTGTGATATCAACAATAAACTATACTAATACAAATATATGAAGCAGGAGACAAAAACACAGTGTGAACAGTGCAGATAGAATTGTTCTGTAAACTTCACGTAGGACTGAGAGCTGGAGCCGGGGCCACCCATATCTTATTATTTTTTTTTATTTACTTGACTCTTAGAACTAAAATAAAATAAAGTCTTTATTACAGCATTTAACAATGTTATTACCTTATTTTTAGCTTTGCATGGGATCTTCATTTTACATCAACATATACATTGGTCATCTTAAGATTTAAAGATTTAAAATAAGTAATATTAGAAATAGAACTTGACCTTTCGTGTCATTCAGTCTACTTGAAGTGATGGACATTCTGGGAACAGTATATATGTCAATATATATGTTCCTGGGACACTGAAGCAGAAAATAAATTTCATCTTCAACAATGTTATTGATATATAGCTTAGAAAATCTTTGATCTGAATGTATACCTTTGTGTCAT